CTTAAAACAAAACATTGACATAAAAACTGTTCTTTAATTTTGGATCTGCTATACCATGTTTTATAAATGATCAATTTTAGTCCCTCGGGTGATAACTTCATGATGTGATATTTTCCAAGATTTACAAATGGAATTTGGCTCAATTTAGTCACGTCTTGGAACATCTTTACTTAATATATGGTGTTTTATACCTGCAGCAGATCTTCTTTGTTGCATTGGGGGTCAAAGTTGATTCAAGACGCTTTAAATCATCCTCAATCCATCAATGATTTCAAGTCATTAAAATCTTTTCAAAGCTGTAATAATAAATTAAGGCAAGATTTAGAGCAAAGTATGGAAACGGGAATGTGCCACTTGAGAGTTGAATACACTTTGTGCCTTACGATTTCTGCCAGTTTTTGTTTTGTAAATCGCATTGGCTGTTGGCACTAGAAAAAGCACAAGGCATAGCGCTTAGTATTCAATTCAGAGACAATACTTCTGTAAAGCTAAGAGAAACTTGACTGTTTATTTTATTTCCTTAATACCCTCTGCCATTGTTCAAGTTGTTTGTATAAAATCACATCACAAAAGAACAGGTCTAATTGAAAAGAAAATTACCTTGGATATTGCTTGAAAATTGTGATATATGTTTCAAAAGAAATTTTTGACTTTGAGATTCCATATGTTCTTTCAATCATCAGCAAATCGTGGGTTTTAATCATATATTCAAGCAGATGGCGTGTGCAATATAATAAAAAGGATTCAAATTGGTATTTTCGTACTTTCATACTTTATTAATAAACTTACATTGCTAACATGGCTTGAAATCCACATATGCATCGGTGAACTCAGATTTTAATCTGCGTCCCTTGCACCTTCCTGAAAGTTGAAAAAAAGTTCATTTTTGGTGCCACATAACATTAATCAATCATAAGCCTACCCCTGTTATAATCTAATGAGAATAGTTATTAAAATGATTAATGAGATTCACAACAAAAGCGCATAAAACAAGTTTGTGTTTTTAGGTTTCTGATCATTGCCAGCATAAAAGGATTCATATGTAACTCTTTAAGAAAGAACATCAAAAATACCAGTCACAGTTATAATCAGCAGGGGGCTTTGCTTAAGCATAAAAGACATGATACAAGTGAGAGTAATCTGCTATCCGGGTGGGTGCTGACTTTCACTAAATAAAATCACAGGGTCATTATATTTTAAAAACTATTTCAAATAAATTGCAAATGACTTGAATTACAAGAAAAGAAGAAAATATATGTAATTTGACTCTTACTTTCACACATTTGCAAAAGATCAGTAGTTTATTGGAATTTAGAGAGGAATGAGGTGGATCAAGTAAGACCCAAGGCAGTCTTTAAGCAAGGGATGGTCACAGACAAAACATGACAGTGTGGGGAAAAAACAATCTGGAAACTCTCATCTTCCTATTATCCTTACTCAATATATGCATGGCTTTATGGCCTTATGTGAGTTTGTAACTATGTTCATCTTAAAGAATCCAAAATATAATTGCTCCTTTATGTATTTCTTTATGTAAAACAATATTTTGAAGATGAGGGAGATTTTTGCAAATATGTTCAATTTAAATCTGATTATACTGGCTCTAATTACTCTGAACAATAAACTGATTATGACATCAAAGCACTTTTTATATCATTTCAAGGAACTATTTTGATTTTATATATAGGGGCTAATGATTTGACTGTTTTCTTATACAACATGCTGTACTTTCTCATATATGCAACTTCTCTGTATTTTTCAGGATACTTAGTGACACAAATATAACAATGAGATAAATGCAATAAAATGTTGGCATTTATTATTATAATCAGCTAAGTTTCCTAGTGATGTTTGTTTCTAGATATTTCACCATAAATAGATAAGTTCTCTTCTTACCCAGGCATAATATCAACATTCAACACCAAGAATTGTAGACTGGTGTTACACATACGTATAGTGCATTAACCTAAAATGTAAACAAAAATAATCAAATACATGTGCAAACATAAATTCTCAAAGCATTTTGTGACATGAAATATATGTACAATCATGTTTAATAAATTACAACATTACATGATATAGTTTTACAATCTGCTTTTATTTCAGAGATATAAATATGATATACAGGTTTTGTGTCTATGTTTTCAAAATAAGGTCCCTTATGCTATTAAATAAAATTGTGTCTAAGTTTAATAAAAACCAAAATTGAAGACCATCGATTAAACTTTTCAAAATTGTTCTTTCTGATACTAGGATTTGACAGAGATTCGCAATAAGAACATTCCACAGTTGATATTGTATTCCCTATAGAACTCTTAGTGACTGTTAAACAAGATAATTTGTAAAGTGCTTTGGGAATACAAATCTGTGTATTATAACACGGCTTAATCCCTGTAGGCAAACCTTCCAATAATAGCACTTAAATTATAATTAAATATGATTAGTTAATTAAATGAATAGTATATATTGAACTATGCACCTGTATTAACTGATTTAATAATTAAGTGTTTGCATACATTATTGGTGACTTAATGTGGAGACTCGAAACAATATAGTTCAGATTTTAAGTTTAGTTTTTAGGTTTTATGTCATTAATTAAATCTTTTTATCATATTGATTGCTAAGTGTATCATTTGGTCCTAATAACATTTTTTCTTTTACAATTGGGCTTAATAACATTTTTTATTTTTATATTCATCATTGAATTAAGTAAAGGGAGTTATGAAATAAAACTCAAAAGATGCCAATCTTTTTGTGAAACAAGATTTATGTGATTCCCTGTCTGAGCACAAATAAGGCAGATAGACAAGTGTACAAAAACAAATGCTCACTTTTTGCAAATTATTCTGCTAAATTAAACTACAATAGAAACAATGTTTTAATTAATCGAAAAAACAAATTGCATTATTTCAGACCATAATAAGGGTTTCCAAGTGTTTTATTTAGCCACAGTTACCAATTAAACGACCAACAAAAATGCACCAACACAAGTCTTAAAACAATGGAATCCTAGTTAGAATTCAAATTTCCTTCTGCTATGTGTAACAGTTACAGATATATAAATTACATTTTACATTAAGGTCACGTGTATGTCGAAGCACTCCCAGGAAAATGTATACAGCTAAATTACTGGCGATAAAAACTGGTCATGATTCTGGGCAATTTATCCGAGTTAAAGACCCATTAGGGAAGATTGCTTCCTCTAACAATATGTCGTCAAATAAATTTATTAGAAATGGCTTGTAAGCTGGCATTATCTTAAGAATTGTTCATTCTTGGTGAAAGTGTGTATCATGGTTTATGACCTTTTAAATATATTTCTTTTTCACTTTTACAGGTAAAATATTAAGTAACAAAAAATATTAAATAAAAACATGTTTGGGGTAAAATAATAGCAACTTTCTCTTTTTTATTGGTATTCTTATTGTATTCGTGTATAGTTAATTAACAGACCAACCAAAACATATTAAATTTGTTTAATCAATTTAAGCTGGAAAATACTGAGGAGCCTTAGTGAGCGATGAATTTTACTAGCGGAGCATGCAGCACCTGTACTAGACGAACCATTTTCACAATGGAGATAATGCAACACCCATTTGCTATATTTACTACATTATAAATCATGAAGTTAATAATACGCTTAAATCTTGCTCCACACAAATAGATGATCATATATTGGGCCTGACATCACTCATTGGTTCCTATGCTATGTCTCTAGTATCTTCACAACAGAGTAAAATAAATCAACAAAGTATACAATCCAACATAAATATTGAGTGACTGAAACTGGTTAGAGGAGGAATGATTTCAATGGAGTATAAATCTTATTGTCAAATGTGTCCATTTTAGGTCAGTCATTTAAATATAACCCTTTGTGTTGGAGCTATCTACATTTTTGTAAAAGTACATCTATAACAAAGTCTACCAAAGATCATATCATTAATATTGATATTTCAAGATATCATTTTACTTTCAGTTCATTATTAGAGAATATCCTATGATTTTGAGGGATATGGTTTTTATCCATTAGTTTATAATTACAAGTAAGCAAGTCAAAAGAATAAACAGTTGTCACATTCAAGTCATACCACCAGAAAAAAACACGACACTATTTTTATTCCATAGTCTTTTTAAAAATAAATATAAGTGGCAAATTTAAGTACAGGAGATATAAACGATATCCCATGGTCAGATGGATAAATTGTATGTGTATTAAAATTATAGCTCACCTATTGTTTGATTTCTCATACTTTCAGCTTTTGTGTTCTTTGCCTTCAGGGGTAGGTGTGGTTAGAAAAACTTTTAATTCAATGAATATATTTTTTGTTCCATAAAGGGTCTCAGGGTTTGTTTATTTCTGATTTCATATATCACATATTTTTCTTAAAATTTCAATTTGTCAAAGACTTGAAGAACATAACCTCTATCAATTAATTGAGAGAATGTATTTTTAAGCTTAGTGTCAATATTTCACACTTTTTTTTAAAAAAGTCAGTTTGTTTTCCAGAACTTTATCAATAAAAGAATTATTTCTAATTAAGTTGTGAATCAATATTAAAATATTATGTTAGGGCTGACATCTATATGAAACAAATAAAAATAAAATTGTCCTTGAACAGAAGTTGGGATTAAAATTTAGCACAGTGACATCTTTCATAATTGTCATGACTTTTTTATGAATAAAAGGGTATCAAAATATGAACAAATAAAAATAATGAAAACATCACCACTTTGACACTTGCAGATGCCTACACAGACCAATCTTGCTGATCACCAGTCTCAAACAAGGCATTGACATGCAAAATGTCACCACCTATCATTTGTTACAGACAACTGATGAACACCACCGAACACAATCCACAAAAGAGTTGGAGACTATAACAATATATCAACACTTCTGGTGGTGACATAGAAATGGTGGCTACAACAATATGTTAAACACTACCCTGAACCATATAGTTTCATTGTTTCAACTGGATAGAAAACAACAATAAAATATTTCGAATTTCTCATATTATTCCATGTATTCCTATATCTAATTCTTACAAATGGACTAAAACTCAAGATCTCAAACTATTGAATATTGTTATTTTAAGTTTTATAGTAGCAGTCATCTTTGTTATAAATGTATCAGGCTGCATAATGTAGTAAAAATCACTTCTAAAATATGTCTCTCACTCTAAATAATGAAAATATGCCTAGATGCAGTTAAACCAATTGTATTTTAGAGTCTCACAAATGAAAACTCATAAAAATGAATGAATGGAAATGAAATTAGAGCATTTTGAATCACAAAATGACCAACAAAAACAACATTTCCATATTATATATGTAGCCCAAAGTCCAAATTCCTGCTACCATATATCCTGTGAAATGTATGCTACCAGCGTTCATGTACATGACATGATGTATATAAATGTCCTTTACTATATGTACAACAATGATGAATTTTACATGTGTGTACAATGTTCATCTATAAATGTCTTTTATCATGTACAATACTTTACAAGAATATAAGAAATGTGAGCATTCTTTATGTTTAATGTTTGCTATGTACAAGATTGATGTGGATGACCCAATTTACAATGAATGGCACTTTATTGTGGTATCATGTTAGTATTGTGTTTTCATGGCTATCCAGGTCGTGCTGATACATTTCCCTAGTGTCTCCTGAAATATGAGGATATGGTTGTCTAAAACATGACTTACTTTTTTTAGAAAAAATAAGACACACAGTCAACAAAATTGCACCCTTGAATAAAATACAGTTTTTAGGATGGAAAATCCAAAATGGCCACCCTTACATTTACCCAGACTGATAAAATGAATCCATGAAATCAGGAAACATGTAGACAAGCCTTGCCAGACAAGATTTAAGGACGGAAGATACAAAATGGCGGTCATTTACCCAGAATCCCGAAAACCTAATCAGTTGTAAAACTTTCATTTGTAGAAACAGCCCCTGAAAATTTCAGATGAATTCCTGAAACAGTTTGGCTGGAAACCCTGTAAACAAGCCTCAACAGACAAGATTGTAGGATGGAAAATCCAAAATGGGCACCTTAACCTTTACCGAGAATGTTCAAAAACTGATCAGTTTTAGGCTATCATACATAGAAACATCCCTGAACATTTCTGATGAATCCATGAAAGGGTTTGGCTGAAAACCCGTAAGCAAGCCTCGACAGACAAGATTTTAGGATGGAAAATCCAGAACGGCCGCCTTAATATTTACCCAGAATGCTGAAAAACTAATAAGTTCTATACTTTCATGGGTAAAAATATCCTTGAAAATTTCAAATGAATTTATGAAAGGGTTTGGCTGGAAACCTGTAGACTAGCCTAAACAGACGAGATTTTAGGAAGGAAAATTCAAAATGGCCAAAACTAATCAATTCTAATTGGCATCCCTGAATATTTCAGATGAATCCCTCAAACAGTTTGGCTTGAAACCTGTAGACAAGATTAATTGGGACGCCCGTCCAAAAACCTACTCATCCACTCGGCAAACTGATCACAATATAGCACCCAAGGGTGCGATAAAAATCATGCAATACAAATATTTCACTGGATTTTAAATCGAAATAAATATTTAAAGTAAACAGGTTACACTCAATTTGTTTTCAGTAAAATAATTGTCCATTTGTGTTAAAGTAAGTGAAGTTTGCGCTTATAAAATCATGATTATCTTTACATATTCAATTCCACACTTTTTTGGCTCTTCTTTATTTAATATAAATAATATGTGACAGGTGACTTACCTTCAAGCTGTCCAGGTGCAACTGAGACTTCAAATTAAACTTGTCAAGCTTCTCTTTGAATGCAATTGCCTTGGCCTGGAAAAAAACATATGTAAAATGTAAAACTCATATTTGGAGGAATGTAGCTAAGATCATTTCAAAATTTCATATTTTGATTTTCTATATACTCATATTGACATATCTTGCAACTATTTGTTGAAAAGTAACATAGATTTTAAGGATATGCCAATTTTTAATTTGAATTAATGGACAGCAAAAATAGTCAATACATATTAGACATTTTGGATCACAAGTCTAATCAGTAACTGTATACTGTAACTGTTCAAAGAAATAATCTAGAGGCATTATGCTTCATTTATCTTTGGAGAGGGGCCCTTTTTATCATCCTGCATCCAGTGATTATTCTATTTCAGGTGCATAACATCATGCAATTTTTAACTCTCAAAATTATTAAGATGTTCAGTATCATACAATACCTTTGCTTCCTGCCTTCTCTTTTCAATTTGGGCCTCTTCATCGCTGTCATTTTCCATTGACTTCAATGTAACTAAAACATAAAAATACAGAATTTAAGAACATATTAACATTTTTATTTATCTTTTTTATTATTATCATTTATTTCCAACATTAACAAAAAACAATTAATTCTGTGGTTATTTCCAATGTCATTAAAAATCAAAAAATATTCCCACATTCCACAATTACAACCAAAAGTTCAATTACAAAACTGAACTTCCTTCAAAATGTAAGCATAAGCTATTTAATTCAGAGGAATCTGTCAATATATAGCCACAACTGAAGTGAATACCAGATTGTCCCCAATATATAAATAACTAACAACTGACCTGGATCAATTTTACATTGCAGAAGTTTCTTTTCACAATCTTCCACCTTTGACTTGAGAGTATCTTGGTCTTTTTTACTTTCCACCATAGTTTCTACAACACATAATAAGAATTTACAGTTTATTAATATAAGGCACAGTCACTGTATTATCAGATGTACCAAATTTCTGTATTAGAAGCTCTGATGTTCAAGGCAAGCCATCAGTCAAACTGACATGTAATGATGTACATGATTATTATATTGCATCAAGTTCTTGCTTTTAATATATGCTATATTACTAGTATGCTATCCAAAATTAATTTTTATTATTATGTAAATAATGATACAACATACGATGTACAAACAGAATTATAGCAAATAAATGTAAAAAAAGAAAAAAGTTCTTGCTTTCACTTTTAGATTTTGATTAAACATGGGAATGTCCAAGATTTCAAAGTGGCAGAGGGTAACCTTTATTTCTGGAACAGCCTTACGTGTAATTAGAAACAGGAAAAGATATTCATTTTACTGTACTAATCTTTATAACATGTAGTTAGAAAAAGGAAAATATATTCATTTTACTGTACTAACCTTTATAACATCTAGTTAGAAACAGGAAAAGATATTCATTTTACTGTACTAACCTTTATAACATGTAGTTAGAAACAGGAAAAGATATTCATTTTACTGTACTAACCTTTATAATATTTTTCTTTTTGTTGAAGTTTACTGGTCACCTCTTCATTCTCTTGCTTAATCATTTCTGCCTCTTTCTGCAATATTTCAGGTAATCTTGTCATACAATGCACTCTCTTATTTCAAATCAGAGTGAATTAAACATTAAGCTTAGTCTCGCAAGAAGCCTTTGTGACCCTCTCCCCGAACACACTTCATGCTCATCTTCCCTGAGGGGAAGCATGCTTAATGTGAGACTACCATACTTATACTCATATTGTTTGGAAGCTACCTATTTTTATCCTATACAAGGTTATTATTTGTCACAGACCTAGTATGTCCCTGTATTTTACTTGATTCCCAAGACCCAGTAGGCTGTTACATACTGTTGTTATTTATTGTTGCTGTTCATGTACTTACTGTTGCCTGTTCAAGTGACTGCTCCAAATGTTTAACTTTGTCTACATGAAGATTTTTTAAATTGTTTAACTCGTCTTCGAGATCTGAGGTTTTCTTCTTCAACTCATTGTAGCTTTGACTGTTAATAAAAATGCATATACAACAATTAGAATATTGTCTTAAATGTTAAAAATGATGGCTTTTCATATACAAGTTACACACTAAGATGTTTTGTATGAGTCATGGAGCATTATCATGGACCCCATTCTGGCCTTTTCACCTGATTTTTAAATGAATTCAAAAATAAGATGATGCCATCGAGAACTTGTCTACTGTATGTATTTACAATTATTGTACATTAAAAATTGCTATCTTGACTTTGACATTTACTGTTCCACTTATAGATTTGTTCCACTTTACTGATTTCCCTATACTTTATATACATTGAGAAAATCAACTAAACATGAACATCAACTGAAAACTAAACAATAAGTCAACATAAACATCAACTGAACTACACATATTGTATACTACTTCCATTATGAATAATACTGTTATAGCTGTTACATTATCTAAGATCTTATGCACCATTCAAATACCCGACCCTGAAATCAACCTTAAGTCAATTTCTCCACCCTGGAAGCAATAATAGTCCCTACTTCTGGGATGAAGTACAGGGTCAAAAATCCCAACCCGGGGATAATACTGTGTGTTGATCCCCCCCCCCATTTGGGACAGGGAGTCTCATGCAAACCTTTGATAGGTGCATTCCATATCAAACATTAATAAACGACCTAAGCTGTTGTGCAAAAGGCTATAATTCAGCACATAAACTTACACATGTCTAAAGCTTGGACTGGTAAGTGTGTATTCCTTTGGACTAACAATCAGAAAACACAAGTTTTTCATTGTCACTTGAGGATGACATTTGCATTTAAACTTTGATAAAATAAAATACAGTAACAATTCTTTTCTGATCAGATTGCAATATCCAAATTTTAAGCTATTTTGATTAAAATCACAGGTTGGGATCAAAAAATTTGTCTGGCGTTGGGAAGCATGCTATTTTTCATAAAAACACCAAGAAAACTTCACATATTATTTTTTAACTCACATGTTTTGTAATGCCATGCTGGTGTGAAAGAAATTATGGTCCCCCAGGGATTATGGTCCCCTTTCTTAACGGCCCTTACTGCCCCTGATTCCATATAAGATAATGAGGGAAAGAGTTGTATTTAGGTCACCATATAAATCAATGGAGTAGGACCATAATTTGATAGGACCTCCTACCCTTTTACACCGGACAAACCTTTCGATCCCAACCCCTGAAAATATCTCAATAGTCCATACATGTACAAATACATAATTCTTTTGACAAGATGCAAACTAATTCAAAACACAGAGTCATTAACAGAAATTTCGTAAGTCATGAATTTGTTTGTAAATCGTTGTAACCATGGATATAATGACATCACAGTTAGAGAGCAATGGACTTTGTAAAGTTTCTGTTAATGACCCCCAGGGTATCAATACCAAATAATTTTCAACGGAGTGCAGCCCATATACTCTAATGCTTGGGAAATCACTGATCCTCTTACATTCCACACACAAAGTAACATTTTGGAAATACATGTTGCACAGCAGATTCTGTTCACAAATTAATATTCTCAGTAAAGCTCACCTTTTAGTATTGCTCTGTTTTGAAGCTGAGAACCTTCTTATTCGCTCCCCAGACACTGGAGGCTTAGTGTTGAATACAGTGTTTGGCTGGCTGCTAAACTGTGTCTTACATTTGGTTTGTGTTAGATTAGACAGGCTGCGTTTGGTGGCTGGTTTCATTGCTGTTGGAGTCAAATTGTCGGAACTTCCACTGTCATGTCGCTTTCTTTTTTCCACTTCTGCAATGAGATATTACGAACCACTCTGGATATAAATAACACTACAATAGCCAGCCATATGTATCACATATGCAATAAGGTCTGACTAAATGGGTCATAAAGTCAAATATTTTTTCTGCCAGTATCAAGATTTTACCTAATTTTAACAGAAACAGCATTAATAAAAAATAAGATATGTGTATTTCTATCTGAATAATTGTTGAAACATCAATTGAAATTGAAAAACCCATTTATACACTAATCAGTGCTCTTTCATGCATCATTCAACACTACAGTGGATAATAATTCTCTTTGACTAATGACTTGCTGACTTATGAATGACATTACCTTTAGCTATGTCAGATTTTGATGCTCCACATTTTCCAATTGTGCTGATGGTTGGTTCATAAAGACGAGAGACAACAGATGTCACATCAACAGGCTTGTGATTCTTTCGTATTGGAACCTCTTTCTTCACAGTTGGAACATCGACGTGAGATTCCTGTAAAACAATTCAAGTCTTTAAAACACTAAGCACCATTAGAAGCTCTAAATCATGGATCTCTAATCTATGCTCCAGCTTTCGCCAGAAACGTACTTGACGTCCGTGCTGTAAATGTACATTTGAGAAAATAAATACACAAAAGTAGTTTTAAAACATTGATGTGTATGTCCTAGGATTATCATAAAATGTTGTCTGAGGTAGAGGTCATATAATCTTTAAAACATACAATATCCAAATCAAAACTGAAACTCCACTCTATGTTGAAGCTCAGTTGGCTAAAAATAGGTTTCAAAGTTAGAAAGTTAACTTATTCGACGACAGTCGTAAATTCTTGCTTGCAGCCGAACTCCTATGCAGTGTCTCGGTATAGACACTGCGGCGGGCAGATTATGGAATCCCCAAAATTTGGGGAAGATAGTCCCCCTTTTTGTCACAGATGTACTTGTTTTTCACACAACTTATAAAATATATGTTCTTTTATGTTCACCAATAATTATTTTGTCAAAATATTCCAAAATCAATGAAATATAAGAGCAAATCCCCGCGGAATGAATTCTGAGTAAAAGTTGTGTTGATAAAAGTTTACCGCACGTGTTGTTTATTAGTTAATACGCGCAATTCAACCAATGAAATTGTCTAAATTTTACAATCACGCGACCTGAGCATGGGACTAGAACCAATCACGTCAGTTGTTTATTACGATGTTACCATGCTTACGGTGAGACACCTGCCCGCCGCAGTGATATATCACTGCACGGGAGTTCGGCTTGCAGCATAATCTAGGCCTACTGTTTTCGACGGTCGAAAAAAATAAAGAAAAAATAGACAAAATGTATTTCCACCTTTTTTACATTCCCCTGTGCATTCAAGGTCACTTTTTTAGGTAAACGGCTTCTTTGTGACATGGTTGATTTGGTAATTTAAACTGCTTAGTAATAAACTGGATATTTGTGCAGTTATTACAGATTTAAAATTTAAAATTTTGAAAATCCAAGCGCCATTGCAGATGTGCATTGTGGGTAATTTTTACACAGTACGAAAAGTACATGAGGCAAGGATGAAATAAAAGAGGGCAGCACCTAAAAATTGAAGTTCAAATTTTGAACTAGGCTACTCCTGGGGAGCTACTATCTAGTTGATTTCCCGGTTTATTTACATCCAACGCCCCGACAAGATATCCTTTCCCTTTATTAAATTCCTTGACCACCTTTTATATATTTATATTTCAGAGTAGGCCTGGCTAAGTGCTAAGAAATTGTGTCGGTTCTAGTACTACAAATATTTTAATAACGCTCGTGCCCAAGTAACAAACAGACAACGAAACTATGATGAAAGGATGGCATTAGTTTATTTTGCCTTTTACTAATGGCATTCTATTACAATGGTCAATGTCTCTTGATATTTGAAAAACAGGAAAGCATGATGAGATAAAATATCCTGAAAATCATTCATCTTGAAGAATTAAAATAAATAAGCCCTATACATGTATGAATTTTAAGTGAGTCTCATGGAATTTCAAAAGTGATCGCATTTTAATAAAATATGACTCAACAAAGTGTAAATCTGCAATCATTTCCATGTTTTACCTAAAACGCAATTAGTTTTAGGGAACCAGCAACTGATTGATTTGTTTGTCACGGTTTTACCCATACGTGCAGAATTAAGCTTGTCACATAATGTCTCCATGTTTTTGTAACTAAGAAATTGCTGTCTCACTCCTGTTATGTTGTCTTTTTTCCATTGAAAGTATTCATTATAGGCAGTTGAGTTTTTATCAAGCATTTTTAGATAGCCTACTCCCCATCATGAGAAATCATGGCCTTCTATATAGGCCTAAGCTTCACACATTTGACAAATCAAAGCAAGCGCAGCTAGCCACAGATCGATGTCTGTTAAAAGCCCACGGTGAGACCAAACGTAAGACACCAGCAATGACATACATGTACAGTAAGATGGGAGAAAGGCATTGTCAGTGATCCGATATGACCATGTAAAATTTAAATAATTTAAATTGAAAATAACGAGACTCTAAAATGTTGTGATTGTATATTTTCGACACAAAACATTGCAGGGGTTTTCCCTAGCAAATGGAAGTGTGCCTTTCCATATATAAGACAATGTTCAAGTGCAGTGTGTATCTCTGACATGACCCTTTAGTTTTTGTCCATTCCGATTTCCGATACTCAACGTTAACCAGTGGCAGATCCAGAAATTAACAGGGGGGCAAATTTTGAGTCTTGAAAAAAATTCAAAACTTTGAAAAATTAAGGCCCAGTTTTGATAAATTGACTAAAAAGGCCAACTTATGCCCAAGAAGGCTCATTTTTCGAGGCCCTACAAAATTCTCGAGCCCAAAAACTAAAAAATCCTGGGCCCACTAAAGGGGGGCGCGGATCCGCCACTGTTAACGGCGTAGGTTTTTGCAGCTAGAATTCTTAAAATCTCATCACTTTAGTAAATGTCCATCTCTATGTATTGCCTATGTTTTTAAAATGTATTTTTAATACAGTGTGAAATAAACAAATAAACAATATGATACGACTGATATCAGAGCTAAATAAAAGATCGATGTTCCACTTCTCCTCGTTTTATCAGTTTCCAACTACATCCGACTGACAAATATGTCATTATAGCGGTATGTTGTACAGAGAGGCTCTGGTTTGTTTCTCTCCTCAATCTCTAGTTTAACCATGACAGCGGACCCTAACGACGCTATGGTTGCTATGACAACAAGCCCAAATGAGTAAGACGGACTGGGTTCAACGTTTTTGATACCGAATATAACTTCGTCCAGTTGGGAAAACCTTGCACACGTGACGATGAAACTGATGAAGAACAGCATACCTGGAAGCATGGTCAAAAATGGATTATGCAGAGTTGGATAAACAGCATTACTAGAAATATGTACAGATATGGATTATGCATAGTTGGGCAAATAGCATTACTAGAAATATGAACAGAAATGGATTATGCAGAGCTGGGTTAACAGCATTACTAGAAATATGTACAGATATGGATTAGGCAGAGTGGGGAAAACAGCATTACTTGAAATATGTACAGAAATGGACAATGCAGAGTTGGGTAAACAGCATTACTAGCAATATGTACAGAAATGGACAATGCAGAGTTGGGTAAACAGCATTACTAGAAATATGTACAGAAATGGATTATGCAGAGTTGGGTAAATAGCATTACTAGAAATATATACAGAAATGGATTACGCAGAGTTAGGTAAACATCATTATTTGAAATATGTACAGAAATTGATTATTCAGAGTTAGGTAAACAGCATTACTAGAAATATGTACAAAAATGGGTTATGCAGAGTTGGTAAACAGCATTACTAGAAATATGTACAGAAATGAATTCTGTTCGGTAAATTGAGGCTTCAAAGAAATCATGATATCTCATCAAACTATTAAACTAACAATACTATGATCACGTGGGTACTTTGTCATTTTCCGTAACAAACTTCTTAAAAACTACACATAACCAAAATGTTTTACTGATAAATGATATATGTGACAATCTTACCTCCTATAACAATACAAGCAAGGACAACTTTTAAGGATTTCTTTGAGATGTCTCTGTCGAGGACAAGGAATACGATTAACAATAGTCCCAGGATCAAAAACACAAGTCCGCATGCTGCAAGAACTTGAACTGCTATATACCAATCGGCTGAAAATATGAAATATTAATATCAATATCCTTAATTTTTGAAGGATTAAAATAATAGATAAACACAAGGCTCCAAACTGTTAGATAATTTTTGATGAATCAAAACATTGAAATTTGACATTAAAGAGGGCAGTGTTAAATGAGTAATTTGACATATAAAGTTGAACTGACTCCTACTCAAAATTAAACTTACGTAACGGCAACGGGTCTACGGTAACAAACTCTAGACATGCTTCAGCAGCAAACATTTCATCCGTCTTCAAGGCAGCGCAGGCCCTCCATAGCCCATAGGCCACACTGCCGACCCTAACCGACGCATTCCCCGACGTTGACACAGACAACTCCCCAGCGGGAGTTCTAAGAGGTATCCCTTGTGCTAAATCAACTGTCTCATTAGATAATGGTGTTGGTGTCGTTACAGTAGGAAGGAAAATAATCCAACTGGGTGTGGCGAAGGCCACGATGCTCACGATATTTCCGATCAAAAGCAAGATTGCAGCAATCAGAAGCCATTTGGTATGACCACTCAAAACAACTGTTTTATTTGTCTTTGGTGTTGGTATGATTCTCCCCGTTTCATTTTCCATAATAGCAAGCTGAAATTTATCCAAATAGAGTCAAAAGCTGTTTTGAAGTCAGAGACTCGCGAACTTTTTATTCCACTAAACGATGTCTTTCGCATACCAGCACTGCTTTATTTTTCTCCCACCATCATATTTTGTAGTTGTTGTCAAACAATAAAAACAATAAACTTTTGTTTATCTTCCACTTAAGCTAGAGATGAAAATGAACAAATGTAAACAGAATCCAACATAAATGATGTATACGTAAAAACACTGGGTGACACATAAGTTTGCCGTATGTTTCCTATTTTTCAAATGTATAAACTGCATTGGTTGTACTCTTTGTTTTTCATTTCCCTTTTTGATTATCTGTTTTGATGGTATTGAAACTACCTTGATGGATTTGAATCAGGGTTTTGACAGTTTGCATTCACGTTGATTTAAACAAAGAGTTGACCCACTGTATTTTTGTTTGTATTTTAAACACATAAATGTCTAGCTCTTTACCATACGGGACATAAATTAACAATATCGTTGCTATATTCCACTAGACGGATGATTTATCACTTTCGACCTCTTGCCAACGGCATTACTATCACAGTTTTAACATTTAACCTGATTCAACAAAGTAAAATTGAATTGCAAGAGTATGATGCTGAATGCAAATATTCTTGATGTTTAACTGAAGAGTTATAAGATGTGCGTCTAAGAGTGTGACATCATCTGAGCACCCCAAGACATCATTTATACCTGCGTGTCAATTCAGGCGCGTGACATAAATGTCACAGTACATCTGACGCAATCAGAACGCACTGGCACACAGGGTTTCGAACTATGAATAAAATTATTTGGCGTAATTGAGGATCTGAATTCACTCGTTCATCAAATCTTGTGTCAATGTGTTTGACTCACGGTCTATTACTTTCGTCTATTAAACTGGTGAATGGTAAACATGTTTGGGGAACAACAGGACAACACTTACTTTTTGATCGTCAAGTATTCACTTAAAGTATTCACATAAAGGCTACATGTGTATTAATTTTACGACATAGTTTGTTTGATTTAACATACGACATGCCATAACGTTCCAAACAAAACAAATAACATTTGGAAGAAACGTCGATTTTTTATTTATAAAGTATAACACACATCATCCACGAAGCACGATGTCATATATTTTTTAATATATTTGTCCAATACCTGGTATGTCTCAAATTCACATCTTCTGTTATTAAAAGATTGATTGGGATGTTACTACTAAGTTAACACTACGAATATTTTATCATTTTATAGAAAGAAATAGTTATCAAAGTACCATTTTGTACATACTATAAAATAAAGTAGATCATTGAGGTTTTTCAGTCAATAGGACTTCACCTTAAATATATATACACATACTTCTCCTTTATACATTCATACATCCAACCACCTAACAGTTTTCACATGAATCATTGTGCATGATTCATACACGCTTCTTAGATAAAAACGCCTATAATACTTAATTCCGTGTTAAAATATAAACTCATTTGTAAAAGTTGGAAAGTATAACACTTAACACTTAAAGTATAACACTTTCTTTAAAAAATCACTGTTCGCTGAACGACATACCACATTCATTGTAGTGTTTGCATATAATTCACTTGGTTTTTAATGCTTAAACAAAAACTGTTTATTAAAATGTCCAGACTTTTTTATAATCTCATTGTTACTTTTCTTTAGTTCTTCTGAAGAACTAATACTTTGCAAGGTAAAATTATTATGAAAGAAGTTCTATAGCTAGTATAGGTATAGTTAGTCCTTCAAAGTGACCAACACTCTTTTGAAGTTAACTCTCCTGAAGGACCAACGCTAGAATGTGTACAATTCCTCTGAAGAAACAACGATTGTATAGTTGTTATAGTCGTTCAATGATAATCCCCTTCTATTGTATTTTACATGTTCATCAGATCAGATTTATTCAGTGTTCTATCAGCACTCCCATTAGCACTGAGTTCCATTTAATCGAATCTGGACTGTATCAAAAGCTGTGTACAGATACCTCCAATGATGCTAGTGAAACATGCGGTAATCATAAGGAAGTAGGAGTAGCCAAAGTTCATACTGGTGGCTCCAGTAGATAAAGCCCAACTGTAAGCGCCCGTAGTAGGATTGGCATTAGCCCCATAAAGGGCAACCGCAACAAACAAAAGCAAACCTGGAAATATAATGAACATGCATTTTTCATAAACGTCCCAGCAACAACTTGGTGTAACTAGACCATACAATGTCTGGCTGAATAGAAAGTACTTATTTACATATCTGTTTTACTGTTCTTGTTATTTTCACTATGGTGTCATCTAGTTTGTCTTATTCTATTTAGACTAACTGTATCATACTTGATGAAACAAAACTATTGGCTATCGAGGTTAGAAATAAGGGGTATTTCATCACAAAAATAAGCATCTCTTGTGATGAAGTTTCATTACTAAAAACATTTGTTATCTCTAAAAGGACGAATGTCATCACAAAATGTTATTTCTCACTTACCTGCAAAAAGTGCCACAATCATGAGGAATATATGCAGGTGTTTGTTACCAGCGAAACATAGTGTTCCAATGGCGATGAAAAAGGCAAGAAGAGCGAATACAACTCCCACTGTTGAAATGATGGTACAGGTGATTATCCAGGGGTCTGAAAATAAAATAATCATCGATGTTAGTTTGCTTGTTTGGTTAGTTGATTGCTTGTGGGTTTGTTGGTTTATATTGGACCTATTGCTCGATGACTAGACGTGTATGTTGAGTGGTGATCAGCTTTAGAAAAATTATATATTTAAATTATAGAAGTTATATATGACAATCTGAAGACGTTCTGCACTGTCAACCATTTACGTTGCATTTTTCTTTACAATGAATGTGTTCAAACCTTTGAAAACATGAAAATAATTTTAAGTGAAGTCTGAAAGACGGCATTGAAAACGTTTTTACAGCTCACTGTCCGTATTGAGTTATTTCCATTGATAGCAGAAATGATATAAGTTTACACTAAAAAAGAGAAGTATGTTGGCCTTAAATGGATCAGAAAGTTAGAGGGTGATAACGCATCATGAAAATTAACTATCAACTGTTGTATTTTGGGAAAACATAGTACGACTTTGATACTGTAATCACAAACTTATTTAAGATATAAAACTGACATTTGATATTGTATCTAGTTAATTAGTAAGCACAACATACAACGTTTACACAACTATATAATTAGAATGTGTGATCACTGAACCCTTCCATCACCTCCGGGGTGATAACGAGATGCATGTTGAAATTATGGTCATTGAAGTGCAACGCTGAACAGAAATGATTGATAAAATAAAGGTAATTGGTAAAAGCTAGGATGATGTATGGCATGGGGTATAAGTTGTATATTTTATTCACACACATGTTCAGTGTCTAAGTTTTAGTTGCTCCAACTTCAAGTGGTGTTAATAACAACAACTTGGAAATCGAAGATGACACATGTATGTTACTGATTTGGTAAACGAATAATGTGGTGTTAAATTATTGTTGATCAATTTTAATTATTTCAACGGTTATGCTAGATTGAAAAACTTATTTAATTTGGACAATTGGCTTTCCAAAGTGTACTTCATTACATTTAGAAACACTTTGGTATTGTTAATTCCAGAAAATAATAGTGATTAAACACGTTGTTATTGTTAATTCCAGAAAATATAGTTCAATCAGCATTAACATTGCACTGGTTTATTTTGTATAGTGATTACAAGCATTTAAATACCAGCTGGGTGCTTATACTAAACCTACATGATAACATGCAATATTGGCCATGCTTATAGGTTCTTACTACTTATTCCATTGCATTAGTCGGTCTAAAGACGATTCAAAGACAACGACAGTGTGATTTAATGGGGGGGGGGGGGCATGGTGATTCAAAAAGAATGGTAAACATGATAACCCAAAAATAAAAGGCAGATTCAAAGGAAGGGCATGGTGATTCAATAGGAAGGTCGTTGTGATTCAAAAAGAAGAACATTGTGATTCAAAGAGTGATTCCAAGAGAAAGGCAATGTAATTCAAGGAAAATCACAAGGTGATTCAAATAGAAGGTCTGATTCGAGTCAATAAGGAGAGCATGGTGTTATAACGAATTGACAGAATCATGATGTGATCCAAAGGAAGGTCAATGATGTGATCAAAAAACAATGACAAGTTATTCAACGTGAAGGGCATGGTAATGGGCAAGGGCATTATGGTATGTATGTTGGCCAATGTAAGTTGGTTATGCTGGATTTCTGGTGGGTGATTGATTAGTCTGTATCCGACAGACTGGTCATAAATCAGGCTGATATTTTCAGAAAATTAAAAAAAATTCAAACTATATGACATAGTCTAAGAGGTTGATTCAGTTCTATATGTAAAAACATAGGCTAGTATAAAAACATATCAAAAACCATGTATGGAATGAACTATGCGTATAATATCTTACTCCAATTAGGAAGTCATTGAAATTTCAGAACATGCGGACCTTCCTTAACATTCTAGCAAATAGCCCCGTAGAGGCCATGGTTTTCTTGATAGTGTACATCAACCATACTAGGCTCAGGTAGCCATTACAATTTCTGAACAGAATTACCTTAACTGGTAAATATGATATTCTAATAATAAATCATCTCACCCAATCTGTCAAATTGCTCTACAATGAAAACATCACATGATCCATCAAATGGCTCTGGTATAGCTTCCGGCTCAGGTCCTGGCTCTGGGGTTGTCACATTTGTATTTTCTGGCTCCGGTTCTGGTTCTGCCCCACCGAACCAATTTGTACCTTTTGGACAACTTTCCCACAATCCGAGATTTAGTTGTGTCCCATTTCTGTCGGCCACCATCCAGCTGCTAGTTATGAGTCCAGCAATACCACATCCGACTGCCGCCCCGATGAAAATCAATGTAAACGCCATGGCACAACTGCCTCCTGACTTCTTTCCTTGTCCTTCCATTTTCAATTTGTCTTCGTCTATTGCGATATTTTTATGACGAATTCTTTTACTTGTTGATCCTGTGAACCACTCCCGAAATAGAAAACGCATGCGCAAACTAGTAAAACACACTGAATAGGACTTTATAAACCAGGTATTTGGTAACAGTCCAAACACCTTTCGAATTTTATACGATTGTTTTATTAGAGTTTTAAAGTACAACATATATTGTTAACCCCGGAAAATTAAGCGCATGGTATTAAACTATGTATGTTTACTGTATTTACTTGTTAACTTACAAAGTAGTACAAGGTTTAGCTTCAACTAAAATTCATATAAAATCGTTGAGATCTGAAATCATAAAACAACATCATAAACTTGAAATAAAATCAAACCCTGTTTAGTATGGTGAATAGTTGGTTTTAGGTTTGAATTGTACGTGTTCCCTGGAGCTTTAACATTGACACATATTGGCATAAATAGCTACTATTATCCTTAAGTTTTTAGGCGCTAATATCAATACTAACTGTAACACACAACTGGCCTTTAAAAAAGATGGCATTGTTAGTCGAGAATGACAATGTACCACCACTTATATTAATAAAATGGTACAAAACTCCCGGCACACGGAACTCCGTCATCGACGCCGGTCCTATAAACAACAATATGTCAAGGAGTATTTGAATTATATAAGCATCGTCCTTGGTTGTACCCGTTTGTGGTAACATGCATGATTAGCGAGTAGCACCTATTCACAATTTCCTTTCGCCTGTTTCAAATATATCCACTGACAGCGCAATAAACTGTTAAACTGAATTTAAATTATATATGATTAGCTTTGTAATTGGCAAACAATTTTTTCATTGTATATGATTGATAATATTATAATACCATTAGATGCATGGTGCGCGTGTAGAACTAAAATGGCATCCTGAAAATCTTCAATTTGTTTAGAAAATTGCAATAGGAAGCTAAGGAAACAAGAGATGGTTATCATCTCTCGTGATGTAAAGTATAGTTTTAGCTAGATTCTAGTACACGTGTATATAACAAACAATATCACAGGCTGGTATCGAAATATTTGTCCGCTGTGACGGAGCATGCTATTTTTCATTAAAACACTAAGAATACTTCACGATTTATTTTTTAACTCATATGTTTCGTTATACCATACAAAATTACTTACTCCATGCAATGGATATATCATTTGCGGGTAACTTTCACTTCTGTTTGAAATCCAATTGCGCTAGTAAGAAAAGCTATTGAAAATGGCGCCAGAGTATCATACTTCAAAATGCACCATTTCTTGTTTAACTTTCTAATGGCACGATATAGTGACACGATAATATTTACACATGGTTTCAGCATAATTATGAAGGTATAAATGAGATGTTGATGTATTTGGTCTTTTTAATTCTTTTATAAAAAATAATGTTTAATTTTTTTGTCCGCTGTGACGGAGCAGTTGCAAAGGTGAACTGTGAAAATGCTCCGTCACAGCGGACAAAAAATATTAATATTATTTTTTATAAAAAATTAAAAAGATCCAATGCATTAATATCTCATTAAAACATTCAGAGTTATGCTGAAAACATATGTTAATATTATCGTGTCACTATATCATGCCATTAAAAAGTTAAAAAAGAAATGGTACATTTTAGAGTTTGATACTCTGGCGCCGTTTTCAATAGATTTTACTCCAAGCGTTATTGGACTTCAAACAGAAGTGAAGGTTACACGCAAATGATATATCCATTGCATGGAGTAAGTAATTATCTTTGATATAACGAAACATATGAGTTAAAAAATAAATCGTGAAGCATCCTTAGTGTTTTTATGAAAAATAGTATGCTCCGTCACAGCGGACAAATCTTTCGATACCAGCCTGTGAATATGTGTTGATTTAAAAGATCTTTAAGATTTACGATAATCAATGTTAATCCGATATTTTCTATTCGGCGAAACAACTGATTTGAAGAACATCATGGTATGATTAGGCTTACCCTTTGCATGCGATTCGTTTGACCTGGCTTCTGAAAACAGCTTCGTCCACGAAAATCTCGAATTTAACTTCCAGAATTGCTCAGACTCTCGTATTATTAATCTAATTTCTACCCTGCATGCAGAGTCTAGTTAAACTACAGAAGAAGCTCTCTTTTAAGAAGTGAAGTCAAACGAATGCAAAGGGTATCTAATTTCAGGCCCAAGGCCAGCTTTTCCGACTGAGGAGCTCTTACTGATCAGAAGGGCACTGATCGTTCAGAAGAACTCTCATTTTTCAGAAGGACCCTCAATTTTCAGAAGGGCTATCAATTTTCAGGAGAGCTATCATTTTTAGCAGAGCTCAAAATTACTCAAAATGTTGTCAATTTACAAAAGTAATGCAATTTTTCGATATTAAAATGCCGATCTAACAAATACGGTTTTCCAAAAGGCAGCAAACTACTATAGTAACGAGAAACGCACATGTAGATCAAACGATGTTGTCATTTTTTCTCGATCTTTTAGCAAGTTTAAGACCAGAAAATGAATCCGAAAATGTTAGAAATCGCTTTAATTGTTTGAACAAGCATTATCGATACGACAGAAGTTTTGCTAGGTTGCTCTTGTATTTGTACCCTTTATTTAAAATCACGGGCAATATCTTACTTATCACTCGGCTTGCTTATGATATTGAAAGGTGATGATTGTTTTTGACCTAATTTTATTAAAATTAATTTCCAATGGTCACATTTTCATGGAAAATAATGGTGTTTCCAGGACGTCCTGCTTTTTACATCCAAAGGATTAAACGGCCTCCCCTTTATGCTCGGGGCATTGGGCTTCAGCCTTTAAATATTCTAATGGACTTGAGTACTGTCGATAGATGGCATGCCGTTCACTAGCATTACAGACTCATCAAGAAGGGCCAAATGTCTCACCACTTTTCAAACGGGTGCAATAAATGGTAAGGAGGACTGCTAATTTCAAACTTAAATATTGGCAATTGAATAAATATAGTCTATTGCGATGAATAATTTACTTCATATTCATCAGCTATCTAATACTGATTTTTCAATTCATTTTTCAAATAGCCAATTTGCAGTCAGCTTGTTGGATAAAATGCTATTAGTGGAGTGTACAACTATGGCCTTAAAAATAAATGTGGAATTGAAAACGTTTTCGATTACACTGAATCTAGGTCAAAGTCAGAATTTATTTGTCGAAAAATATAGATTGACTATACTGTATTCTGATTGGCCAGAAGATGATAGCTTAGCTCATCCTTGCTGCAAGAGTATTTTACAGGTTTATACCCTTGCTCTCTCTATTCAATTGTTGGGCTTGAGCAAACAAACTGGACATTAAGTCATAGTATGTGTCAAATATCATTTAAAGCTTATCCGAAGTTACATTGATTCGCCAAGTGTCGTTGTTCAACTCTCAAATGTGAAAAATAGTCATTTTAAAATTTAGTGTTTGGTCAAAATTAAGTTCAATTTTACACCAAAGGAAACTCTTCTACATGTATAGTCCCTTAACAGGTTTTAAGAGGGTTATAAAATTCCACACCCCTATATGAAGGGTTTTAAGGTCATATCTGAAAATAATTGCTGCTGTTAACATGACAGGGAACACATTGACTAGTAATGTGGTGTACAATTGAACATGCTTTTAAAATGACTTTAACTTTTTCCCATTAGGGAGTTAAACCATGATACTTGGCAAATCAATGTAACTCTGGATAAGCTTTAAAATGATATATGACACAAAGTATGAGGACACTGGAATATGTCTGCCTAGGGGGCATACTTTCGGGACACCCTGTATATTAAGCATGTTCACAATTTGATATTTTCAATATAACTTTATTATATGTGCTTACAAAATTAGCGACCAAAGTTTATTTGTATACATTTAATGATCACAATACGTACAATAATACTATGTACAATACATACAAACAGAATTGCAGTTAATATACATGTACACATAAACGATACATATGAAGTGTCTCTGTCGTAAGAAAATGGTAGTAAAAACGCTACTACTAATAAAGTTATTTGCTTGTCTGCATTTAATATTATCAGAACAAAATCCAGAATATAATCAGAGTAAAATGCTAAACTGTGTTCGTCATTTATTTTACTGTCAGTTGATAAATATATGTTTATTCCACGAGGAGATTTTAATGGAAATGTCCCATCAATTATCTGATTTATCTGGAGCGAATGACTCGACAACAAATAAAATATTCTCCACTCTCGTTACATAATACTCTTTCTTTCGGACGAAATGGAAAGTTCCATAATGATCTTAATAAAAATGAATAATATATAAGCCCATATATACAAGTCCATCCCATTGATAATATATCACACATTTCTATTGAAGGGGTAAATATTTTAGCGACCGCACTCGCGTTATTATGTCTATTCGGTTATGTCGATTTTATAAGCTTTTTATCATTTTATATCTTTTCAACATATCCGGTAACCAAGGGGTAAAATACCAGCACTAGACTTCATCACCAGTTTCATTTAAAATCGTGTGAGTGTTAATATTATTGTTGGGATTTCCAGGGTCTGATTTTTGGAAAATCAAACTGGTTCAAGCAAGTATAGAATATTTGTTTGTAGATCTAGATTGTAACCGTCTTCGACTTCCAAGGTAATTATGGAGCAACTACTGAAACCTTGTGAATCAAGATGGATTGTAAGTAAAGCCTCAGTCACATTTGATCTACGGCAACCATACAGAGGCCGTAGAGCCCGCCGTAGAGCAAATGAAGCTGAGCCGTTGCAAATTGTAACTGCCTCGCCATCATGTTGCTTGGCCACCATGTAATATTCATCATTTGCCATTTAATAAGGAGTCTATGCGGCAAATGTTATCCCACCTAAGGCAAAGTTCACCAATACTGTCATTACGGCTAGTCCAAAGGAATATGACAACGTGGATTCCCTGAGAACGTCATGTTCTCTGAACTTTGCTGCGAGCACCACCAAACCAATGAACCAGAGAATTCCTGAAATAACAAAACGCAGTGTCAAGAAATGTGGGACAAAACGGCCCTATGGAACAAAATGGTCATATGGGACAAGACGGTCATATGTGTCAAGACGGTCATGTGGGTCAAAACGGTCATATGGGACAAGACGGTCATATGGGACAAAACGGTCCTATGGAACAAAATGGTCATATGGGACAAGACGGTCATATGTGTCAAGACGGTCATGTGGGTCAAAACGGTCATATGGGACAAGACGGTCATATGGGACAAAACGGTCCTATGGAACAAAATGGTCATATGGGACAAGACGGTCATATGTGTCAAGACGGTCATGTGGGTCAAAACGGTCATATGGGACAAGACGGTCACATGGGACAAAACGGTCATATGGGACAAAACGGTCATCTGGGACAAAACGGTCATGTGGGTCAAAACGGTAGTATGGGACAAAATGGGCATATAGGAGAAGACGGACATATGGGATAACACGGGCATATGGGATGAGACGGTCATATAGGACAAAACGGCCATGTGGGACAAAACGGTCATACAGGACAAGACGAGTGATGGGACAAAACGGTCATATCGGACAAAACAGTCATATGGGACAAAACGGTCATGTGGGACAAGACAGGCATATGGGACAAGAAGTCGTATTGGAAAACAATTTTTTGATTGTATATGATTGATAATATTAATACCATTAGATGCATGGTGCGCGTGTAGAACTAAAATGGCATCCTGAAAATCTTCAATTTGTTTAGAAAATTGCAACAGGAAGCTAAGGAAACAAGAGATGGTTATCATCTCTCGTGATGTAAAGTATAGTTTTAGCTAGATTCTAGTACAAGTGTATTTAACAATCAATATGTGTTGATTCAAAAGATCTTTAAGATTTACGATAATCAATCTTAATCCGATATTTTCTATTCGGCGAAACAACTGATTTGAAGAACATCATGGTATGTTTAGGCTTACTCTTTGCATTCGTTTCGTTTGACTTGGAAAAGCAGCTTCTTAAAACAGTTTCGTCCACGGAAATCTCGAATTTAACTTCCAGAATTGCTCAGACTCTCGAATAATTAAATTCTAATTTTAGGCCCAAAGCCAGCTTTTCCGACTGAGGAGCTCTTACTGATCAGAAGGGCGCATCTTTCAAGAGAGCGCTCATTTTTTCAGAAGGGCTCTCAATTTTCAGAAGGGCTAACATTTTTCAGGAGAGCTATAATTTTTAGCAGAGCTTGAAATTAATCAAAATGTTGTCAATATTACAAAATAATGCAATTTTTCGATATTAAAATGCCAATCTAACAAATACGGTTTTCCAAAAGGCAGCAAACTACTATAGTAACGAGAAACGCACATGTAGATCGTACGATGTTGTCATTTTTTCTCTTTAGCAGGTTTAAGACCAGAAAATGAATCCGAAAATGTTAAAAATCGCTTTAATTGTTTGAACAAGCATTATGATACGACAGAAGTTTTACTAGGTTCCTCTTTAGATCGGCTTGTATTTGTACCCTTTATTTCAAATCACGGCCAATATTTTACTTATCACTTGGCTTGCTTATGATATTGAATGGTGATGATTGTTTTTTGACCTCATTTTATTAAAATTCATTTCCAATGGTCACATTTTCATGGAAAATAATGGTGTTTCCAGGACATCCTGCTTTTTACATCCAAAGTCTTCCCCCTTATGCTCGGGTCATTGGGCTTCAGCCTTTAAATATTCTAATGGACTTGAGTACTGTCGATAGATGGCATGCCGTTCACTAGCATTACAAACTCATCAAGGAGGGGCTAAATGGAGGAGGACTGCTAATTTCAATCTTAAATATTGGCAATTGAATAAATATAGTCTATTGCGATGAATAATTTACCTCATGTTCATCAGATATCTAATACTGATTTTTCAATTCATTTTTCAAATAGCCAATTTGCAGTCAGCTTGTTGGATAAAATGCTATCAGTGGAGTGTACAACTATGGCCTTAAAAATGTGTAATTGAAAACGTTTTCGATGACACTGAATCTAGGTCAAGGTCAGAATTTATTTGTCGAAAAAATAGATTGACTATACTGTATACTGGATTGACCAGAATATGATAGAATGCTTAGAATGCTGCAAGGGTATTTTACAGGTATACACTTGCTTCTCTCTGGACAATAAACAATATTAGCCTACACCACATACCATAAGCGTAAGCTCGGAGAACTATACACACAGTGGACAAGGGTACTTAAAATCCTGTTGAATGGTCCACAAAGCTGAAAATGAAAGCATAAATGAAGTCCTTTGAAGAAGGATGGCCTAGCTATCATATTATATGACGTACGAAAGTACTTGAATAGTCCTATATAATTACTTGAATTTCTTGAATTCCCCTATTATATATTAAGCATGTTCACAATTTGATATTTTCAATATAACTTTATTATATGTGCTTACAAAATTAGCGACCAACGTTTATTTGTATACATTTAATTATCACAATACGTACAATAATATATGTACAATACATGAAAACAGAATTGCAGTTAATATACACTTAACGATACATATGTAGTGTCTCTGTCGTAAGAAAATGGTAGTAAAAACGCTACTACTAATAAAGTTATTTGCTTGTCTGCATTTAATATTATCAGAACAAAATCCAGAATATAATCAGAGTTAAATGCGACTAAACTGTGTTCGTCATTTATTTACTGTCAGTTGATAAATATATGTTTATTCCACCAGGACATTTTAATGGATATGTCCCATCAATTATCTGATTTATCTAGAGCAATTGACTCCACAATAAATTAAATATTCTCCACTCTCGTTACATAATACTCTCTCTTTCGGACGAAATGGAAAGTTCCATAATGATCTGAATAAAAATGAATAATACATAAGCCCATATATACAAGTCCATCCCATTGATGATATATCACACATTTCTATTGAAGGGGTAAATATTTTAGCGACCGCACTCGCGTAATCATGTCTATTCAGTTATGTAGATTTTACAAGCTTTTTATCATTTTATAACTTTTCAACAAATCCGGTAACGAAGGGGTAAAATACAAGCACTAGACTTCATCAACAGTTTCATTAAAAATCGTGTGCGTGATAATATAATGGTTGGGATTTCCAGGGTCTGATTTTTGGAAAATCAAACTGGTGCAAGCAAGTATAGAATATTTGTTTGTAGATCTAGATTGTAACCGTCTTCGACTTCCAAGGTAATTATGGAGCAACTACTGAAACCTTGTGAATCAAGATGGATTGTAAGTTAAGCCTCAGTCTCATTTGATCTACGGCAACCATACAGAGACCGTAGAGCCCTCCGTAGAGCAAATGAAGCTGAGCCGTTGCAAATTGAAACTGCCTCGCCATCATGTTGCTTGGCCACCATGTAATATTCATCATTTGCCATTTAATAAGGAGTCTATGCGGCAAATGTTATCCCACCCAAGGCAAAGTTCACCAATACAGTCATTACGGCTAGTCCAAAGGAATATGACAACGTGGATTCCCTGAGAACGTCATGTTCTCTGAACTTTGCTGCGAGCACCACCAAACCAATGAACCAGAGTATTCCTGAAATAACAAAACGCAGTGTCAAGACATATGGGACAAAACGGTCATATCGGGCAAAACGGTGATATGGGACAAAACGGTCATGTGGGATGGTACAAGACGGCCATATGGCACAAAACGGTCATATTGGACAAAACGGTCATATAGGACAAAACGGTCATATGGGACTAGACGAGCGTACGGACAAAACTGTCATATTGAGCAAAACAGTCATATGGGACAAAACGGTCATCTGGGACAAAACGGTCATCTGGGTCAAAACAGTAGTATGGGACAAAATGGGCATATTGGAGAAGACGGGCATGTGGGATAAGACGGTCATATAGGACAAAACGGTCAAATGGGACAAAATGGTTATATGGGACAAGACGAGCATATGGGACAAAACGGTCATATGGGACAAAACGGTTATATGGAGCAAAATGGATATATGGGACGAGACGAGCACATGGAACAAGATGGGCATATGGGGACAAAACGGTCATATGGGACAAAATGGTTATATGGAGCAAAATGGATATATGGGACGAGACGAGCACATGGAACAAGATGGGCATATGGGACAAAACGGTCATATGGGACAAAATGGTTATATGGAGCAAAATGGATATATGGCACAAGACGAGCACATGGCACAAGATGGGCATATGGGACAAAACGGCATATGGAACAAAATGGTCATATAAGACGGACAGATGGGACAAAACGGTCATATCGGGCAAAATGGTGATATGGGACAAAACGGTCATGTGGGATGGTACAAGACGGTCATATGGGACAAGACGAGCGTACGGACAAAACTGTCATATTGAGCAAAACAGTCATATGGGACAAAATGGTCATCTGGGACAAAACGGTCATGTGGGTCAAAACAGTAGTATGGGACAAAATGGGCATATTGGAGAAGACGAGCATGTGGGATAAGACGGTCATATAGGACAAAACGGTCAAATGTGACAAAACGGTCAAATAGGACAAAACGGTCATGTGAGACAAGAGGAGCGTAAGAAACAAAACTGTCATATCGGGCAAAACAGCCATATGGGACAAAACGGGCATATGGGACAAGACGTCATATTGGACAAAACGGGCATATGGGACAAGACGAGCGTATGGGACAAGACGGTCATATGGGACATAACGGTTATATGGGACAAGACGAGCACATGGCACAAGACGAGCATATGGGACAAAATGGTCATATGGGACAAAACGGTTATATGGAGCAAAATAGATATATGGGACGAGACGAGCACATGGAACAAGATGGGCATATGGGGACAAAACGGTCATATGGGACAAAACGGTTATATGGAGCAAAATGGATATATGGGACGAGACGAGCACATGGAACAAGATGGGCATATGGGGACAAAACGGTCATATGGGACAAAATGGTTATATGGAGCAAAATGGATATATGGGACGAGACGAGCACATGGAACAAGATGGGCATATGGGACAAAACGGCATATGGAACAAAATGGTCATATAAGACGGACAGATGGGACAAAACGGTCATATCGGGCAAAATGGTGATATGGGACAAAACGGTCATGTGGGATGGTACAAGACGGTCATATGGGACAAGACGAGCGTACGGACAAAACTGTCATATTGAGCAAAACAGTCATATGGGACAAAATGGTCATCTGGGACAAAACGGTCATGTGGGTCAAAACAGTAGTATGGGACAAAATGGGCATATTGGAGAAGACGAGCATGTGGGATAAGACGGTCATATAGGACAAAACGGTCAAATGGGACAAAACGGTCAAATAGGACAAAACGGTCATGTGAGACAAGAGGAGCGTAAGAAACAAAACTGTCATATCGGGCAAAACAGCCATATGGGACAAAACGGGCATATGGGACAAGACGTCATATTGGACAAAACGGGCATATGGGACAAGACGAGCGTATGGGACAAGACGGTCATATTATATGGGAAAGAACGGTCATATGGGACATAACGGTTATATGGGACAAGACGAGCACATGGCACAAGACGAGCATATGGGACAAAATGGTCATATGGGACAAAACGGTTATATGGAGCAAAATAGATATATGGGACGAGACGAGCACATGGAACAAGATGGGCATATGGGGACAAAACGGTCATATGGGACAAAACGGTTATATGGTGCAAAATGGATATATGGGACGAGACGAGCACATGGAACAAGATGGGCATATGGGACAAAACGGCATATGGGACAAAACGGTCATATGGGACAAAATGGTTATAACGGACAAGACGAGCACATGGCACAAGATGGGCATATGGGACAAAACGGCATATGGGACAAAACGGTCATATGGGACAAAACGGTCATATGGGACAAGGCGGTCATATTGGACAAGACGGCATATGGGACAAAATGGTCATATAAGACGGACAGATGGGACAAAACGGTCATATCGGGCAAAATGGTGATATGGGACAAAACGGTCATGTGGGATGGTACAAGACGGCCATATGGGACAAAACGGTCATATCGGACAAAACGGTCATATAGGACAAAACGGTCATATGGGACAAGACGAGTGACAGACAAAACTGTCATATTGAGCAAAACAGTCATATGGGACAAAACGGTCATCTGGGACAAAACGGTCATGTGGGTCAAAACAGTAGTATGGGACAAAATGGGCATATTGGAGAAGACGGGCATGTGGGATAAGACGGTCATATAGGACAAAACGGTCAAATGGGACAAAACGGTCAAATAGGACAAAACGGTCATGTGAGACAAGAGGAGCGTATGAAACAAAACTGTCATGTCGGGCAAAACAGCCATATGGGACAAAACGGGCATATGGGTCAAGACGTCATATTGGACAAAACGGGCATATGGGACAAGACGAGCGTATGGGACAAGACAGTCATATTATATGGGAAAGAACGGTCATATGGGACAAAACGGTTATATGGAGCAAAATGGATATATGGGACGAGACGAGCACATGGAACAAGATGGGCATATGGGACAAAACGGCATATGGGACAAAATGGTTATAACGGACAAGACGAGCACATGGCACAAGATGGGCATATGGGACAAAACGGCATATGGGACAAAACGGTCATATGGGACAAAACGGTCATATGGGACAAGGCGGTCATATGGGACAAAACGGCATATGGGACAAAATGGTTATAACGGACAAGACGAGCACATGGCACAAGATGGGCATATGGGACAAAACGGCATATGGGACAAAACGGTCATATGGGACAAAACGGCATATGGGACAAAACGGTCATATGGGACAAAACGGTCATATGGGACAAGGCGGTCATATTGGACAAGACGGCATATGGGACAAAATGGTTATAACGGACAAGACGAGCACATGGCACAAGATGGGCATATGGGACAAAACGGCATATGGGACAAAACGGTCATATGGGACAAAACGGTCATATGGGACAAGGCGGTCATATGGGACAAGACGGCATATGGGACAAAACGGTTATATGGAGCAAAATGGTTATAACGGACAAGACGAGCACATGGCACAAGATGGGCATATGGGACAAAACGGCATATGGGACAAAACGGTCATATGGGACAAAACGGTCATATGGGACAAAATGGTTATAACGGACAAGACGAGCACATGGCACAAGATGGGCATATGGGACAAAACGGCATATGGGACAAAACGGTCATATGGGACAAAACGGTCATATGGGACAAGGCGGTCATATGGGACAAAACGGCATATGGGACAAAATGGTTATAACGGACAAGACGAGCACATGGCACAAGATGGGCATATGGGACAAAACGGCATATGGGACAAAACGGTCATATGGGACAAAACGGTCATATGGGACAAGGCGGTCATATTGGACAAGACGGCATATGGGACAAAATGGTTATAACGGACAAGACGAGCACATGGCACAAGATGGGCATATGGGACAAAACGGCATATGGGACAAAACGGTCATATGGGACAAAACGGTCATATGGGACAAGGCGGTCATATGGGACAAGACGGCATATGGGACAAAACGGTTATATGGAGCAAAATGGTTATAACGGACAAGACGAGCACATGGCACAAGATGGGCATATGGGACAAAACGGCATATGGGACAAAACGGTCATATGGGACAAAACGGTCATATGGGACAAGGCGGTCATATGGGACAAGACGAGCATATGGGACAAGACGACCACATGGCACAAGACGGTAATATGGGACAAAACGGTTATATGGGACAAATGGTTATATGGGACAAGACGACCACATGGCACAGGACGGGCATATGGGACAAAATGGTCATATGGGACAAAACGGTCATATCAGGCAAAACGGTTATATGGGACAAGATGGGCATATGGGAGAAGACGAGCACATGGCACAAGACGAGCATATGAAACAAGATGGGCATATGGGACAAAACGGTCATATGGGACAAAACGGTTATATGGGACAAAATAATTATATGGGACAAGACGACCACATGGAACAAGATTCCGTCGCATTTTATCTAGTAGCTAGGCATTTGTCACTATCATTAATTAGTGACGAAACAAGTTTCAGAAAAATATTATAGAACAAATAGGTTATTGATGATCGTATTGGAGTATGAATTTTTCCTGAGAAAATATATATTGGCTTCGGAAAATAACATATTGACACTCGGCCCGTCGCCCTCGGTAAATATTTTCCTTGGTCAATATCATATTTTCCCTCGAAATAAGATTCATATTCAATCCCTCCCATTAAATAACCTCTATATATTAGAGCATTATGACACCACCTGGTTCACAGATTCACAAATATTATATACCTGATGTGAAGCACGAGATGGCGATTCCTAATTTTATCTTGTCGCTCCTCTTCTCGTTGTCCATGCAGAGATAGACACAGAATATAAGCAATGACATGAACACCAGGACGACACCCAGGAATATAAAGACTTGCACCGTCTCCCACCATTCAACTGAAAAATATAATGTTATTAGGACAATATTATTGTGTAACTTACTACAGTACTTGTGACTGTTCACAGGAATTATATTTCAAGAATGAACTATTTGGATACATAACTATTTTAATATTTCTAAATATTTAGTGAGGTCTCTTGGCGAAAAATTATCAGAAACGTGAATTCCAACAAGATACATGATTTTCCGAGTACCAGTATAGGTCTACGCATATGCTGAGACTAACATAAAGAGACTAATATTATGATGGTCTCAGGTCTACACGAAAATGAAAAAACAATCCGAATTACTCAGGCTAGATTTACATTAAATTAAATTTAAATTTACATTAAATTAAGACGACCTTCATCAGAACGCTGCACCTCCGACAGACATTTCTATCGACCATTACATTCCAATGTTATGTCATGAGACAAAATGCCCCCCCCCCCCCCTCATTGTGATCAAAGTTTTCTATCAGTTCTTCTATTAAAGAATGATAGCTTGAAAACAGAAAAACTCATGTATTTTCTAAAGTTGCATTTTCCTGTTCAAACCATCTGAATATGTATCATTGCCATTCCCCATAAAATCATAAAGACTGTTACCAGCAATAGGAAATACATGGGACCAAACTTGGTATTTTAATTATGACATTGTATTCGTTCAAAATAATATTGATGGATCAAGATGATTTCAGGATTGAAGCAAGCATGTAATTGTTAATCAATATCGATGTTTAATTCATGAGATTTTAGATGATTTAAGAATGCAATCACGCAAGCAAATATAGAGTAGTCAAGTTTGTCTTGATGGGTGGATTTTAATGGCCGGGTATAAGAAAGGTCTAGCATCGTGGTGAATCCAAGGTGGAGAGTCGGGGTATCAGCAGGTCGCCACTCTCCTAATAAAAGATTTCGATGTTTGTTTTGACTTAAAATTTGACTCTTCATCTTTGGACATCATTTTTGAAAATAGGCCTCGTTCTTTAGGGCACGTGTGTTTTAGTTTGAAACCGTAAGGCGGCCGTAGCTTCCCAAAATCGAGAGAATTATGCAGCATAACACATTGGGATAAGCCTTACGATGTAGATTTCTCCATCAATTTTGTGAAGATACAGCCGCCACACGGCCGCCGAGGAGCGAATGTGACCGAAGCTTAAGAAAACCAATGGACCATATGATGTCATGGGCCGCAAGTTAAATTAATTTTACGAATGCCTTAATTAATAGACAGAATTTGTTCGGTAAGTATTTGTTCTTTTAACTGTTTGCCTGGTAATGGTATTTGTCAACCTTGCGTTTATTCATCTAAAGTATTGCTCAATTTTATAGCATTATAACATTCGGCTCAAGTTATGAAAATATGCAAACTGGAAACCGAATCCAAAACACGATCTAGTAGTTTACAACTCCAATGCTAGTTCAAGTACGTCAGCATAATTTGAGTCCAGATAAAACAATTTTCTACTGATTTATTATCATTTGAGGCAATGGAATAAACTCCCTACCAAAAGTTTGGAAAACCTAGCTCCTCCATTTGATTGATTTGAACCATTTTGCCAAAGCATGTTTAAAGTCGATGATTATCAAATACTCACAAATATCAAATTTGTGTGCAGAGGAGAAAATTTCAAAAATTAACAGGCTTTATATTATAGCATTCTTTCCGATGGAGAGTGGAATCAGTGGATGTCGTCAAGCGTTTGAAGGGGAGTGGATGCATATTAATAAACGAATAATCAACTAACCAGGTAAACGATCACACCACAATCTACAATACGAATACGCTGAACAAACGGCAAATGACAAAGGCCGTCGTTATATATATATGCTTTTAAGTATGCTTTATGAACAGGTAATAATGATATCATCAAGCTGACAATAATACATGATACGGAACAACAAGATACACGCATGTAACACTTTGCAAAGATGAACCTTGACTTAAATCCGATATTTCCTCATAAAATTGCAATGCTCATCGTGATAATAATAGTCCAGGGCAACCTCTCTTTCATTCATCATAGAGGTTCTCGTCATATATAGTCAAGAGGGACTTGTAAATCATATCCTCCGATCGCAAGGCTCCATCCAAGATCCAGAATATCAGGAAGAAGGAGGGACGAGTTCGGTATCCCCATGGGCTTTCAATTAGTCTAGTTGAAAGCCCATGGTAGCCCTTTGTTCGGAGTATTTTAACATAGAGGAAATTCCTTAGGGGTACATGGGCCAACAAGGAAGTTTTCTTCCAATTTCAAAATGAGTTAAAAACCAAACCATGGATCTCTTTTTAAATGGCTTGAAGTTATATTCTATTACAATTCTATCACTGTTAAAATTATATATCTGCTTTAAATGGGCTTATTAGCCTCTTGCAGGACATAGACATAGATAGGAAGATGGTAAATCAAAATGGGTTATATTTTTGAACCAACCCTGAGGGTTGAGAAAACAGAAACTACCAAAAATCCAAAAAGTAAATATTACACATAAATGTACATGTACATCTTAAAACCGTTTGGTTATGTTTCCTTTTTAGTTTTAAATAATCCCTATACCTGGCTCCCTGCTAATTCAACATTTGACAATGTTGGGTTATCGCCAAAATAATAGAGATTTTCAACAAATCTATGAAAGTCTTGTGAAAAACTGAATTAGGTGTGAGTTAAAATCATCGCCAATAATCGAGAAGAAAAACAGGGACTAATACGTCCAAGGTCGTAAAGTATCCCTAGCAAGTTTTTGTCGTATAGTTTGATGTACCTTATAAGTAATTATCCGTGAGAATTTGGCCCAGGGAACTTACAAATCAAATCAAATATAGGGAACATACATTTTATTTGATTTCACTTAAAAATGCATAATCGACTGGATAATTCTATTCACCAATACACATGACCAATCTAGCTGCCAACGACGCAGTTGTTATTTGTGTTACATCTCAATTCAGGGACGACTCTAATAATGTGTCCCCATTGCCTCATCATTCTCCTCTTTATTTGTTGTTAAAAGTTACTTCGACAATCTTTCAGAATAGATAAATGATTCATATTTCATGATTTATCACGGACGGGACTGATATAAATACATCCACGACTATGATTTATTCCCGGGGATTTGTTTCACTCGGTGTATGATATCCCTCGTGTCTACTACCCCAGACCATCATATTCGAGGGAAGATATAGCCTATCAATTATTATTAGGAGATCGTCTTAAACTTCAAGAACCAGGGGAAATCAAAGCAATGACTGAGAACAAATAACCATTGCAAGAGCATGACTCTTCATGGAAAGGTCTCTTTGATACTAGGCTAGAAAGATCCAATGCAGACCTATTGGCGCAGCCAGGGGCGTGACTCCCTGACTCGCACCCCCCCCCCTCCCCACTTCTGAGACCCCTAGCAGGAAAAGCAATGGCAATACGGCCATGTGTGCAAAATTTTAAGCTATTTAAACATATTGTTTAGCTATACTCCATTTGTGTCAGTGAGATACATTCAAAGGGATCACCTTGCATCACATGACCTGCATATAGTCCTGCTTCAGACTGTGGACCTCCCCACAGGGGGAAGGGGCGGGGCATTCGAGGATTTGTAGCTAGACTAAAAACAGTTCTAGTTTGAAGAGTAGTAAACTATTGTTGCTTGTTTTCGCACATTAATCTAAAAACATGTCGAGTGACTGGTCATTCTCCTTACAAACGTTGAAGGTATGAAAGTGAAATGTATGATACAATATGTAGTCTGTGTATATAGAGAAATGGTAGTCTCCATGAAGACGACACCTCCAAAAATGTATCCCCATATATGTAGAGAACAAAAATCCATACCTCTATATGACATGGTCCCTATGCTGGAGACGCACTCCGAGACTGATTCAAGGTTATACGATTCATGGAAATCCTTGGTGGTACATACAAGCCAAAGTCCTATCATTGTAGTCTCGGAACTTGTAGGATTCTCCGTCGACTTGATGAGCCATCCCGGGGCAACGAACACCACAAGGTTCAATAGCATCACCACTATAAACACAACCAAGACAACCTTGGCACAACCCGAGTTGTTCCCCATCCTGCTTCCCTTTCCTTAACTCAGTCCCAGGGTTTCAATCTCCTGCAGTTTCTCTCTATTTTATATCTTCTATTATTGACATTGATTGCTTTACACTCTATTGGATTTTTTTAATCAGCATTAGATACCCTGATACTATGATACTCAGGGTAATAATTAGAGTCCATTTGTTTGAAATTTAACGAGAACGCCCGCTCGTCGCCATCTTGCATAGTACCTGTAGTCAATTTTACGTGTTTATGTTTTTTGCTTTTAAGCCTTTTTACTACAACCGTTTGTTATGCTCTGTTATGCTCTGTTCTTTTACTATAAAATACATAAATCGGGTAAATAGTTGAGGTCATGAACATTTTGAATAGGCACTCATATCGTGTTACACTTTGCCGGGCTCATTTAATGAACTAACGAGCTCTATTTAAACTGAGTTTCCAACACTTTGAGGAGTTTTTATTCTATATAGATCTAAATCCGCATATATTCCCTAGATTGTAGCTGATCGCTTATATCAATAATCTGAGTGTGTAGTTTCCAAATTGAAAATTATTGCAATTTTGTTAAAGCAACTTTAATTTAATCCCCGACGTCTATTTTATCGTTTATGTGTCAAATTGATGCTTTTAAGGTAACCCTGTTACCGCGTCTTCTTTCGAAAGCCTTCACTCTCTTTCTGGAATATTGTGAAAAGATTATTGGAAAAACGTCAAGTATTGTCCGTGAATTCTCCAAACGAAATTGATTCCCCGGAATGTTTACACCTTCAATTTAAACGTTCAACCGTATTTGGAGAAAGCACATCCTCTGCAACCGATGGTTGATATGAAGATGAGACAATTATCGCACCTTAAGGTATACCTGTAATAGCTCGATAATTGTCTATTAGAATCTTTAACGCAGTCAATAATCTCAATATTTAATCATCTGACTAAAGATCGATGGGGCTAAGAACGCTAAGATGATGGATGCCATTGTGGAATTTAATTTGATATTCGTGTGTATATCACTTTAAAATTAATTTTAAAGCATATTTCAGTTCGAGTTTAGATTTTTTCCTCAATATAACAATAGCAAAAAGTTATGATTGGTCCTTTTTTAAAACACATGGGATAAAAGGTAGTTGGTTTGCCAAACGTATTTAGGGTAGTGTATCTTTTAAATCATGCTATGTAAAAATCCTGTTAGCTTTAAAATGAGAAAAACAACAAAGTCATGAGGACTTGATTGAATTTGAAGGCTTTCAGGTGAAACGGAAAAGGTGTTGTTTTATATGGTTTCTCTCAACTCAAAATGCTACGTTTAAATATAGCCATGTAGAGAAATTATCCTTGCAATATTTTAATCGTATTTGTGTTTTGTGACTGTTTGTTGACGGATGTTTGGGTAGTTCCCATGACGTTTCTCTGTTCCGACTTACACCCCCGTCATAAATTTGAAAACCAATGCAATGTTAGAATTTTTATCTGCAAAACCTAAATTAAAGAAATACCTACCTATAACTATTTTGGGCTGGAAATGTAAATTGAAGTTCATTCCAAATAACTCAGATTTTCCCAAAGATTCCCATGCTGACAAGAGTGAAATGATTGTTTTGCTATTCTGCAGGTAGATAGTCTATACATTCATTCATTCTAGCAATCTACAAATTTATTCTATGTAGACAACTGGCTTTCATGCCTTTATTTGACAAATAATTGATCGACAGGATCAAAAACAAAAGGGTTATAGGTCTTATAGGTTATGTATTAACCCTAAACCTAGAGATCTCTAGCTCCTAACCCCCCCCCCCTACCCCCCTCCCGATTGGGAGACCCAGAGACTTGAATATCAAACTCTGTAAATCTAAGATGTTGAAAAGGCGCTGTACGAGCAATCGAATATTCTCAGATTATTTATTGCTTTTTGTTTTCGAAGATTCCACACAGGACTTCTCAAATATAAATTATTCCGGCCATTGCCACATTATTGGCAGATTACACTTTATGGTAGTCTTGTAAGAGGATAAGTTATCTCTTGCAAGACCAAGCACGATTAATTTTATTAAATGTCTACAATTCTAATCTATAGTAGAGCCGGGAGTAGAGCACCAATGAGAACACACCATGTTCAAGTCTCGTAATGTAGGCAGAGTATAAGTATTTTGGCTAATTATATTGATTATAATTACACATCGGTACCTTAAAAAGGATTTGCATCCTGGTAGTATAAATATCGTTGTATCAAACGAAGAAGATGCAACATTATGTGAATATACTAGATTGTTATGCTTTAGTAATTTGATATTTTCAGCTTCATGGCTGAAAATATGTACATCAGTCGAAATCAGGCGAGCAAAGAGATAGTTTGCAATCTACTTTAACTTGAAAGTTGTTGATTTTCTTTCTCAGAGATATTTACTTTTCTTTTGACGTTTCGAAGGATGTCCATCCTACTTCTTCAGAAATAAAATTATATTTGAATCAAACTGGGTGGACATCCTACGAAGCGTCAAAAGAAAAATAAATATCTCTGAGAAAGAAAATCGACAACTTTGTTAATAGTACATTACCACCAGAGAGGAACATTCATAGAAGTACTTATAGCATGTTTATTATTCCCGTATAACTTATAAACCGTTTGATAACGTCATCATTTATTGCGCAGTCGATACGGCCATGGGTGTGATATATAGGATATCCTATGATTTTGAGGAATGTCATTATTATCTACGAGGTGATATTGATATCTGCACGAGAGAGCGAAGCGATCACCGAGTAGATTGAAATGATATTCTAAAAAATGCATAGGAATTTCTTATTATCCTACACTTACTGGTAGTGTACTAAATGTTTGATATCATTGAAAAATAAATTTCATGTCAAATAGTTCAATTTGGCGGGAAATCAACAAGCGGATCGGAGTATATCGTCACGATGTCCTCCGCATATTGGTTTCCCGGAGTATATCGTAGCGATATCCTCCGGTTATTCATATTGCCAATAGATATCAAATTTATTTTTTGATGTTATTATACATATAGTACACTAACTTAAGTGTAGGATAATTTTATAAATCGTCGTCTATGCGTATGAATATCACACTTATGGACATGAGCTATAAGTGATTTGCAAAATCCATCGATTCCATCTATTTATCCACTCATCTCGTAGTTTACATTCAACACTAGTGTAGGTAACAGGGGTAGCGTCAACAAGATTTAGAGACGAAGAATTTATCTATTTGACGGAAAAGGGGGTGCGTTTGCATTGCACCCCCCCCCCCTCCCAAAGGGCCATGTTCACCATCTATTGACCTGAAATACTACAATGTGGCAACTGATCAGTAACATGGGTAGCATTCATCATAACATAGTGACATCTTTCAATGATTGTAAAAAGAGGGGTATGTTTGCATTGCACCCGCCCCCCCCCCCCCCGACGACCATGTATTGTATTGTATTATCTTCATTTCCTCCTAATAAAAGAAGAGCACAATAGTAACAGAGAGTAACTGAAATACTATGGTAAAGCGTGGCAGCTGATCGGTGAAATGGGTTGCATTCATCATAACACAGTGACATCTTTCAATGATAGTAAAACTTTATCAGATTCAACAAGATTTAGAGAAATCATCGATATCATTATTGATGAAGAATTTATCTATTTGACGGAAAAGAGGGTGCGTTTGCATTGCACCCCCCCCCCCTTCCCAAACGGCCATGTTCACCATCTATTGACCTGAAATACTACAATGTGGCAACTGATCAGTAACATGGGTAGCATTCATCATAACATAGTGACATCTTTCAATGATGGTACAAAGAGGGGTGCGTTTGCATTGTACCCCCCCCTTCCCAAACGGCCATGTTCACCATCTATTGACCTGAAATACTACAATGTGGCAACTGATCAGTAACATGGGTAGCATTCATCATAACATAGTGACATCTTTCAATGATGGTAAAAAGAGGGGTGCGTTTGCATTGTACCCCCCCCCCCCTTCCCAAACGGCCATGTTCACCATCTATTGCCCTGAACTACTACAATGTGGCAACTGATCAGTAACATGGGTAGCATTCATCATAACAAAGTGACATCTTTCAATGATGGTAAAAAGAGGGGTGCGTTTGCATTGTACCCCCCCCCCCCCCCTTCCCAAACGGCCATGTTCACCATCTATTGACCTGAAATACTACAATGTGGCAACTGATCAGTAACATGGGTAGCATTCATCATAACATAGTGACATCTTTCAATGATGGTAAAAAGAGGGGTGCGTTTGCATTGTACCCCCCCCCTTCCCAAACGGCCATGTTCACCATCTATTGACCTGAAATACTACAATGTGGCAACTGATCAGTAACATGGGTAGCATTCATCATAACATAGTGACATCTTTCAATGATAGTAAAAAGAGGGGTATGTTTGCATTGCATCCACCGCCGCCCCCCCCCCCCCCCCCCTTGCCCAACGACAATGTTTTGTATTGTATTATCTTCATTCATTTAAGAAGAGCACAATATAGTAAAAGAGAGTAACTGAAATACTATATAGTATAGCGTGGCAGCTGATCGGTGAGATGGGTTGCATTCATCATAACACAGTGACATCTTTCAATGATAGTAAAACTTTATCAGATTCATTCATGACACAAAACCACTATTTCGCGAGATCTCTTCAATTTTACATTTATACTAATGCCTGGTCTACACGTTACTCAATGGGTTGTAGTTGGATAAAGGGTGGACATAAACATGGTTAATCATTTAATCCCAGGTGGCAACGAATGTGAAGGAAGCAACAATGACTAGAGACAGGTTGAGGGTACTTTCTTGACAAATTAATCAATTGTCACATTTTAAAAATATTTGAGCTCATATTTTTCAATTATTTCAAAAAACTAACTAAATTTCAGAATATTCTTCGATTTTGTGTCATCTTGGATCACCTTTTTTAAATAAAGAAATACTTTGAATGGCTTGTTTTAATTTTAAACTTTTTCTGACATTTGACACATTTCTGGTAATAAAGGAATGAAAACAAATGTTTAACGAATCTAGTAGTTACATAAAAAGTAATCAAATAATACATATGTTTGCAATAGAGGTTTTATTATATTATATCAATTTAAAACAAAGCTGGACAAATTAAATCACAAAATACCTACATACATTTAACATGTAAAATAGCGTTGTTCAATAAGACACTTAAATTTGTACAATATTTTATAAAATATGGCAATATCTTGGTACAGTAGGCACCATGAAATAATAACTATTTTAATTTAGATCTGACTTATGCATTTTTATATATCATATGCAACAACATATATGCATCAACATATATGCAACAATATGTATATGCATCAACCTCACAGATAGAGAACAATGGACTTTACGAATTCTTAACTTTAAGAATGTTCTGTTAATGGGCCCCTGAACACCTTTGAATGGTCTCAATTGAGCTTTTTCCAATGCATATCATATGCACATATGCAAAAATATAATATGTATTAACACATATGATATATCATCACCAACATATAGTATATCATCAGTATAGTACTCTATTGCAGCACTGGAATTACATACAGTTTACATAAAAATATACAATTTATTTTTACATCTACATCTATAATATTTACAAACTGTCAATATGATCCTGTCAGATTCTACATGCCATATTCCATTTTGCAATTACCATATCCATCAAAAAATGATGTTTTCTGAATTATGAACAATGACATACTTAAATATTCTAGGCATACCTCAACCCCCCCCCCCCACCCCCACCTCTCATCCTCAACCCACCCCCTTCATACATCTGCAAATGTACAAAACAAACAATTTTGAAAATATTCAGCATATTTGTAACAAAAGATTCCAACAGCTTAAATCCATATCTAAAACCAAGATAAAGTTGGGGAGGGAGGTGGGAAATAAAATATGAGTAAGGTAGAAGTGCATCTTTTTCCAAAATACTGCCATGAATATTTCAGGTTGATACCTGAACATCAATTAATCTCACCATTGTACATCCAGACACCTACATGTGCCACATATCCAATAGATATGTTTCTCAGTTGTTATCAATAATTGTTTCTCTCATAAAAAAATTATTTGTTTCTCATTCTTTTGTCCCGTTCTTATCAATATACAGGGTGGGCCAAAAACAATACTCAAGTATTGGTTTTTTGGCCCACCTTGTATATGAGCAAAGTAAGTGGCCATGGTAAAGCATGGTAAAATGTGACTTTAGCATCACAATATGCATACAGATTTTCATACAGTTAATCTCCAATGCTGATCAGAGCGGCACCATAATATAAGGGTTATGTACATTTTACATTTAAGAAATGCTTGAATATAATATTGGTGTGTTATAAAAAGCTATTTTATATTACAGCATATTATATTGCATCCATTTGAGCACCACTAATAACGTTATTGTTCACAGACATTCATTCTAGCCATATCTCTAGATCATCAATGATCTTAGCATAAAACTTCATAAAACTTCCTTTTAAAGAGATGAATATGTAAAACAGTTAAAGGGTCATATACAGCACCAAGAATCATTTCATTTAATAGATGTTAAAGGGTTATAAAGAGCATAAAGCGGTTCATAGATTTATAATTTGTTTTTATGCCTTTGAATTCATTTGATCGCAAGACACAAAACTGAACTCAATTTCCATCATTCTAAATTATCATATCAAATGCACAGAACAAACATTTAAAGGGTCACATGATGCATGAAATGATTTAGCTTAAAATGTAATTTTACACAAATAGCAGACAAAGGAATTAAGATAAAGGTTGTTTTACAGTAATGAAAAGTTACAGTAATGAAAAGTTCATAAATGTCATAACTTATAGCATATTATGGAAATGTAAAACCCTCCAGTGCTTTTATCATATCATATTTAATATATACATTAACTAATAACCTAATGAAGCTAATATGTTGCGTCAGTAAAGGCAAAGAAATAAAACACAATCATTCTGAATTATTCCGTCTGAATTTAAGTCAATTAAAAGATAATTCTATGAATGCGTATCTGAGAGAAATATGTCAGACTGATATTCATTATTAGTTCCTTATAAGAGTACAGTTAAATCCTTGGGAATAGAAAAATATATGATATGAATATCAATCTTATTAATTTATTAATTTTACTATAGTAATATTGACTTTAGCGTTTATCTGATTCTGAAGGATTATTAGCAATTTTGAATGAAACCCGAGGAGTTTTGTGTCAATAAGTACACAAATATGAAGTATAATAATAAAACCTGTCTATGTGAACACCTCTTTCTAGTGAAAGCCTTTAGTGAACACCATTTCAAAACACAATTTACATTCTTGACTCCTGTATAAAATCCCATCTCTGTAGTGAACACCTATCTAAAGTGAAAACTTTTTGTGTCTCCATAGGTGTTCACTTTTATGTTTAACTTTCACTTTTCATGTTTAACTGTATACAAAAATAGTTCAGAAAAACCTGTCTTAGTGAACACCTGTCTCTAGTAAACACCCTTCTTTTCCACATTCTCTACTGACTTCTGTATAAATTACCCTCTCTGTTGTGTAACACCAACAATTAACATTTTTTCTTGGCGAAAACATGAATGTTCAATATACACAGGTTTTACTGTATATTGAGTATACCCCAGAAGCAAGACATTGATGCTGATGAAAACAAAAAACAGGTGAAAACAAAATTAGTTTCACCCCACTCCATACAATTACATTCTCCTTGTGGATCTTTATTTTCCTTTTTTATGTTCTCTAATCTCGTCACAACTTAAGGATACAATTAAATATATTTTTGAATACACAATTAAGGCAAGCATCTAATGTTTGATTATATAGCACTATATGAAGCAAGTAACAAAAGCACACAATCTGTGTTTAAAAGGAAAAATATCTTTTGTGAAAACATACTCAGAATTTTGCCTAATACAATATACTTTTCTTGAATATTTTTGGGATTTTGTCAATTCTTTAGCAATATTACAAGCTTCGGGCATGTTTATAAGAAAAACACTTAGACTTTGTAATATGTGGATTCTGAGTCATGCATCGTGTCAGATCTTATCGTCAAGATTCCACAATATTACAACACGACTCATTCTTTCTGGAAATACTCAGATAGCCATGCAACAAGCTGAACCCTCTTTCTCCCCAATCTATTTTGCCAACATGTGTTATAGAGAGAGTGGGGGACAAACAGTTCTTGCATCACTTCAGCTTTAAAAACAATGTATCTGCACAGTTAAGGTAGACCAAGTAGAATGAAAAATTTGGCTAATTAAGGTAGACCAAATAGAGTGAAAAATTATACTCATAAAGTTAGACCAAATAGAATGAAAAATTTTGTTGATTAAGGTAGACCAAATAGAATGAAAAATTTGGCTGATTAAGGTAGACCAAATAGAATGAAAAATATGATTTATTAAGCTAGACCAAATAGAATGAAAAATTTGGCTAATTAAGGTAGACCAAATATAATGATCTGTGTAACCCATGGCATGTTATCAAAAACATCGATTGATTTTCTGAGTCTTCTCTAGTATAACATACTGTACATTAGTTGCTTAAGATGATGTCCCTTTGGTTTTCCCTTGACACCTCTGTAACCATAGGCCCAGGAACAAGCATACCCAATGCCAAGTTGAAGTTTATCCAAACGGACACTGGCTGACATAAGAAAAAATCTTTGATTAAACGAACTTTGATTCAGCATTAATTATACATGTTCTTGGGCCTAGGAATATACCATCCATATGCCAAAGTATTTTGAACATTCTAATGGAATATAAACTTAGCAATGTTTCTACACTTTCCAATCAGCTCTTCCAATATTGATGCTCTCTCCTATCATAAGGAACGATCCAATCAGACTGAGGAACCCGGAGACGACCTCAAATCCAAATGCATAAGACAGCTCCCCATCATGTCCACCAAACATATCTGTGGATTTGTAGAAACTTCCAAATAAGGCAACAGACACTATGGCAAACACAGCTGAAACAAGATGATTGGTTAATTAGTTTTGTGATATCACATGATTGGTTTAATAGTTGCATGATATCACACGATGTGTTAATAATTTGCATGCTATATATGAATAAATTGCTAAAACTTGTCCACATAATGAAGATACAGTAAGCAATTCTCAATTTTCTCCTTTTTTCTGATACATTTGAGGAGCAAATTGACAACCATAAACCACATCATCAGGCCTCCTAGAGGCTCTATAGAGTACATGTTACCAAACAAAAAAGGATTAGCTGGTTGGACATTTAGTATAAGAATTAACTATTTGTTTCAGTCCTAGTGTTTTCGTATATTTACAGCACCCTATGCAGACAGAGCCTGTGGGAAATATTGGGTGCGGAGCAAATGAGCGGAGGGTGCGGAGCTAACGGTCATTTTTGAATTTAAATTTGGGATATTTCTGAAACTAAGCCGTTTTGGGACTTTAAATATACCAAGATATGTGTATGTGACACCAAATATCAATACAATTGTGAAAATAGTAGCGCAATTCATTCTATAGCGACGCAGTGTGCCTTAAACCTTTCTCAGACCTATATCTTTGAAATTATCCTTTTAATACTGAGTCCCCAGCATTCATAAAAAATGGTGTTCAAGGTACACTATCTATACAAATTATTTTTGCATCTTGGAAGCCAGGCAGTATCTGTGTGATTTTATAAAAATTCGGAAATGTTTTTCAGATATGAGCCCCCTCTAAATATTGGGTGCGGAGCAGCTCCATAAACGTACCTCCGCACCCAATATTTAGAGGGGGCTCATATCTGAAGAACATTTCCGAATTTTTATCAAATCACACAGATACTGCCTGGCTTCCAAGATGCAAAAATAATTTGCATGGGTAGTGTATCTTGAACACCATTTTTTATGAATGCTTGGGACGCAGTATTAAAAGGATAGTCTCAAAATATATAGGTCTGGGAAATGTTTAAGGCATACTGCGTCGCTATAAAATGAATTGCACTACTATTTTCACAATTTTATTGATATTTGGTGTCAAATACACATATCTTGGTATATTTGAAGTCCCCAAACGGCTTAGTTTCAGAAATATGCCAATTTTAAATTCAAAAATGACCGTTAGCTCCGCACCCTCCGCTCATTTGCGCCGCACCCAATATTTCCCACAGGCTCTGTCTGCATAGGGTGTACAGTATGTCATAGAATCAGACAAAGATGAATGTCTTATTTTTTCTTCATTAAGTTGTCTTTTATGCTGACTTGATTACATATCATTTATCGGTCAGTCTGCCGTTATTATGACTTATGACAACTCACACAATCTGTAATGCTCAGATGACAATATAATGAGAACAGAGCAGTATAATGTGAAATATTACATGTTCCAGTAAAAGCTTTTGCACCTTAGCAACCGAGGTAGATTTATGATGACTCATATAAAACTAAATCCAAAAAGCAACATAAAGGATTTCTCTATGACAAAATACTGTGAAAAGTATGGTTTGCATAAACTGATTCAAACTGAAGCAAAGGAATCTGACAACACATTAGTCCAGTCATCCTTGAACCTTCAGCATATAGCCCTGCATGTGCCTCGGAAGTTCAATATAAATAGTGTAGGCTTTATCATGGGCCTTGAACTCGAGACATATCCCGGGAGACATATCCACGTCAACAAATAAAAGGTATTGACAAAAGGAAAACTTGGTTTAGTATAATAAAAACAAAGAGTAACAAAGTAAGATCTGTCTGACACTGATCTACACACACCAATTGTGAAAACTGAGATTAAAACTTGAATGAAACATAAAACGAACAATCTGACAATAACCTAATTAATATTGTACGTTGAATGCAAGTTACAAGCAGGTTGAAACGAACTATTCAAACAAGCATGATGATGAATCTCATAAAAAATTCAATAACCTATAGATGATTAATGAATGAATGTTAGTGTGATATGCATCGTAGATCAAAACTCGCAATCAGTGAAATGATGATGCATGGCTCTGAACAGCAACATGCCGTCACATTGTATAACACACATTTCAATATTGGTTCATTGAATAAAAATTCAGCCAAAAAATGGCAGAAATTGTGTTGCATGTTATGTCAACATACATTCAACTTATACGATTAATTATGTTGTAATTGTGTAATTATATGATTCATAAGCTCATTACAATCCAAGGAACACCTTCAAATTGATTTCGGGGATTTGATTTTGTCTCACCATCTTGCAAATGAGATTTCTTCTTGCTATACAGAAATCAGGAGGTACATGTATAGATTGTCCTTTTGGGACAACTCTACCTTCTGTTCCAGTGTCTGTACCCTTGACCATATCTATAGTTTCAGGGATCAAGGTTAGAAGTACATGCTTCTCAAAACCAAAACCATGGTATCAATCTTGACAATACCTAATAAAAAGGCAAAATGTGCAAGTAAGCCATTTTAAAAACATTCAACCTTAAATTTGGGAAATCAATGGTTGTACATTGGACTAACCAGGGACTTGCAATTGTTTACAGTCAACAACAAATACTTACTTGCTAAGAAACATATACATATGATGAACATAATCGCCCATCTTCGCTCCATACATGCATCACAGCACAGGTATGACATCATCAACAATAGACCAATCAGAAGCAGGCTGGCATTCACAAGGGTCATGGCCTGAACTGCTTCAAAATATGTTGCTGCAAAGTAAAGGAGAAAATACAAACATCAAGAAAACAAAATATTTCAGTTTACAGTTAGAATCTACTGGTATATACAGTGAAACGTGTTATGTGAAACACCTCTACAAGTTGAACACCTCTGTTAGTGGAACATTTTTTAGAGTCCCAAGACCAATTGACTTCATGTTAAATAAACCTCTTTAAGTACATCACCTCCCAAGTGGAACACTTTTCCAAAGGTGTTCCACTTTGAGAGGTTTTACTGTACATTGAAAATATGATCTTTTATCATTGTTACAGATCAATACAACAACCTGTATTTAATTTATTTCCAACTTTCCAGCAAGATAAGAGAAAGAAGGTCATAGAGATTGATTGATTGATGACTGATTAATATTAACAGATAGATTGAACAAACAAGTAATGTTGATGAGTGAGGATGAATGTTTGGGGATGGAATGGGTAGGGGGAGGAAAATGTGGGGAGCAATAGTTAGGGAAATGGGTGTAAGGGGAGAAATGGGTAGGAGAAATGGATGAGAGGAAATAGGTAGGTAGAGGTAATGGATAGGTAGAGTAAATGGGTAGGGGAAGAAAGAGGTAGGAATGAAAGGGGTAGGTATGGGAAGAAATGGGAAGGGAGAGGAAATGGGTAGGGTGAAATGGATTGGGAGAAATTGGTATGAAATGAAATGGGCGGGAGAGGAAATGGGTGGTAGAGAAATGAGTAATGTGATGAAGAAACAAAAGGATCTGATGAAGGGGAATCACTCTTACGTACATAAATACATGTACATGAACTACACACTTCTGAATGTTCATAATAAATCATAGGTATGTGGACGTCATTCAAAATCAAACCTTTTGATAAACAAAGTTTCACACCTTTAGGTTACTTCATTGAGTACAATAAACAGTAAAACCATCACTGCCAGTTGCTAGTTGATCCAGGTATGAATCATCATTTTGCGTATTCCATAATAAATGAACAAACAATAATAAATAGATACATAAAGATACAGTGGCAGGATGACCTTCAATTTTATCAAATCATACACATTAACTGGCACCTATTTACAATAATAATGGGTAACGCATGACAAATGTCAATATATCAAGATTTTCTTGCGAAGTTAGTGAATAGAGGATGATATTATACATACACCTCTCAATATTGATAACAGATATTTCAAGAAAATTAAGTTTGAGAACTTTTAATGACAAAAATATGGCAAAAATACAACATTTTGTATACAGGTTTTTATTTATTTTATACTGATGGATGAACACTGCAAACAAGTTATGCTCTGAAGGCTAATCGCTATTATTAAAAATAATCACGAAGTCGATTTTTTATTTCAGACAGCGTTTATATGTCATTTACCAAGCTCACAGGGCTATGATTAGATATTTGGAATGACTGGAGGTTTTGGCTTGGGGCAGTTTATATAGTTTATACACCTTTTTAAGCATTTCCTAAATGTCAACTATTTGTGTTAAATACTGTAACCTTAGTCAAATGTCAATGATAATTACCCTGAGGCCTGGCTATATAATACCAACTACTATCCTCTGAGATGGACAAATAAATATATACACAGTTTTGATAGGATCTTAATTAGGTAGCCCCTTAAGTAGATGTTGTGACCTTTAACGGCTTAAAGACATCCTTGGCCCAAGGGTATTTCAATGCGTCCTATATTTAAGTTCTGGTAATGAGAGATGTGCATGGTCTTATAAGCCTGCGAGTGCAAGGGGAGAGGGGTTTTTCTGTGACTGCAAGGGGGAAGAGTGTTTTCCTGTGACTGCAAGGGGGAGGGGGGACTCTCCTGTGAATGTAAGGGGAGGGGGATTTTTGATTGACCTATATTCTGATTTGGAAAGGTTAGATCAATTGATTATATTCTGTTCAAAGAGCGTAAATGAAACAACCTTTAGAGAAGTGGATTAAAAACGGGTTGATGAGAACTTAACTTTTGGTCTAGTTACAAGTTTATTTGGCCATTGCTCCCATTCTCTCATATCTGGAAATTTCATTCATTCATATTTTGTTCCCCAGCTTTGTATTCCTAGTCAATGGCTTCAACTGCTATTTCTTCAAAGGAATCAGGTTAGAGAAACCACAATTTTAAGAGAAGTCTTCTATTCAAACATAACCACACCTATTTATACACTCACAATTATTTACTGCTTCCCAACAAATAACAGTCACCATCCCAAAACAGTCTGATTTATCAAAACCCCTCTTAAAACTACAACTCGTAACTCGTGACATGTTTCTCTATGATGCACTCATAAGTTCACTAACTCTATTCTGTCTTTAAAGATATTTGTATGATAGATTACATTAGCAGATGTTTTCAGGGGAAACACTAGTTCTTTAATATTCTATGATGTACAGGTAATCTAGGGACAGGTGAATATATGAAACATAATGTGATATAACTATAATGACCATAATGGGTCTATTGTCTTCTCTGGTTTTATATTCCATGTATGTTTTATCAAATCTGATTAATCAAATGTTGCATACAATGTGAGTAATAACACTTCAGGTATAAAAGTAGCAGCAGATTCAGGTGTTAAAGCCTCCCCATTGACTCCAGCAATAAGCTTTGTTAACATTCATTGAATCAGTTAAAGGCTCAATTATCAGTGACTCGAACAGTGAACCTTCAGATAAGAATTCAATTACCCGAATGCGAGTAGGTAGTTACCAGTTTCACCACCAGGTGGCTGATTCGGGTCAATTAACATGGCAGGTATATAAGAAAGTTCCCTTAAACTTGAATATTATCAATTTAAGTGGCTCAATTTTCATATAACCCTTATGTGCCTGATACTTATACTAATGAAAATATGTCGAGCAAAGCAAAATATTATCTGTCCACTAAAAGAAAAAATATTTCATTTTTTGTGATTTTATAGCATGGGGTCTATGAGGAATCTCCCCGAGCTAGAAGTCACATTTTCAAAGAAAATTAATTTTTCAAAGTTGATAAACACTTTTTAAAACCACATTTCTAGATGTAATTTTACATGTAGATTTCAAATATGATATTACTTTGACTGAATTTTGAATTTTCAAGATTATTTCTACTCGCATCTGGGTTATTTGTACAGTATATTACATTTATATTTGTATGTACTTATAAGCGGTTACACACTTTCACAAAAAATCAAATTTCTTTAGGGCAGAATGTTATTTTCATCATTTAAATTGAAATATTTTGATTTTGAACTGTGTGAAAAAATGTTAAAATTTATTGTTAATTACTGGTAATTATAATTGTCCAAAAATTACCTAAAGTGCTCATCATGCAAACCTAAATGTAACTTAAAGCCTCATTTTTGACTCACATTAAACATATTAGAAACAGGGTGCATTATCCCGGGTGCATTATATGGATATATCAGCATTTGCCCACATTTAGAATGCATAGTACTATATAAGTTTACATCTTTTCAGTGTGTAACACTGACAAGCACAACCATCTTGATTCACGATATTTCATTTGTTTCTTTATACCCAGTGGAAAGCGACAATGACATACACCCTGAAGGCTATATTAGTACATGTAATGAGATCCTTCCAGTAATGAGACGATTTCATAAGAGCTAGTGCTTTTTATCAACAATATGTCAATAAAAGTTATATATATATTTTCTAAGAAACCAGGAAGATCAGCTGTAATATGATAACAGTAATTACAAGTAATTGCCATATTTCTTATAGGTTAATGGGCATCTGGCTTTGACAAATGGCTATTGCAAGATGTTTGGATAAGACATGTGCTTGCATCAGTGAACAATTTCTCTGATACAAGGTAATGGCAGTAACCTTCGCATCAAAGATGGCGGATGGTAAATGTCAATTTGGATATTTTTAGTTTTCAACGAATTGAACTATGTTATAGTTGACGTAGTGCTTTGACATTTGAACTATATCAGGCGTAGGCACCACAGTTCAACGGCATCTTCCTATATATTAGTATAATTCGATGAAAACTAAAAATACCAAAATTGACACTTTCCGTCCGCCATCTTAGATGCGAAGGTTACCGCTGTTACCTTTGCTTGATACTGACAAGTGAATTTATTTTGACATGTGTGTCAAGTCATAATAAAAGTTGAATTTTATTCACTGATTTATTTTTAAAAGTTAATCTTCAAAAGTTTAACATGATGTTGACAATATAATTTGATGGTTACAATGTATTTGATAGACACCAATGAAATTGTTGATAATTCTATAGGTAATCATTTCATCATTTAAATTTGTGTTCAAGATTGCAAACCACCTTAATGATCTTAATTAATAAAAAAAAAATAATAATAAATAGTACAATAACATCATTTCTAAGGGCAATAAAGTGAAATATTGGACCAAGGGCCGAAGGCTCGCAGAAATGACGTTATTAGTATTATTACCACCGTTAACGATCAAGACTGAAACAGCAAGAAAATCTTACGCATTGAACGATATCTAATTTTCGGGGAAAATTGCTTGTCCAGAATATATTCTAGACCGGTCCATAAGGACCACCACTATGACGTCAAACATTTCTCAGGTCGATATAGTAAAATAAACGCCTTCTAAACTAGCAAGAAAACCCCTAGAACTGGCCCGGCAAGGTGGAAATAATGTATGTTGATGATGACATGAAATTGATGTTGACAATAACAATTAAGCTTCATTATTCTTGCCATTCTCATTTACAAATAAATAGAGGTTATTTAATGGGAGGGATGGAATATGGATTTTATTCCGAGGGAAAATATGATATTGGCCAAGGAAAATATCATATTGACCGAGGGCGATAGCCCGAGTGTCAATATGATATTTTCTGAGGCCAATATCATATTTTCTCAAGGAATAAATCCATATTCCATCACGACCATCAATAACCTATTTATTTCATAATATTTTTTTTTCTATTTTTTTTTCAATTTTTTTCAATTTTCTTTTTTTTCAATTTTTTTTTTTTCAATTTTTTTTTACGGGATCTGATACGGGATTTTTGCTGATACGGGATCCAATACGGGATCTGATACGGGATTTTGGCTGATACGGGATCTGATACGGGATTTTTCAAATAACACTTTTATTCCCTGTTATTTTCCCAGGGAAAACATGTTATTATGGAATAAATAAGATTACAGTTCTGCTTATTCTATAAAGATGCTATAAGATATTACTAATTCCTGTGCCATCATGACCCTGTGTGGATACAATGAAAACATGGGTAAACAAACTTATTAACAATGACATCAACAAGTCATCGAGCCCTCAATCAATTTGACACAAATGTCATAAATACACAGTGGGCAAAAATGAAAATAATATAAAAATGAAATAAAAAATTCATGTATTTCAGATGTAGTGTATGATACATCATTATGTTGTTTGGCTAAGGATAACTAGTAAACAAATCAAAATATCCTATGTCAAAAGTTCTTTTGAAATAAACATGGTATATGACACAGCTATGTTAATGGTGACAGCAATTTTGGATATAATGTAAAAAAAGTAACAACAAAAAACAACTAGTAATACACCAACAGCCATTCAATAGAGGGCACTGTATGTCGATTATATGCCCATTCACAATGTTTGGTTTTTAATACTCAAGTGTGGCTGGGGGCTGGTTAGTACAAGTATAATCACATTGATCATAAACCATAGATTAATATTATTGTTAACACGACCGCACACAATCACATGTAAAACACGAACCTCATGTTGAAAATATAATTTGAGAACACCCTTGATTACACTTCTGAGAATCCCAGTTAAAATCAACGATGGGTCTATTTTAAGAAATTGGTTTAATAATCAACTGTTCCATATATTACAATGCAACAGAGTTTATTAAGACATCTGTTGGTGAGTTGGGTGACGACATAAACTTAAGATTCTAATATTTTTTATTATGTATTAACAGTGATAAGTTGATGTCTTATGGTGTCATTAACAGATACAATATATTTAAATTTACCCCTACCCACCAGAGATTTAATTAAACAAAAAATTCTACTCACGTTTTGGATCCATTTGGTATGGTTCACATTTTGGGTAGACACAGTGGTACCAAAGACCATACCATCGTACAACAGCCTTTGCTACAGGGGTGGTTACATTCCCTTGTTGTCCATCTGTTTTCCCTGCTGGCTCACTTGTTGGCTCTGGTACAGGGGTAGTGACTGGAATCTCCGTACAATTCTCCATAGTTTCATTGTTTTCATTAGTGTAGTTATGGCATACTGTTACCATGGCAACGGTTGTCATGGGTGCCATTGTTCCATTCATGGTTGTGTTCTTAGTGGTGACAGGGGCAACAGTGGTGGTTGTGTCTGGTACAGCGGTGGTTGTATTCTCCATAGTGGTGGTATTTCCAGCTGTTGTAATATCAGCTGTTGTATTCATGGCTTCAGTTGTAGCTGGCTCTGGCTCAGTTGTTGGCTCTTGAGATGGTTCGCTGGTTGGTTCACTGGTTGTTTCAGGTGTAGCTCCAACCTGACCCCCATCCATTGGTGACCCCTCATTAGTGACATATTCAATATCTGCCTTAAAGATCCAACCTGCTGTTATAACAGCTCCAAGAGCAAACAAGAATGACAATAAAATAATTATACAAGACGCATTTGCTCTTGAACTCGCCATTGTTAAGTTTTTACTTCACTGAAACTATATAATTATTCAGTAAAAAATTTTCTCTTCCAGTCCAATATTTCCAATATACTGTGTCTCAATGACTAACTCCAAATAATATGTGCTACTTAAATTAGCTCTCTCAATCTTGTGATTAGGTTTCTGTAACCTTTACCTGTATTTACTTAGATTCCACTTGTTAGTCACACAAATGAATTGTTTTTTGTCACCTTACAAAAATGAGTTTGAAATTCACTTCCTAATGTTGCAATATTACTGGCTGCTGTATGGTAGACCGCCCTATTGAAGTAATAATACAGGTACTGTAGCTGTGTATCACACCGTAATTTGGAGGCAGAAGTTAGCATATACCTGCTATCAATTTGCATGTATTGTGTTCTGTGGCTGTAACTCGCTATGCTGGTATCGAAGACTATGGTATACTACACTATAATGTTTAATATGTTCTTGAATCCTGTTGTATTATCATATGAAATTATAGCTCCTTATTACTGAGTTCCACTCCACCTGGCTTCCTCACTGTCACTAATTGCTATCTACTGAGCTCAATTCTTCTATATTCCTACCTTTCATTTAATATATTGATATACTTTGCCCTGTCTCCCTTCTCTTTCAGAGGATGAAATAATGCAGCAACTAAACAAATATTCTGTTCAATATAATGGCTGAATTAGTCATCAGTTAAAAGAGATATCATATAGACTGAGATAATGAAAGGCTAAACTGTGACATCAAAAAAGAGCGGACGCTTCTCTGGAGTAGTCAGGATTCGTTGTAAAACGGGTTTTCATTTTATCATCCTTTTAAATTCCTGTGGCTAAATTACCTGAGGTTACCTGTGTTAATTGCAATTTACAGGTAAACTCACATTAAATGTTGCATGTTAGTGTAATCATTGATGATCATACATGAAATGGCATATTGAAACGTTCAGGTACTGTAGTTAACAGCAATAATATCAACTCTAATTAAATACTTTCATCAGATGAATAAATGTATAAAATCATTAGTGTTAATGATGATGAATAGTTGATGTTTAAAGTAATAGTCTACACCTACATGTATGTGAGTCATTGTAACATATATCTAGGTGTAAACTAGAACTCGCTGCTCATAAAAAACACTCCCTCCCACTCTTCAGTTTATTACCAAGCCCCACTAAATGTTCCAGGCCTAGTCATTTTTTTGTTCCTTACTGTAAACTTTTTGGGACTTTTCACTTGACTGTATTTTATATGTTTTATTTGTTACCATCTCTATTTATCTTGAATATGTCAAATCTTTGGTAACTAGAGTAAAATATAAACTTTACAAGATAATTCTTTTATTTGTTTGCCAACATTGACACATTTAAAACAGAGGAATCATTCTTTCTTTATTTGCTCTGACTCAACAAAAGGTATGTGTGTAAAATATCTAAGGTTGGTTTTGATAGTGGGGACCTTTACCTATTTTAAAAGCATGAGTATTCAATTAGCTATGCTGTTAAAATGAAATTTTCCAATTAGGATGTCAGATCAACTGAGGTTTACTGAGGTGTGGAAAATTTGGAATTGTGAAAAACACAAAAATAATGATATGAATAAGTGCCAAATGTATGAATAATTCAATGGGAATATGGAACACGCATTGAATGGTTCACATGTGAAGTATTTGAGTGTAAATGACTGCATAAAGGCTATTTCAACTTAAAGGATCATGTCTTCATTAAATTACTGTATGTGGGAAAATAATTGGTTAACCCAACCTTAGTCCAAGCGTACATGTACGAGGGTATATCATAAAGTTCTCATAATATCTCTCTAATTTTTTTATTTTTCAATATATTCTGATGAATTTTTCACAGAATGTGTAATACACAATGCTGCATTAATATATGAAAACATATTTGGTATAACAGAAATATTATTTAAGAAATGGTTGCCATAGTACCAGGAAATCAAGGCACCCGGGGCAAATAAAAAATTGTGCAAGAATAGCCCCAACTAACCATGTTTAAATGCATTATAAGTTATCAAATAAACTTTGAAACACATCAAATTGTTAAGCACCATGTATTCTTGATTGTTTTGAACTATTATAATGGTCATGTGAATTTTGTGATCTCATAATGGATAATCGTAATGCTTCATTAGAAGTGATGTCAGACACTACAACTGTTTTGTCAAATATTCCAAGGAAAGTCGATTTTCCACTTAAGTTCATCTTAAATAAATAATAGACCACACATAGGGTGTAATTTTGCTGATATCTTTGCAACATATTTGTTTTAGATTATCTTTAGTATGAGCAAAGGATTTTTCGAACTAAACTAAACTTTTTATCAGTATGAATATTATTTTTATGATGATCCCTGTATCTATGCATTATCTAACTCAGTTATTTCTGATCATTAAGCTTTGATTCTCAGAGTCTGGTATCACATCTAATGAAGCATGTAAGCATCCTCTATGACATCACACAATTCACATGATCAATTTATTTTATAGTAAAAGCATTCAACAACATATTCAAGATAAGATTTTAATGTGTTTGATAATTTATGAGAGTTTATTATGTATGTAAACAAGGTTAATAAAGCTCATTATATCTCAATTATTTTATTTGCCCCAGGTGCCTTGATTTCTGGTTACTATGGCAACCATTACTTATCTAATATTTCTGTTATACCAAATATTTCTTGATAGATTAATACAGTATTCTATACTGCAGATTCTATGAAAATTTCATGAGAATATGTTGAAAAATAAAAAAAATAATGGCAACTCCGCGGAGTAGCAAATCCCAACGAACAAAATATCAATTACCGAATTCCAATCAATAGACTAGATGCGAATAGAAATAACCTCGATTTACGTCATTAAATATTCAAAATTAAGTCAAAGTGATTTCATATTTGAAATCTACGAGTTAAAGTACATCTAGAAATATGGTTTCGAAAATTGTTTATCAACTTTGAAAATTAAATTTTTTTAAAAATGTGACTTCTTGCTCGGGTTGATTCCTCATAGACCCCATGTTACAAAATCACGAAAAGTGAAATATCTTTTCTTGTATTGGACAGATAACATTTTCTTTTACTGGACATACTTTAATTTGCATAACTATTAGATACATAAGGGTTATATAAAAATTGAACCACTAAAACAGATGTAATTTAAGTTAAATGGAACTTTCTACTATACCCGCCATGTTATCTGACCCGAACGAGCCACCTGGTGGCGAAACTGGTAACTACTTACTCGCATCTGCGTAATTATACTCATTACTTTGGTTAAAATTGAAAAATTTAGATTTTAGAATTGCGAATTCCTGCAAAGCAGCCATTTTGAATTTTCTGAGGTACAAATCTGAAAAATAATATGGTGTATTGTGATCTACTCCAAAATTCCTTCAATTTGAGTATTATATAGCCATACGTTGAAGGGATCAAAAAGTTATTGCGAAATCGTACATTAGATGGCCATTTTGAATTTTACGAGGCTCGAATCAGAAAAAAGATATAATATTTGCAATCTACTCTTAATTGCCTTTCATTTGAGTATAATAAAGCTATACTTCAGAAAGATCTAAAAATTAGCAAAAATTTCTGTTTTCCATGGATGACAAACATGGAATATATGTGAAATAGATAGATGTTGCGAATATACTACCAAAATTTCAAACAATAATATTAATTACTTTAGTTTAGAATGAAAAATTTATGATTTTTGCGAAAAAGTCCCGTCATTTTTAAAGCGGCAGCCATCTTGAAAAAATCCATTTTGAATTTTCTGAGGTACAAATCTGACAAATAATACCATAATTGTGATCTACTCCAAAATTCCTTCAATTTGAGTATTATATAGCCATACTTTGAAGGGATCAAAAAATTATTGCGAAATCGTACATTAGACGGCCATTTTGAATTTTACGAGGCTCGAAGTAGAAAATAGATACAATATTTGCAATCTACTCTTAATTGCCTTTCATTTGAGTATAATAAAGCTATACTTCAGAAAGATCTAAAAATTAGCGAAAATTTCTGTTTTCCTGACCCCCATACACGGCCCCTGGTGGTCAGGATGAAAAACACGGAATATATGTGAAATAGATAGATGTTGCGAATATACTACCAAAATTTCAAACAATAATATTAATTATTATTATATCTTTTATTGACAATTTATATCAGTAACATGATACATTAGTCACTAAAACACTACAAACTACTACAACAACTATTCTAACTACAAATAATAATTATTATACAGTGTGATGCACACTATTAAACATATACACTTAAATTTTGAATCCATGATATATAAATTTTCCAATGTATAATTGAACATTCAAGTGTTCAGTAGCCATTAACCTTTTAAAAATATCTGGGTCATCACAATCAAAACTTGGAATAATTTCCTTTAATTTCGAAAACAAACATTCTCTAAGAGTTACATATTTTTTACATCTTGTGAGAAAGTGTTCTTCATCTTCAATAGAATTACATGTTGAACATTTTCTCTCATTTAGAGGTTTAGGGGCAGGTTTACAATGCCTCCCAGTCTCAATATGCAACTGGTGTGAACTTAGTCTAAATCTTGCAATACAATGCCTATACTTTCTATTGTCTAACTTTAAATATGATTCACATTCAAATTTAGTTTTATATTTACAATATGTTCTAAGTATAGGTGCACACAAAATAGCATTTTGCCAATCGGCACGATACTGTCTCATCAAAGTGCTATTTACATCCTTTAAAAATATTTTCTCATCAGGTATTTCCTGATTGTCCCAGTATTCTAACATGTCACATTTTTCCAGTATTTTAAAAACTCTGGATGCCCATGAGGGAAACCCAAGATTGTGTAACTCGAGCTCATATTTATATGTTTCAGATAATATATTACTTGGGCATAGTCTCAGGAGTCTAATCCAATATTTTAATAGTTGTATTTCAAATTTTATATACAATGGATAACGGCCTAAATCACCATAAACTGCATGTGTTGATGTCTGAGGTTTTACACATAAAACAGATTTTAAAAACTTAAGATGGATTGTTTCAATTGTCTTCATTTGTTTATGATCTAGCCATATCTCAGAACCATAATTTAGAATCGGCAGAATAAGTGTATCGAACAAATGCAAAGCGATACTAACCGGGATATCATTAAATTTATTGTATTGTTGTTTTATCTTGAAATAGGCTTTTCTTGCTTGTTCTTTCAAATGGTTGGAATTTTTATCAAACTTGTTATTATGACTTAAGACACAACCAAGATATTTATATTCATTGACTTGTTCAATTGTTTGATTATTAAACATAAAAGGTTCATGGTCTTTATTCTTTGAATTAAAAAGCAGAGCTTTGGTTTTAACTGTGTTCACAATTAAACGGTATTCTGTACAATATTTAAATAGTGCATCAAGCTGTTCTTGGAGTCCTTTTCTTGAGTTAGATATTAGTACAAGGTCGTCCGCCCACAGAAGATGGTTTATAAAAGTATTTTCAAGTTTTACTCCAGAGTTTGAGGGCAGATTATTTCTCAGATCATCAATAAAGTGATTAAACAAGAATGTACTCAATACACTTCCTTGCATTACACCGATATCTGTATTAAAGCATGATGATATACCATCTTGCAGCTTAAGACAAGATTTAGATTTTTCATACATACTTTCAATAATTTTGAACATTTTAGTTTTTGGGAGTATACCAAACTTGCATAGTTTATAAAAGAGGACTGTTCTATCAATATAGTCAAAAGCTTTTCTAAAATCAATCATGCATGTATAGAGTGTTTTCTTCTGTCGATTGAATTTATTTATTAGAGACCTTAAAATAAAAATGTTATCCGTAGTTCGCCGGTCATGTTTATAAGCTCCTTGAAAAGGGTCTTGTGAGTTGCTCATTTCTGCATTGAAAACTAGTCTATGTTGAATAACAGAGTCAAAAACATTTCCAAGAGTTGCGAGCACATTAATTCCTCTATAATTATCTGGAGAGAATCGACTTCCTTGCTTAAATAATGGTGAAAGCATTCCAATGCTCCATTTATCTGGATAATCCCCTTTGTCAAAGATGGCGTTAAAGAGTGCTGTAAAGGGCACAATAAGACTTTCGGAATTTTTGATAATATCTGAAGGTATGCCATCTATACCTGGTGATCGATTAGAATTGATACGTTTTAAAGCCATACAAACTTCAGAGGTTTGAATAGGACCATTTATAATAATGTCACTTAATAAATCTATTGGTTCATCTAAAGATATGTTCTCAGAATCATGAATAAATGTTTGCATTTTTTCAAAGAAATTTTCATTAAAATAATCAATCTGCGGAGGTACAGCTAAATCTTTAAATGCTGAAAATAATACATGAGGAGAAATAGGTATGTCATGAGTTGAATTTCCGGGAATGGCATGCAGCATCTTCCAAAATTCGGTAGGACATTTAGACATATTTAGTACTAGTTCGTTTAAAAGATTTGATTTGAAATTTCTTTTCTCTCTTTGTCTGACTTGATTATATTGCTTAGTTAATTCTGATATTTCTTCATCTCCTTTATTTTGCTTAATTGCCATATGTACTTTCTTTTTCAATTCTTTACACTCATCCGTAAACCATCCGTTAACAGGAAATTTAGATTTTCGTTTAGATAATTTTTTAATTTTAAATGTTTCTACAGCTGCATAATTGATTGGGGCTAAGATTGCATCAGTTAAGTCATTTGAATTCTGAGATGAATCACCTAAAAATACAAAGAAATTTTCAAGTAAAGTTTTGCTAATTTTGTCTGTTAATTTAGCTTTGAAGTCAATCTTTTTATCACTATCCCATTTGAAAAAAGAAAATGGAATTTTTTGAAAGCATGTGCTTGGTGAACCTTGTTCAACATCGGTAGGTGAATTTTTCTGAATATCTAAAATGAAATGTAATGGGGCGTGATCTGAATCAACTCTTTTATCATGTACTTTAAAATCACTTATGAAAGGAAGTAGACTTGGTTGTGAGATAACATAATCAACGACTGATTTCCCACGATTGGGGTTATTAAAGTCATCTTGTAAATAACGATAAAATGTAAATTTGCCCATATCTTTATCTTGATGAAGTCGACCATTTAATATCTGCATTCCTGAAGACTTACATAAAGTAAGAAGTTCATGACCATGAGTTTGATTTACAGCAGTTACATTCTTATCCATAGACACCCTTTTTGGTATATTTACATTGATTTCTGCCTCTTGTACATGTTCTGTTACAGGTAATTCCCCGTTGGAACCAAAAATATTCATATGACAATCTGTTAGTTCCGCTGTGCGAGCATTGAAATCTCCACAGATCATTGTCTTACCAAGATTCTGGTAATGAGCAATAGAATTTTCAAGAATATCTAAATTACTTGTTCCTAAAATATTATCAAATGCTGAACCTTTAAATGGTAAATAAACAAAACAAATAAAGATGTCTTGTGTGATAGTGTAAGCATTTGAGTTTAATTTAATCCAGACAAAAAAATCATGAGATTGGGGTAAGATCTCAATAAACGATCCATATAGATTATCTTTGATAAATACAGCTATGCCACCTGAGTAGCTGTGAGCATTCACATGTTTTGTTCTACGCGCAAGATTTTCACAGGTAAAACCTTCAAATTCAAGTTTATGATCAGGAGAAACCCATGTTTCACTGATAAAAATAACTGAGTATTTTCTGAACAGAGAATTTACATCTTCACCATCAGTGAGCTTATCAGACAGTTTGTTGATATTCCATAAAAGAATAGGGAGTGATTCAGGTGCATTATGGGTATTAATGCTGATTTCATCTTTATGCTTAGAGACATGATGAGAATAATTTTGAGTAGAATTCCCTATAGAGTTTGATTGAGTGTTAATATGTACAGACTTATTTACACAGTAACTGTTATTTACATCATAATATACATCATTGTTTATGCTTGTCAGACTTACTTTAGAGCATACTTTGTTTTTAAGATTCAGATTTAAGTATGCATCACACTGAGTGTTTATAAATAACTCTTGGAGCGGGGCATCGGAGGGTCTCTAGTATTGTGGGTTGCAGCTCGTCGGCTCGCTATAATATTTGCGTACGTTTTTCCAGAGTTCTGTTTTATGATTTCAAGCATAGCAATAGCGAGTATGTTACGCCCTCTCGTATTGAAGTGAAGTCCATCATTATTCAGTACGCTGAAGTTGGGGTTTCTCGCTGTAGACCTGTTTATGCTGTTAATGTCAATAAAGTCTACTTTCTGATTCCTACAGAACTCAGCCATCTGAGCATTAATGTAGTCGATGTCATTGTTCATCATATAAATATGTGAGTTATCATCGGAATCACAGCGGTGATGAATGCCACAGAGTATAAGTTTAGAGGAAGGGTGGTGAGATCTGGCAGTTTGTACCAAATTCTTCAATTCGTATACTATATCTGTGGGGTTGTCACTTTTTATGTTATTTGTCCCAAAACCAATGATTTTATAATCTGTTGATTTTGCAATGTCACCCTGGCGAATGACATTCGTGGCCATCTGGATATTGCCTCCACTATAGACTGAGGCTGTGACTTTAACCTTATTATTGGAGAAAGCCCTCATTGTACCTGCCATCTTCTTCCCATTAGAGGAATACATGAGATGTACTGTTGGAGTAGTATCCCTTTGATGTCCAGAGAATTTTGAGTCATTAACCACTGGTTTGGGTTTGGAGGTTGACTTTTTTTCCAATTCAACGTGTTTGGTTTTAGATTTTCCCTTTTCAGCAGAGTTAGAGTCAGGGGATGAGGTATTTCTTGAAATACTCTGTGGTTGGCTACAACTTATCACCTCATCTTCTGATTTTGATGGCATTGATTTTAGTTGGGTTGTAAGTAATTGCACTTTTCTGTAGAGAGTTTCATTGTCAACTTTTGCACCATCAAGCTCTTTGGTTAGAACTGACAACTTATCTTTGCTTGATTGAATTTCATTTTCAAGTTCATTGACTCTTATTTGATGCGTATCAGTAACTATTTTCATGTCATCGTGACATTGCTTTTGGCACGTAGCTAGTCTCGTCATGAGATCTGTAATTTTCGCGTTTTTGGCAATTATTTCTGTGTGGTATTTTGCTTCAATGACTTCATTCTTAGCCTCTAATTTTATAAGCCTTGCCCTCAGTTTTTTATTTTGCACGTTTAGCTCAGAGTGTTCCAAGGAACCTTGTAGTTGTGAGGATTTTGGTGATGTTAGTGAGGAAGCGGACTCAGGTTGCTCACACACATCAGCAGTCTGATTTTCTGCGGTTATTTGTGATGGTTGCGAGTCTGGAACAACCAGTATATCAGGCGATGTGGGAGTTTGTGTTATTTGAAGGTCCCCTGTTGCAGGTTGAGATTGTGCACCGTCTACTGAACATGGTTGTGAGTCTGGAACAATCAGTGTGGTAGGTTGCTTCAAAATTGACTGAGATATGTCAGATGATGAGCTATTCAATTCCATTTCTGAGAAATAAACCAGGCTGTCTTCACAATCATCTAATTTGTCAATGGGAGCTACAGAATCAATCTCAATTGATAAAAAGCCATTGAAACTCTCATCAGATGATGGGCTGGATTGTGACTTTGCTATGTCACTTTGAATAAGAGGGGTTGAGGTCAATGATGGGGACAAGTTATGATTTTCAAATGTGTCCCTTATGAGCTGGTAATCATTATCTTTCCAATCCTCAAGATTTTCACCTTGCACTGACACGATGCCAGAATCACTGATCTTAATGTTTATGTGATCTTTCACTGAGATAAGAAGACCATACTCAAGTCTAGTTGCAGATGCCTTCATGGATTTGTTTTTAAAAGCTCTGAACTGCGTCAATCCAAATGGGCACTCTGTCTGTATAGAAGACAAGATTTTTGCAGTTTTCCCCAAGCTCAAGTATTCCTGTATTGTCTAAATCTGTATAAGCGTGATTCTCATGCAGTGTCTCTTTATTTTGTTTCAACGTTTTCATGTTTTTCTTGTTGTTGTTTCTTCTTTTCTTTCCTTTTAAGTCTGGTGAAGAATACATGACAGGATTGCCTGGGGACAAAATGGTACAAGATCTTCGTGGTCGATCTTTAGCCATGATTTGTTTATTGTTTACATGTAGGAGATTAAATCCTTATTATGAGTGCATTGTTAATCCTATTAGATACTATAGTATACAGTTCTACATTATGTGACAGTTACACTATTGTTCTAATAAATAATTGGCTGTTCCATTCACCTCCCACTTAACTTTAAAAGTTGTCTTTTAAATGTTTAATATATCATTTTAAATCACATTTAGCATTATATAAGATTCCACTATTAACTGATATATTTAATCCAAGATTATTGATGACTCCTGCATGATTATTAATCCAAACTAGAGTGTTCAATTTTCTGAGTAAAGATGCATTCAAGTTTTTTTTTCAGTTTCCTTTGTCTTAAAATCCAATCCTTTTATTTGCTTATATCAGATGATACAGTTATAATGAGTGTGCTTTTACTTATCCAAAGTGTTCTCTGTATATTCATGTATAATCTAATTCAGTTTTGAATATCCACAAGAGTTATTAATTTACTGAAAAAGTAGATAACTTCAGGAGCAAAATTTGAGACATTTAAAAGTTGGCGGCCATCTTGGATTTTTTTACTTTGGTTTAGAATGAAAAATTTATGATTTTTACGAAAAAGTCCCGTCATTTTTAAAGCGGCGGCCATCTTGAAAAAATATTTTTTTGCGTAAAACTATTCATCAATGTACATCTTTTCACCAAATATGAAGAAAATCCGTCAACTAATATTTGAGTTATCTTCCGGACGGACGGACGGACTGACTGACTGACGGACTGACGGACGGAGGGCATCACTATATCCCTACCGAACTTCGTTCCTTGGGATAATTAGAGAGATATTATGAGAACTTTATGATATACCCTCGTATTTCACTTCTTTTCAATCTTGAAGGGTGTGGTTAACCAATCCTTGTTGAACTACAAAACTCTTATTAGTCTGCCTTGGAGTGTACATTACTCAAAACAAGGAATCAACATGCAAAATGCCACCACCTGCCATTTGTTACAGACATTAACCGCTGAATGCCATACACTAACCACTGAAAGCCCAACACCAAACACTGGTTCAACTCCAGTAAAATGGCTCAGACTGTTAAAAATCTATTTAAACATGATCCTTTGTATTACAAACAAATCCCTTTAATCCATTTTCAAATAATGCACAGACATAAACATGTACTGCATTTTTGAAGAGTATACACATTTTACATAAACTTATTTCATTATTAACACAGGTATGAATAAGAAATAATAAAAACATAACAGATCAATAAAGATAACAAAAAGACGGCAATTTTATTGCATTTTCATGACGAAAAAAGATTCACTTTGTTTGAAACATACAGCCATGTGAAGTACATTGTGAAATGAATTAAGAACACTGGTCTACTAGGCTATATCCTATGAATATTATTGTTAGCAATTCATAAACTTCAATGATATACCCTTAGTGTCTTCCTATTGTACATATTCAATTAAGTGACTACTTTAACCAAATGAACATCATTTCTCAATAAAATTTTAATAATACATAAGGCAAGACTGCATCTTTAAAGTAAAACAACAATCAATATACATATCTGACTTAGTTTGAATAAATTATGCTAAAACAACTTATCTACCTTGATAATACATCTGCATAGTGGAGGGAAAATGTTTAATTAATCACAAAACAATATTTGCAATTTCTTTAATTGTTTCTACTGTTGTTAATGATTAATGAAGTGCGAGAAATCTCTCTAAAGAGTTTTATCTTAATTGAATACCTTGGTTACATTGACCTCACATTTCATTTGGCTAATAGAATATTAGAACCTCTGGATAAGAGTTCTTGTTACGACATCAACCAACAGTTGAAGACATCGAACAGTTTTAGGTCAAATGTTACATATTTTATCTGTCTCACATAATATTAGCAGTGGAATTAGAGATAGCAAGCACGACATCAAATTGCCTTTAATCATGTTTTAATGCATAGTAAAAAAAGAATACATTGTAAATAATCTAGGTAGCAATCAGTAATTTCCACAGTGCTGTGCCAAGTGGGTGCTACACCCACTTGAGACTTTATATCCCCTTCAAAACTCATTATTTTCTTCCACTTAACAATGAGAAAAATCATGACAAAATTAATTATTTTGACCAACTTTTAGCAAAACTGTTAGATTTATTATTATTATAAGTGTTAAATGTAATTGATTGTGAATTCTATTCTACTGCCATGTTAAAACATCTTTCTAAGTTTGATACCTAGAAATACTGTATAATATTTATCTGTGTTTTTCACACTTCCTGACAAAAATGTAACTTTTGACCTTTCACCTTTTACTTTTACTGTGAATATGAGTTGTTTTTATAAGTTTTGTAATATTAAACTTATAAAGAGGAGTATAAATCATATAAATTCAACACATTGATGCGACACTTCTGATCCCAGCAGGGCTAGAAAAAATGAATAGTTATTATGCACAAAGCACAAATAAATACTGGATTTTTACATGTACAGTTCATATACATATAAGTAAAGGTTTTAGCATGAGCAAAATATGATTAATGGAATGCTATTGTTAGTACATATGCATATAACAAGAATAAATACTGCAATTTATGTATTAGATATTTATACAATCACTCAATCATTCCAGAATTCTGTTTTAGTGCATGCCACAACAATTCAAAGTTTCCAAAGAGTAGCAATAGCTTGATATTGTGAAATGCATTTTTGGAATAAAATGCTTTTACTTACATCTTTTATAGAGATAGTGTACATTTTAATACAGAGAATGCATTTTCTCAATGCAAAAAACTGAAATGTGCTTGTTAATTAATTCTACAATCACTTATTTCATAACATAATACATATGTATAAAGGGAGGCAACTTCCAAATGTAACATTATACCAATGGGGAAATCTCACTTCTAAGAACTCTGACAAGGATGTACTTAATATAGTACTTTCTATCTTATAAGATATAAATTGATAAAAATGCTGTGAATATGCTAGATTCACATTTAAACTTGGGGAAATTTCACTTCTGAGAACTCTGACAAGAATATAGACTATAGATATAGCACTTTTATTACTTTTTATTCAAAGGATGCTTGGAGGTATTCAACAAAATTCACATTATCTTATAAGATATAAATTGATAAAAATTTATGAATTCAAACTTGGAGTAAACATGAGTCATGACTATAGTCCAAATAATAACTATTTCTTTTTTAGTTTTTGGATCATTTTCAAAACGAATACTTTTTATTTGCACCTCTCGGAATGTATGATGTAAAATCATGACTAGCTCACAGGAGATCTTTTAATCCCATGGTGCATTTGAGTCTCAAAACATGACTTAATGTAATGTTATATTTAATCATGATTGGTAATACCCATGGGGATGTACAAAGTATTATGCAGTTATAAGCATATAGGGTATATGGTATAAAAAATACTTCATTCTGATTGGTTGACTGACTGACCAATATACATATATATTTCTCTTTATTTTTTAATTCATTAAGATTCTGTAATATTTACCTTATCATGAAGCTATCATTTTTACATGTATATCTAAATCAATGTATTTACTTTACATAAATAAAGTTTATAACTATAAAAAAATCTAGATTAATATTGCACTGTGGGTTGACCAATCCTTCCTTGTACCTGACTAGCTAGACCCAATACATAATTTGTTTTTGCTATTAACCCAACAAATGTGAGGAAGTATCAGAAATTGGATAATACTAGTCATGCACCAAACCCTTGAGAACACCCCCCCCCCCCCTCACAGCTGAAGTAAAGAGGGAAGGGGGTCCGGAGATTAGATGTAACATTAGAATATGATGCTATTAATGGCAATTCACAGATGAACTTGAACTTCTTAAAGATCATGTCTGAAGAAATGAAATAAGTCTACAATGAAGTGTCATTTATCCAGAGAAGCCGTAAATGTTCTAAGAATTCTTCTCTCTGGGGTTGTACATGCACATCACTTTTTATACGTCTTTTATTCTCCAGACTTATTAAAGGTTGAAATATGAACCTACCATTTATGGGAATTAAAGAATGAAGCTGAAAAAATGAAGTTGTTCGAAATGTCATTTTTTCTCAACAGCTGTGATCATTCCAAGTATTCTACTCTACTGGGGTTGCACATCTCTATATGTCTTTAGTTCTCCAGACTAATTAAAAGCTGAAATATGACTCTCCACCTCCAGAGAAGTATTTTCTCCACATTTCTGTGTTTGATGACATCTATATTCTGCTTTACTCGATCATATACCAACTAATCATTATATTACTGCATAGTTCTGTGTTCAATGCTTATTGGCGTATCACTGTTACTATCCTTAGTGTTCATGTAAAGCTGATGTGTGTATGTAATGTAAGCAGTATACTAGGTTAGTTGCATATTTAAGCACAAACTTCTATTTCACTTCTCCAATTGTTCCATTAGATAGAAGTACATGGCTTGAGTCACCAATGAATATGTTTTCTAAGCCTTCTAGGTCTCTAAGTCTTTGACTTATTAGCCAGTTTGTCTTTCTACAAAGAAAATGATATATATGTATATTTGTACTGCACATTTCCACTTCAAAAAGTTATAAATTATACAGTACTTGTAAATAAAGTCATTTTGCAGCTGCAGCTGTACATGTAATTTACCAGATGGTAACTTTTCTATATAAATATTTCAATATTCTACTTATCCGATAGGATTTTGAATTACATTTTTTTACATGTACTCCCTCTTTGTATGCAATTGTGCCAGAGATCTCAGAAATAAGAAATCCAGAATTTTCCATCAGGGTTTTGTGTCGAATAGTTGTGTATGTATGCGTGTGGTTAGAGAGTATGTGTATCACCCTGCTTGTGCCACTAGATCGTGCCATACTGATTGTGCCACTCTGATTGTGCCACTAGATTGTACCACACTGATTGTGCCACTAGATTGTGCCACTCTGATAGTGGAGTAAATGTATATTAAAACACCTACCAGACCTCCAGCCTTCTTAGCTGTGGTGGGAACACTAGATTTCTTCTTTTCTCTCAACTCCTTAGCTCGATCCCTAGCTTCAACTAACCTGTGGACAAAAGTATAAACATATGCTGCTCAGAATATCCTTGACTGTCAAACTCTTATAGTTAAGAGATAATTAAAGATACAATACAATACAATACAATACAATGTAATACTAGACATGTAAAACTGGGAAATAGGAAATGTGTAATGTTTTTTTCTATAGATGTACAAAATCACATCAACTTGACCTGCCGGGGATAAAAGGTCCATTAGAGGAGTTAAGCAATGTAATGAGATGTCATGAGGCCTGCAAAAAACATCCATAGCTACATCATACCTATAAAAAGGTGGCCTTGATCTGATGCTCTCTTATAATATAGAATGTGATAGCTGCAAAATGCCATTACAACTACGAGTATGTACACTACTTCATACATGATGATATATTAGAGTAGAGCGTATTGCTCTCTGTATACCTTGAACTACTTGTATATAGGGATATAAATACCTATAAATAGAAGTCCTACCTTTGTTTACTGAGCTTGGCAAGATGTTTCCTCCAAGTGGACTTGAATTCAATACAGAAGTTCACCCACAAAATGAAGAAGTCTCTGGGAGTGGGATCTTTACCATCATTGGGAGGCTTCAGCTTGACACAGAAAAACGAAACTGTCTTGGAAAATCTGGAGGAAAACAATATTATCCAATATACATTCAAATCACAAGAAAATGGATGTGATTGTCATCCAAAATTATCTAATGAAATTGAATAAATCACATACCAAGGGTCTGTTCTAGGCCCCCTCCTATTTATCATATTTGTAAATGATTTCTATCTAGTTTCTGATAAACTCAAACTGGTGATTTATGCGGATGACACTAATATATTATGTAGTGATTCCAATCTTGATAATTTGACCACAACCGTAAATTCTGAACTGTGTGACATCAATGATTGGTTGTTGGCCAATAAACTCACTTTAAATGTTAAGAAAACAAAATACATGGTCTTTGGAAATAAAAGAAATATATATGTGAATAATGAAATAAAAATTGCAAACTCTAACCTTGAAAAAGTAGATGAGATGGGATTCCTGGGAGTAATTATTGATTCAAAATTATCTTGGGCTCCCCATATCAATGCTCTTCATAGAAAAGTTTCAAATGTTATAGGAATGTTATATCGAACACATTATGCTCATACTTTAAATTCAAAGATGATAATATATAACTCTCTGATTTTTTCTCATCTTAATTACTGTAATATTTTATGGGGAAATGCTTGTAAGAATCTATTAAATAAACTACTGATATTGCAAAAGTTTGTTAGATTAATAACAAATTCAGATAGATTAGCTCACACATTCCCAATTTTTCAAAATCTTAAAATACTTAATATTTATCATATTCACACAATCCAAACTGTTTCATTCATGAAAAAAGTTATAAGCAAATCTGTACAGTTCCCTTCAAAATTATACAATCACTATTTCAAAACTAGAAAAAACATACATCAACGTATAACTCGATTTGGTCATAACTTAGATATTCCTAAACATAGAACCAGAATTGGTGAAAATTCTATTAAGGTCCATGGTTCATATATATGGAATTCCCTCAATGAAGATATTAGAAATAAACCATTAAATTCACTCATATCTCATTTGAAAATTGACCTCCTGAGTACAGAGTAACCAAAACATTTATTTCATTTCTTTATTGTCTCATATTATTGTATTTGTATATTGTATTTATATTATATTATTGTATTGACCTATGTACCACTTTAAATGTTCACAGTTTATCATGTTTATTGTAAATTTAATTATGGGCAGTCATACACCCCCTGGGGTGTCATAGCCTGTATAATGTTGTAATTTTTGTAATGAAAACTGAAATAAATTATTTTGAAATTGAAATTGAAATTGACATAAAATAAGATGCAATTACACAAAAAAATCTCAATTTTATCATTTCAACAATTTTATTAAGTTTCACCTACATTGCTTGACTTTCTTCACAATTCTCTTGTTGTTCTTTCAGAAGGTCGTTAGCTAAAAATGAAACATAATCATAAATCAACTACATTGTATCTCATAGTAAATACATACCCCACCATAAGCTGAAAAAGTTATCATGCATGTACATGTACACAGATGATAATTTTAAAAACAAATGAAAATCATCATTTTTTCTGTCTATGTTGCAATTAGGAAACTAATTGTGAAATAACTGTCAAATTTCTTGATCATAGTTACATATTGAATGTATTTGTCATTTGATTTCAATTTCTATTTCCAATTTCCATTAATTTCCAAATAGTCCACAATTCTTACCTTCGGTGAGAAAGTTGGTCATTAAATCTTTGAAAGGCTGCAGAGTCTCACTCGAGGAATTCCTTATGACAACATCCATCTTCTTACTAATACCTACAGAAGAGATAAACAGACAGGTTAATGATGAGGTCTTCAGAACTACATGTACACTTCTATTAAGGTAGAACTTCACTGTTGATCGACTTTTTTCTACAATTCAGATTTTCTTGAATATAATCTAGGTGAAAGATACACTGATGTATAAAAAAAATATGTGAAAATTAGAAAGATTGACTATTTAGTTATTTCTAGAAAAATATTTCAATTTAACATGGATTTATGAGACCCATGACTGGGCAGTGAACACTGAAGTTCTACCTTAAGCACGATTTCACCTCAAAGACCCAGGTGATATAAACATTTGGAGAAAAATTGCCCAAAATATAGTTAAGGTGGGCCCATTGGAGTGATTTTTAGAGCTGGAATACTCCTTATGGTCAGTCTACCTTGAAGTGAATAGTTTTTATCAACAAGTACACAACGCAATTAGAATTATGCTCCACAAAAACATAGCACACATCTTCATTATGTATAATTCTTCCTATATATTAATTATTGATTGACATATTACCATTTAGATCACCATCAAGTTTTTTTAGATCCTTTATGACATCATCAAAGTTGACATTTGAGACCTGTGTGATGTCACTGGGCTCAGGTATAGGAAGGCTGGGGGTGGGGTCATCTTCAGAACAGTAGCGTTTAATGTATTGCGTCACAAGAAATTGCAGCAGAGTTTGGGAATTATCCTGGAAGTATATGCAAAGGCTCCAATGACTCATTCATTGAAAATCCTCACAAGATAGGTCTGAGTTTTACAGTGTCCATATCAAAGATGTATTTATTGTATTGTAGGTTTCAACAATGAAAACTGACTTTGAATGATACAAACCTGATCAACTTTGTCTAACAGTGTTTTCGAGGAAGTATGACAAGATCTACCACTTTATAATTCAAGGAGGTGCCCAATTGGTATTATACTTGACCTACCAACCAACCTTATGGCAGTTGAATTTAACTGTTAGACAAATGATTATCTTGAAGTTAAAAGCATTGGATTTACAACTTATTGATCACGATTTACTTTCACTTGAGATGTATTCTCTTCCAATTATATCACTTAGCTATATTCAAAACCGATATTGCCTGCACTTAAAAAGATACCCAAAAGAAAACACATTATTTACAACTAATTGTTCTCATAGTTGACATAACTGAGGTTGCCTTATAAACCTTAAGTGTTATTTTATTCTTTATTCTCTCAAACTGACAGCAACAGATTAGTGATGGATGTTAAATATATTTCGAAATGGACAATTTCAAATGTAATCCATGGTAAGTGTCGAGTCAGATAACATATTTTTTTTAAATTTAACTTTATGAACCACAGAATTTCATAAGAAACAAATAAAAGCTTGAAATATATATAAAATAACGATTTAGAAACAAGACACACAGTGATAAATATCGCACTTTGAAGAGCAAACTGGCCACCATGCAATTTACCCAGCATGGCCAAAACCTAATCAGACCTTGGCACTAGTCTGCTCTTGCATCTGTAAACATTTCAAGTTGACAAGGTTAGCGGTTTTCATGCAATTTTGATGACAAGAATTTATTTGTAGTCTTGAACTTTGGGAAAATTTAGATAACATTGTTTGTGACCTAATTTGATGACCTTCGACCTTGAAAATTTCACTTTTTCAGACCTCAGTAGGTCTTTTGTAATTAAGCTGACCTAAATTTAAATCCAAAATATCAATTTAGAAAATCAAATTTTTGACCTTTTCAAGTTCACTGAAGGTCAACGAAAGGTCAAATCTGAAATCTAAGGTCAGATTTGAACTTCTGAGAACTTGTAGATGTTTTTGGTCAATTTGGAGCAAGTTGAAAAATTCAAAATGGCCACCAAATTGAAAAATTCAAAATGGCCACCATGTAATTCAGCCAGCATACCCAAAACCTAATCAGATCTTGGCAATAGTCTGCTCTTGCATCTGTAAAAATTTCAAGTTGAACGGATAAGTGGTTTTCCTGGAATTTTGACGACAAGATTTGTTGAAAAATTCAAAATGGCCGCCACGTAGTTTACCCAGCATGCCCTAAACCTAATCAGATCTTGGCACTAGTCTGCTATTGCATGTGTAAAAATTTCAAGTTGAACAGGTTAGCGGTTTTCTTGGAATTTTGATGACAAGAATTGATATGTAGTCTCAAACTTTGAGAAACTTGGATAACATCATTTGTGACCTAGTTTAATGACCTTGATTAATTTAGAAAAATCAACTTTTTGAGCTTTTAAGGTCACTGAAGGTGAATGAAAGGTCAAATCTGTGACCTAGTTTAATGACCTTGACCTTCGACCTTGAAAATTTCACTTTTTCAGACCTCAGTAGGTGTTTTGTAATTAAGCTGACCTAAATTTAAATCCAAAATATCAATTTAGAAAATCAACTTTTTTGACCTTTCAAGGTCACTGAAGGTGAACGAAAGGTCAAATCTGAAATCTAAGGTCAGATTTGAACTTCTGAGAACTTGTAGATGTTTTTAAAAAAAATTTGGTCAATTTGGAGCAAGTTGAAAAATTCAAAAATGGCCGCCAAATTGAAAAATTCAAAATGGCCACCATGTAATTCAGCCAGCATACCCAAAACCTAATCAGATCTTGGCAATAGTCTGGTCTTGCATCTGTAAAAATTTCAAGTTGAACGGATAAGTGGTTTTCCTGGAATTTTGATGACAAGATTTGTTGAAAAATTCAAAATGGCCGCCACGTAGTTTACCAAGCATGCTCTTAACCTAATCAGATCTTGGTACTAGTCTGCTCTGCATCTGTAAAAATTTCAAGATGAACAGGTAAGCAGTTATCCTGGAAATTTGATGACAAGATTTGGTTTATGTGCCGCCCACCCGCACGCCCGCACACCCGCACGCCCGCACGCCCACCCAACAGCACAAGACGACAATATAGCACTTTTTCAAAGTGCGATAAAAAATAAGGAGATACAAACGAGCATAAAAATATTGTTTTAGGAAAAACAATGAATCTATACTTGCATCATTTTTTCAGTCTGCTTGTTCATGCTGATTTTCATTGATGTTAAGCTGAACAATATCAGGTAAAGTCTCTTCAAATCAGAAAACATCTCATACCATTATACATGTACATGTACTGTCTTAATGAATGGAATTATTAGCCATCTTTGCAGTGAATCATGTCATTGTGAAAAATCGCAAATCTTCAGTTCATTCTAGAAACATAGATTGCCTGATGACAACAGCTATGTGATGTGATGGAATCAATATTGTGAGCTGAATTTGAACTTGTAAAGGTTCATAAATATTTTACACTTGCAGAATAGTACAATTGTATCCCCTTTATATAAATAAGCACTAAATAGTCTAAGTACAGTGACCATGTTTCCAGAATTACTGGTATGTATGTCGATGCAACTAGTACTGCAGACACATCAACGGATATCCCTTTAAACTGTATGGTCAATGCAGTGATGCGCATGAACTGCGGTCAGTCAGGAATTACAGAATTACAATGCTGGAATAGTGGCTGTTGCTTTGACAATACAATATCTGGAGTACCATGGTGTTTCCAGAGAGCAGGTAAAGTGCATAATAAACCTATAAATACTTGAACATGATTCTGTGGCATGTATATCATATGCTGCCATTGTACAGTTTTGCAGCTGGGTGTAGCCAGCTTTCAGACAGGGGGGTGCACCCATCGCACCCCCCCCCCCTCCTTGGCTACGCCTATGTACAGTGTGTATATGTGGCACAATGTGTTCATCAAAGATAATGTTTTGCTATAGAAACCACAGCTGGTTTAACAGTCACCACTGCTAAAAGTGTAACAAACACAGATGCTGTTGAAACAACTACAACTGCTACTGAAGCAGATACAACTGCAAGTGATTCTGATTCAACAGTTTATACTAATGACGTGACAGCCGATGAGACAACAACTAACTCAGATGGCATCACATATGAGACAAACACATCAGATCCCCAACAATTTCCCTGTAAGTTTCAAGTTAAAGACCTATCTTGCAATTATCAAAAGACAGATGCAGTCCATGGTCTTTCCAAAATCTCTTCATGGTACTTTTGCAATATTTCATGATATCTTTTGCAATCTTTTTTCCTTTGTAGGGTATTTAATTACCATAATAACTGTAGCTGTTGTGGTGTTTCTTGGGATCGTAGTCTCCCTGACTGTCCTTGCCATTTTGCACAGGTAATATATAGGAAAGACTAGTCTCGGTTTGGAGAACGAAGTTCATTAGTCTACTGCACGTTACGCCTGTGTCAGACAATTTTGATATTTTTACATATTGTTGATTTAAATGTCTTCTTTTGAATATTCATAATTTAATTTGGGTGTTATTTCTCTTTTTTCATAAAAAAATTATTAGCCCAGTAGACATCCTCCAAACCGAGACCTGTCTTTTCCATTTAATGTTGTGACAGATCAATTGTTGGGACTGAGCCAAAATAAAAGCTCAAATTGATGGGTTACAATAGAATTATGAACTCACAGTATCTAACTGAAATTGCTTTTTGGTCTCAGGAAAAATGTGGTCTTCAACCCCTCTTATCTAATCACAGTCCTCCTATCCTCTCTTTTCCAGGAAAAAACGCAGCAGATTAACAATCAGACAAGAACCTCAAAACACAGTACCGGAAAACTAGCAAGATGGATACGTCATGTACATACTGATTGGTTGTTGGGCACCATTTAGTTACCAAGACTGTCCTGGTGACAAAATGGATGAACATCCAGCAGAGAAAATTTTGAAGTACTTTTATCTTCACTATTTTCACCAACAAGAAGGAAGATTGTATCAAAATACTTAGTACTTTACCCATGTGTGAACCCCTAAACAGTTAGGCTATAAGGAATTACACTAACATATGATCTCGGAAACAAACAAACATCAGAAAAGAAATTCATATTCTAAGAACATAAGGGTTTATCTTTCCAAGTCAAAGCTACTGACAATTTGGGTATATCAGCGACTATAACCAGCTCTAACTTTCCTCAAAATACATGTAAAGCAGTTTTCACAATTCTGAGCACTTTCCAGTGATTTTGAGCTAAAACTTTCAAATGCGAACCCCCTTGGAATTTTTTGAAAAGTGCACCCTCCTTTGCAAAAGCTGGCTACGGGCCTGTATTCATGTACATTCTTGTGTGATTTTGTTATAAATAAAACATAACCAAAGAAAATGTTACCTTGCTCTTAATGTTTTTTATGTTATCCAATATATCCAACTGAAAGCCGTCAGCTTGTCCTCTTTTGGGGTTGCCACCATTCATGTAGTTGCCACATGCCAGAATCATTCCTAATATTCTATGTACCCCCGCACTATCTTGCAATTCCTGGTAATTAGAAATACATACATCAATAAATGTCAATTCATAGTAAATTATTACTGCATGTAAGTACTGTAGTAACAAGACAAGATGGAATAAGGCATTAACAAAAATTGTCACCACCTGAAATTTGATACAGATGCCGACTGCCAAATGCAAAACACCAACCATCTAATTCCGAACACCCTCCACAAAAAAGTTGGAGACTTTAACAATAGGTCACCACTTGTGGTGGTGACATACACGTAATAAATTAAAAGTATAACCATTTAATACAAAAACTGATGACAAATTCTGGCTACCTCTGATAATGGTGGTTATAACAATTGATCACAATTTCTCGATGGGGACATGAAAACAATGTTTTAAATAAAACATGATCATATGTATATCCAATAGATTGTAAATATTGTAACTCAAGGAATTGTGCGTGATTGGATGCACTCACATCTTGTATGTCAGGCTACCACATGCCATTTTCATTCAAACTCCCATACAAAGGGCCTCATGCTTGAAGTCCACAATTCATTGAGCTCTGGGCTTAAATCATTTATCACATCTGTGAGTCCAGATAGTATCATAATGGTACCTGTGTGATAGAACATAAAAAGAGTAGCCCTGTTGTTTGAGTGCTTCATCATATGGCTTGTATAGGCTGAACAGTAACAGGCCCAGGGCTCAGAACCATCACTGTTTATAGTAGAGAAATGCCCTAAGATCAGGAGCCCAGCAGTAAATACATGAAGCTCTCAAAACCAAACTCTTGAGAAGGGTAAGTGAATAATCTGTAATCTAACCTGGCAAAGTGAGCTGAGGTTGTTAAGCTTGGTTTCCAATGAGTTAATGGTTTCCTTGAACTGAGACTGGAAGATCAGACAATAAACTCTCTCTGCAAAGTTGGGAATCTGCGAAAGGTTGAAGAAAAACCTGAAAATTGACAATGACAATGTTTTAATAACTTTAGTATTAATGTTATATCCTATGGTCTTGTAGTTTTGTATTGTGCTAATGGCTTCTGAATGGTGGACAGAGGGGTGGTGACTTTTTTTAAGTTAGTTCATTGTTCTCAATGCTGAAGTTTTGCTTTCTTATGGCTGGCTCTACTCTTAATAAATGATTTTTCTTTCTGCTTTTCATTAATTTTTTTCTCTTGCTTACATATTTATGAAAATGAACTTTAAAAATGAGTGCAGTCTTGCAGTTAAGAACTTACACTAATTGTATGTTTTTATTCAATAGCAATAATAAAAGAGGTCACTGAAGTTATGAACAACAAAGGCATCTCCATATAAATATTCAGTATTTTACCATACATGCACATCTATATCTTTTTCTAGAACTTATTATTAGGTGGCTTATGCCACTATGCATATTATACATGCATTTTGGTGCTAACTTACTGTTCAGGTTTATCTAGGGCGATGTCTGGCTTTGTCTCTACGTGATCTTTGATCTGCTTCAGTTCATCCATCTCTGGTCTCTGTTGAATACAGCATACGTATATGTCAATATAAATCTATTAACATTAACATGACAAAATGTCACCACCTACGTGTAGTTCCTCACAATATTATCAGTTCAATCTTCAGTCAGATTTGAATTTCTGAGAACTTGTAGATGATTTTGAAAAATAAATTGGTCAATTTGAAGCAAGATGACAAAAGACCTTCTTGACCTTGAAAAGGTCATTGAAGGCCAAATAAAGACCTTTTTGACCCTGAGAAGTTCATTGAAGGTGAAGTCTCAAATCTAAAGTCAGATTTGAACTTCTGAGAACCTGTAGATGATTTGAAAAAAAATTGGTCAAATTGAAGGTCAAATATTTTTTTGACCTAGAGAATATCATTGAAGGTCAAATCTATAGTCAGATTTGAACTTTTGAGAACTTCTAGATGATTTTGAAAAGAGAAATTGGTCAATTTGAAGCAGTTGAAAAATATATATTTTACCTTTTTTGACCTTGAGAAGGTCAATGAAGGTCAAATCTCAAATCTAAAGTCAGATCTGAACTTCTCCTGATTACTTGTAAATGATTTTGAAAAAAAATTTGGTCAATTTGAAGCTAGTTGAAAAAAGACCTTTTTGATCTTGAAAAGGTCACTGAAGGTCAAATCTTAAATATAAAGTCAGATTAGAACTTCTGAAAGCTTGTAGATGATTCTGAAAAAATCTGAAGTCTGTCTAAACAGTATTTGTTAAGTTAACCAGCCACCAACTGCGGATCACCAACCACCAACCGCAATCAACAAAAAACGGAGACCATAGCAATATGTCACCACTTTTTGTTGGTGACATAACAAACTAAGATGAATGGGAAACAAGTAAATTAATTACTCAAATTTAGTTGATCAAGTGAATTTATTCCACAGTTGTGCAATAATATATGTAAGAATGCGATAACAAAATCTCAAGAAAAACTTTTAATGGCATCGATGAATCATTAATCCTGATCTGAAAATTAAGAAGCATCCCTGAGAATCAAACTCAAGTGGTTTGTCTTGAATTTATTCAATATTAACAATTTCCTACTTACATTATCATAGAGTGTCTGTAGAGTCTCAAGGCCAAGAACTGATATGTCAAAATTCAACACGGCTGAAATAAAAAAATACTGATTTATAGTCAGTTTTTTTGAATCCTTGTCAGAGAAAGTAGAGGCTGTTTGATCATGTTCGAAAAATGAGTTTGAAGATGCTATAATCAATCAAGGAATTGGACATTTAACAGAAAAAATATGGAATATTTATGAATAATCTTGTAGGAAAAGAATACAATAAAAAAATCAATTTCACTTGGATGGTTAAGATCAAAATGTATATTCTTAACCTTCTTTGCACCGATTCTGAACAAACAACTTAATTATCGAGTGTAAGCATGTGTGGTGACCTTTTTTGTAAAGCCTGATCTCTTTATTAGCAAAATAGAATTGCTTGAAATTTGTCGGAATATTCTGATTTTTAATTTCAAAGATGAAATAGAGGGTTCTGCATGTTTATCTAAATTATAAGATACAGTTATTGCCCCACCTTGTTCTATATCACCCATGTCCATATGTAGACTTGATACAAATATTCCAACACTCTGCGACCTCTTGCTGTCAAGTAACTTAGCAACCTACGGAAACAACAATCATTATTGTTACATGTAGTACCTCAGTTGAAATACTCGATTTTGATTGGTCAACGAGCGGTGAATAATTTTAACTGTACACCGCGCAATGCATTGCCGGTGAATAATATTCCCAGCATTCCACTTAAATGACGTCATTATCAGACGATAAAATGGCCGCCGCTAGCACAAGCCGTTTCAAAAATGTTGAAGATGAGGATATTATTAGTCTCTTAGAGAGTAAAGACAGTCAAAATACGAAGAAAAATCTAAAACTTTGTACAAAGCTTTTAGTGGACTTCGCCCAGTAATTTGACTCCATTGAGTGAACTTACTGCCGATATACTGAAATACAACATGAACGTCTCGAGGGTCTGGATCCAACTTCAAGTCAACTTCAAGGGTCAGAAAAATCTAAGATATTCTTCGGACTAACAAAACAATTATAGACCTCTCCATTCGGTTTACTGTCAAAATTATATCCCTCGACTGTAAACCTCGACCTACGGTCTCGGTTTACAGTCTCGGGATATAATTTTGACAGTAAACCTCTGGAGAGGTCAATAATTGTATAATGTAACAGTCATATACTGTATTCAGATATTCTGTATGATGGTACTATTGCATGTACATGTACATGTATGTAGTATGTGATAGCGCATTTGGTACACCAAACCTTCCTTCAAATTCTATGATTGAGAGTATGTTCTCTATACAGTGAATGGAGTTAAATCTAAATTGTTTTCTCTAAATCAGCTAACATCATGAACATGAAGAACAAAATCAAGTAACCAATATTATAAATGTGTATCTAAAACAAGATGACCAGCTCATCCAACAAAATGAGCACAATACATATAACTGTAGAAAAGCTCATCATTATTTCATATTAGCATTAACATTAAGGCCCATTTACATGCATGTTGTTAATATAAAATGTTTCAACTCCACATGTCAATTTGAAATTAAATTGATTGATCAACAATATCTTTAAATTTTGAAAAAAAAAATCTTTTAATTTTGAAAATAATCGGATTCCAATGTTAAGACAGGTAACTTTTGATCACGAATAAATTATATTCTTCTATTCAGTAACTCAGATAATAATTGGTAACACCATGTACATCATTGATATTGAAGTCTGACCTGTCTGCTTTTAGGTTTGCTAGTCTTCTCTTTATCTTTCTTTGGCTTGGCTTTTTGTGTGGAAAAAAGCTCATCTAATTCTGTGATATCTATGGATAATTCATCTATATCTTCCCATACACTATGGGGCTTTTTCCTAGAGGGACTGCTAGCAGGACTACAAACATATAGATACATGTACTGTACATTTAGACATGGACATGATACATGTAAATCTTTGAATCTGTGTTCAAGACGATAACACAGGTCCATCAAGTGCATGTAAATGTAGTTCTTTATGAAAATAAAATTTATTTATATATGATAAATAATGCAAAGGATGATTCAATACATCTGAACTTCGCTGAATGAAGTGGAATAAAGAAATAGTTATTCGAACAAAGAATTGAATCCTGTACTATGGGCTGAATTAGATGTGAATAAAAGCCACACAGTTTTTTCATCAAACGAGCGAGATTATTCAAGGTTAATCAACAATACGTATCGTATATAAACTAGTAACACCCTGTATTACCTGGCAAGAGGGGACTGGGTCTGGGGGACTTGTATGCGGCGCCAAAACAAAGCCTTCATGGGAGACTTGGGCTGGACAACAGGCTTCCTTGGGACAGCTGAAAATGTGTAAGATATTCCCAAATTATTTTATGATTATCTCCCATAAATGAGCTCAGAAATAGAGTTTAGTTTAAATAGTTATCTGACAAGACACCAGCGTCATACAGAATAATTTAAGAGAAAAATTCAGAAATAAACTGTATGTCAACAATTGTATTTCAACAATTGTAATTCAATTGTATTAAAAAATGATGATCTTACCTGTGGGTGCTACTAGCATGGCTACACCTGGGCCACCTGGCGGAGGTGGAATACCACCTGGTATTGGAGGTGGGGGAGGAGGGCCTCCTCCTGGTGGGGGAGGAGGTGGGGGTATTCCCCCAGGTGGAGGAGGGGGAGGGGGTATGCCTCCGGGTGGAGGAGGGGGAGGAGGAATACCTCCAGGTGGGGGAGGGGGTGGGGGAATTCCCCCAGGAGGGGGAGGTGGTGGCGGAGGCGGAGGAACTAGAGGTTTTATCTGCTGTGACTGAGGGGACTCTGGCACAGAATGTCCATTGGGTAAGTCACTCTTCCTTGAAGGTCCATTCTGTCCTAAATCAGAACTAATCTGATTTTCTGACAAAGCACCCAGCTTCAGATTTTCAATGTCTGATAAGAGTTTATATTTCTCCAGATCACGTTCCAGTTGAGCTATCTTTGCTTCATATTGCATAGTCTGTAGTTTCAGCTCCCCTCTTTGGGATAGTATTGCTTGTTCATAATGCTCCTGTAACAAACAGTTTGATCAAATACATAACAAAAAGTTGGAAGATGAGATAACACTTAGACACACAACAGAGTGGAAGTAGCGGCTGTGTCGTTGTCCTTAAGCAGGGAGTAACTCAGTAGGTTTCATAACATAGCCTATAAGCTAGATATAGAGATAGCCAGTGGAAGGGTAATTTAATAGCCCTAGAACAGCCAGATTTTATTTAAAATGATTAAATTTTCTGTTAATGGGTCTAAGTGATAAAGGAAAATAATGCATGGCAAACAATTCAAAATATTGTTGAAAGTATATTAACCTCTTGAGTACCCAGAATGACGAGATTTCTCGTCACCTCAGATATGACCTTGAAACCCAGAGGGACGAGAAAATCAGTCTCAAATTTTTTCACAAAAATTGCTCTTATTTGAACAATTTTCATCTAATTTACACAAAAATTGTTTTAAAACGTGTGGAAATGATCTCTGCCATCTAATTTTACTAAGTTGAGCATCTCAAGTTGTATGGGTATGTAGTAAAATGTCAAAAGGTGGCAAAAAATGAAAAATTCTCTGGTTTCAACCGATTTTAGAGCCTGAGATTCAAGAGGTTAAAGACAGAGACTGAACAGTAATGCACCGTTTAAGATTGATGTGATTCATGTACAATGTATACTACACCTGTTCTTAATATTAAAGCTGAAAGTCAGGGAGACTGTTGTATAAAAGTATATGGACCCAGACTGTATATAATGGTTAACTTTACCTTGAAGCATTTCATCTTTTTCTCATACTCTCTCCTTAGGGCCGCTCGGATAGAATGACTAGTGCTGCCACCTTCAAATAAAATGATTACACGCAAACAATATTACACATCACATTCAAATGCAATAGCGCCAACAAAAAGTTCTAAAAAGCAAGTGCAATATATTTTTTCTTTTTGAAAATTTTGGCTTGCTCTACAATCTTGAAAATCTAGATCAAGTGTTCAGATTAGATTAAGTGTTCACATTTCAAGGTTTTATTAAGTCTATAGGAGATGATTTTGGGAGCACGAAAAAGTGTTCACATTGAGAGGCGTTCAAATTAGAGAGGTGTTCGGATATACAGGTTTCACTGTACATTCTTACCAGAAACTGGGTCAGGTTCAATCGCTTTCTCTATATCATCAAAGTTAGGTGGCCACTGAAAGTCTGGCATCTTTACAGGGACCACTTCAATCATGGGATGGTGGGTACATTCTATGTGGGCCCAGAAGTACATACAGTCTGCCTGGATACAGAAACACACTATGTGTATGGCGCAACTAACTGATGCAAAATTGACAGCAAAAATGAAAATGAATAATCAAAATGAGAACACTTATATACTTGCTATAGTTTGCATGTGCAAGCTTGAAAGAACACTACATATGAGAATTTCAGACTTATTGGTTAAAATCTATTCAGAAATATACACCAATCTCGCCATGTACTGGTATGCTCTCTTATAGATATCTGGTACCAATCAATGTATCGACAATGTAACATTGTGTTTTCTTATGAATAAATGCTGAAAATTCAACTCGACTAAATCATAACTAATTTGCTCAAATATATTATTGGTAAAAACACTTACCCTAAATATATCCGGTTGCATCTTATTGCTAGATTCCAGTGGTTTAATCACCCCAGCAGCCAGGAGGTGTGTACAGAACTGAATGGCAAACATTCGGCTATTTGGGGGAGGTGGTGAGATATCTGTGGGTGGGGCAGTGACGTCTGGGGGTAGGTGAGATGTATCCAGGGGAGACATCTGAGGGGATTTGACATCTGAACACAGCCATTGCAGTAACATCTGACCTGTTGATGAAAGGGTTAATTAATTTTCATTACTGAAGTTGGTAGTCACTAGCTACAAACCCTTGCGAGCCCCCCCCCCCCTCAGATGGGATAGATACTTTTAAAAATTTTGGTGCAAATAAAACCTTAATAACAAAAAAGTAGCTACCATGATTGGGTGAGTTAAATCTACACTAGGATCATTTCTTAATCAAAGAAGAAAAAATTGAAAGCAAAAAATGTGAATACTTTTATCTAAATCTTGGCACATGAATACTATTTAGACTAATTAGCCTCAATAGTACTCTGATAGTTGTACTACTGTTATTGCTAAAACCAATGAAGTTGTCAATTACACCAGTGTAATTATTTCATTTCTAGGAATTGTTCAATTATTCAATTACAAACCCATCTATCTTGCAAGTATCTATATAATCCTATATCAATAAACTGCAATAAGCAAGATTTAATATATAGGCCAAGCAAATGGGCTCATAAAAGGCTCAAACATCCCAAAAATTGCAACAGTTTTTTAATTAGTCTTATATTATGTATTAATATCAGTTGAAAAACATATCAAAAATATAGAAAAATGTATGCAGTGGACAAATATGAAATTTCACTTCCTAGGTACCCCCTACAACCCTACCCCAAAATTGAGTATTGGTAGGAAACAATTTTTTCTTCCCAAATGGAATACTTTAGTCAAGTATACAAGCTTTATTATGATAGATCACATATTCACAAATAATTAAAATATTATTTTAATCAATTTTGAGACCAGTAATTGGTCATTTGACCCCAAAGTATAACAAAATAGGCCACAAAACAGGCATGTTATCACATATCTATTTAGATATTTTAGGATCCGTTTGTCAGAAAAGCATGAAAAAAATCATGGAGTTACATATTCATATGAACTTCATATTTGGTGAGGGTCAGAATTCTAAGTCGATACTTAGGAAGAAAAAAATTATTCTATTTTCATAGTTTTGCCCCGCCCACTATTGGGGAGACTATAGTTTTGATGATTAACTCCCACAATGCATCACATTTGTATTAGAGTTGACATCTAAATCATTTATATAGGCTTGTCATCATCTAAAATACAAGTTTTGTGAAGGTTTATACCTTATTAGTATGAAAAATAGGAATTATTAGTTGCACCAGGTGAAATGTTAAGGTGACCTCACTTTTATTTGATGAATAATTGCATATCACCACTCTGATATTAGGGTATTTGATAACTTCTCTATACTAGGCTTATCTAAATAATGTAAGTTGTAGTTTTTGTGGAATTTAATATTGTTTAAATTATTAATCACAATCCGCAATTACAAAATTTGCATATATTTAAATTCATCAGATAAATAAATCATTACATAAGAGTACATTACTATGGAACTATCAATTGGATGTATAATGATGTAGAAACGAATTTATGGTTATTAAACGGAATTTAAACTGGCAGAGAACATTAAAATCTCAGATATCTGGGGAGTCTTTCATTAATATAATTTCAGTGCATAGGAATGATGGTAATTCTGTCTGTCAGGTTGGAAAACATTGAGTGTACATGTGCTGCATTCAGAATCGGATGCAGATATTGTGATGAAAACTGCAATGCAAAGTGTCCAAACCTCAAATACAGTACTCATACAGAATCCCCACGATGTTTTTTTTTCTCACAGAATTGTCGATTTAATTCCTTACTTAAGTTAAATAAACGGTTTGGGTTAAAAGTGCAGATAAATTGTTTATCGAAATACCGTTTATGTAACTTAAGTGAGGAATTAAATCGAAGATTCTGTTGTCTTCTGAACTATTTGTTCGCAAATATGTACATTTTTAAAGCATATAATACTGATACATGTTTGTGATAACAATGTTGTGGGAATTCTGCCTACAATGTGTGAAATAAAGAAAAAAGAAAAATCAAACCTTCGATGTTCCGACATTTTGTTACAACGTAAACACGTAGAAAACCAGTGAAATGCAAGCAACTCTGTCATTGCAGAGGAACATGCTCTTTTGTCAATTAATGGTGGAAAATGGTAAAACCCTAAATTATCTTAGGCTTCTAAAATTCTATTAAAAGAGAGCAGCAAGATCTGAATTATTGCAGCCCCGTGTTCTTCCTCCATTTTCTGATGCTGCGGAATACCACAGTTACAGAGTGTACCATCAGATCCAGGAGTGGGAGGGAAATAAACTGCCTCCATTATAATTGGGCTGGGAAATAAGCAACGAAACTATGTACCAATTGCCTAAATGCAGCTCCCCTTTCTCAGAGATCATCCATTGTGTGTGTAAGGCAGATTGTATTTCTATGAGATGTTCTTGTAGAAAAATGAAATAACTGTTCTTTGACATGTAAGGTATGCAAAGGCATTTGTGCAAATACCTCCATTACTGATCATGAGAATAATGATGACTAAATAATGAACACTGGCAGATCTGGGCTACCCCTTGGGCGGGCCCAGAAAAAAAATTGGGCCCAAAAAAGGCCATAAGGTACCGAAAAGTGGGCCTTTTTGGTCATAAATGGGCCTTTTAAAGCCTTATTTTTTAATTTAAGAAAATGGGTCTCAATATTTCAAAATTTGGGCCCACCTCAGGGTTTTAGGGGCCCAAATTTTTTTCCGCAGAAGTTTTTTTCTCAGACCTGACATTTGTTCCCCCCCCCCCTTGTTGGTTCCCATATCCGCCCCTGATGAAGGCTGGTGATAGACAAGGTTGTAACTGATTGTTGACTTGTTACAACATAATAGTATTAAGCTTATTTAATCAGCATTCTTTTTTACTCTCTATAAGTAAGACACATATATGAAGGTTAAGATTACAAAATTAAGGCAGCATTTTTGATAATGAACATAACATAATCGAACCAGGCCCTGTATAAAGACCAGGGATTTACTTTGCGTTACACTAGTTAACTCAGGAGGATTTATTAATGTAGAAACCTTTTCCACATTTTTTACCATTTTTTGAAATCGAACATTCTTCAGTTGAACTTCTTCATTTCATTTCTCAATATCACTGTGTGGTTAAGAACACCTTAGTCAAAAGTAACAATTTTTCCTTAATACAGGGTGAGCCAAAAAGGTAACACAAACAAATCTTAATAATCCAGTCCAATCATCCTGCATGGATTTAGTGTCATATTTGGCAGAATTGAGTCTTGGTCAATGTATTATCAATCTACCCAGTCTCAGTGGTCTATCTCTAGTGGTCACGATTTTATGGCCATTTTATACCATGCCATGAAATATGGGTGTCATACCTGGAGGCCAACTTGAACGTATCGTGCGTTGTTGTTCAAATCAGGAGCATAAAAATCATGTGTTATGACTCTCATCTTCATTCTTATCTCTTGTTTTAATGTTTCAAGTGTTGTTAGTATCGAAAAAAGGTCCACAGATAAAAAAAACGGGTGGTATTGATGTCCAGTCAGTTAGGCACATTTCGATATTTTGAGCACATTTTGTAAATGGCCATAAAATCGTGACTATTAAGGATAGATCAATGACACTTAGTAGAATGAAAGAACATTGAACAAGGTAATTGTGACAAATATGATGTCAAACCCATGCTGAATGACTGGGTTATTAACAGACATTTGGTTGGGTTACCTTTTTTGGCTCATATTAATAAACTGATGTCAGGGACGGCGATATTTAACATTTTGTTGCCTTTTCAAGGACATTTTTTGACCACTGATTGTAACAAATCGTTCTCTGTTTTACCAGAAAAGGTATATTATATATCAAATTGAATTTAAAGGGAAAAAAACATTTGATAATTTAACAGTTATCAACTAAAAGTAGGGCTTTCCCTATATTTCACCTGGCATTTGCTGTTTTTCTACTTTTTTTTACATAATCCTTTCCTGAAAACCTCAAAAAACTGTTTTCAGGACAAAATAAGCCTTTACAAATAATTTAGTTGTGCTATTGAGTTCAAATATGACATATCTTGGAAGTAATTAAACAAAAGTAAGGTCACCCCAAAAGTGGGTGTGGTAAAATATTGAAATTTCAAATATTATTTTCACGCTCAATATTCACTTAATGACCCTGATACTTATCAAAGACAATGTTCAGGTGTACAATACCCTCCTTGATATTTTTCATGCAATTCTGATGAATTGATACAGAAATAAATACATTGTTATATTAAATTCGGGCTATTTGATGGCCTATTTTCAGATATTTGGCGCTAGAAATGCCAATTATTGCACTCAAATAGTTGGTTAACAATTTTTAGTTGCTCTTATGTCAGTAAACTATCATAATATTACTCGTTTAGTTGACAAGAGTATTCCATTTTGAAATAAAAAAATATTTACAATCCCATACTCAAATTTGGAGGGGGGTACCTGGAATGTGACATTTCATGTTTGTCCACTGCATATATTTTTCTATATTTTTGATATGTTTTTCAACTGGTATCAATATACAATATAAGCCTAATTTAAAAACTGTTGCAATTTTTGGGATGTTAAACTTCCATTTGCCTAGCCTAATAGTAAATTGTATTAAAATAGCAATGAAATATTGCGAGACAATTATGGACAAAAGCATCTAAATGTTATCTTATGCAACAAATTATTTACCCTTTGCATTTTTTTCGATTTCACTTCTTAAAAGAGAGCTTCATCTTCAGTAGTTTATAACTAAACTCTGCACAAAGGGTATAAATTATTCGGCAGTATTACTACATTGTAATTTGTGTATAAGAACTTAATATATTAAGATGAAAGACTTACCCTCAAACTTTTCCAGATTTTCAAAGTTGAGTTTCTCAGGAACTGTAGGTGGTCTTTGAACATCTTCATGGTAATCATCCAATGAGATACTGTGGGGTCGCAATTTTGCCCTTTGACCTGTGTCAAGGTCACCATTGAGTCTCTCATATACAGCATGGACATCTTCACTTACACTTCTTTTGAATATTGTTTTATGTTCATCTTTTTTATTTGCTATAGATTGATGTTTGTCTGGCAGTTCTGTCTGCTGCTTATGGCTGAATAATTCATGTTGTTTGTCTGGTAATTCATGTTGTTTGCTGGGTAAATCCTGTTGACTTACTTCTGTAAATTTGAAAGTTGTATTCTTTACTTGATGAGCTTTACTTAAATAAGTCTGTCCAAACTCAACCTTGAATTCCATATCGACCTCCTGCTCAGCTGTACATGTATGTTGTAAACTATTATCACTGAGCACACGGCAATTATCTCCATCATTCTGTCTAATTCCATTTCCTTCACAGGCTGCTAATAAATTTATATCATTTGACTGCTCATTTCCAATGTTTTGACTGTCTGGATCCAGCCATGTGTTATACTTTGTAACGGTTATTAAATCACTATCTTTCGATATTTTCAAATCTAATGAACTCACTTCTGGTGTTGAGTCCAGGGTTAAATCAGATGTTGATTTGGACAAAGTTTGATTCAAGGTTTCATTCTGGGGGAGAGATTTATCATTTCTAAGATCAATTTGTTTGCCTTGATCTTTGGTGTTCTCCTTGTAGTTCTCTGGGTTGTCTAAGCCTGTGTCCATTGACTGACTCAATTTGACACCTTTTAATTTAGTTATGGGGGTATTATCAAGTATCTTCTTACTTTCAATGTTTATTTCTAAATTCTCCTTTTTTCTGTCTGCCATTGTTAAATCTGCCAGACCTGCTATTATTTCATCTATTCCATCTGTTGTAAGATCAAGTGGGGGTTTATCTAGCAGATCAATACTTTCTTTAATATCTGTTTCATCAACTGTCTCAGACTTCTCATGAAGGTCTACTGCTGTATCATCTAAAGCTACATCACCCTCGTTACCATCAGAGGCATTAATTTCACCTCCAACTTCATTGCTTTTTATTGCTTTTCCAGTATCTGCTATGTTTTTATCATCTTTACTATTTGATTCTCCTGGCAGATTTCTTTTTACTTTCACCATTTTTGTGGTAGGCTTCTCTGGTCTATTGCCAGTGAGGAACCTGGAGGATGTGGCAGCATAATTACTAGGACTTAACATAGGTTGTATTTTGGTTGCTACTGGTTGATCTGTGGAATCATCTGGTTGAGATTTGACATCACCAGGTTGAGATTTGACATCACCAGGTTGAGATTTGACATCATCTGGTTGAGGTTTGACATCATCAGGCTTAACCTTGAAATCATTTGGTTGAGGTTCAGCATTTCCAGGTTCAGATTTGACATCACCAGGTTCAGATTTAACATCACCAGGTTCAGATTTAACATCCCTAGGTTGATTTGTTGAATGTTTTTCTGTTGTTTTAGATTCTTCAAAAATAGGTTCTGACACGGGCATGATATGTTCTGTTTCTTCAACAATTTTAATTTGAGTTTCATCAGATGGTTTAAGCTGGAGTTCATTTAAGACCTTGTCGCCACTTTCATTATTATGAACATCACTAAGTATTGCTTTGTCTTCGTTGTTTTGATTAGAAGCAGTGTCGGGTTCATCAATTTTTACAGCTCCTATAAGGGAGTTATTTACACTCTTTGGTGTATTATTATCTCCTGATTCAGTATGGACTTCGATGTTGGAAATAATCTCATCACTTAATACATTGTCTATATCTTCAGCTCTATTTCGATGTAATTCACTATTTATTGCTTTTTGTGGTTTATCTTGAGCAGGCTCTGCTTCAATTTCTTCTTTTGTATGGGAAGCAGCAATGTTTTTGGAAAGTTTGTCTTCTTTTATAGTCAAGGATTCAACTTTTTGGTTTTCTGACTGTATACTATTTTGACTAGACTTTGATTTATTATGACATCTCAGAGTGTCCCCAATGCTTAAACTTTCAGGGTGACTAGCTTTATTTTTATTTTTGCCTTGTAGATCATCAATTTTAGTATCATCTTCTTGAAGTGGCTGTTCAAGTGACTTTACTGGTTTTTTAACTTTGTAAGATTTCTCGTACATTTGAGCAGATTTCCTTAGTTTACTTAGATCAGGTCCCATTACACGCCGCCGAGGTTTCACTGGCTCCTGTACCTCAGAACATGGTTCAGTTGATTCAGTTCTACAACTTAGTGCGGCATTTCCCTCTGGAGATATCGCCTGGGCGGCTACAACTGCATCATTTACAGGATGTATGTCATGTTCTATTTTAGATTTCTCCACAACTTTAGTATAAGATTCATTTACATTCAGATCTTCTGTACTGACAGTGTCAGCCCTATGATGGGGTTGTTGGCCATGTTTGTGTGGTCTACTGCCTTCAGAATGTGCTGCACTCTCAATAGGATTATCCACTCTTAAATATTGTGATATATTCCCTATAGATGGGTCTGATCGGGCCAAAGGGGCTCTGTTGGGATTTGTGGGCTCTCCCACATGAGCCCCCTGTATGTGAGGTGGTATGTCTCTAGGGATAGATGGGGGTCTTTCATGGTTGGTTGTTTCATTAAATGCTGCATTGTCAGCTCCGCCAACAACCCCGATTTTGCTACTCTCATTTTGACCCATGATGTATCTGTCACAGATTGATAGGGCTGAACATCTAAAACCAAAAAAAATTTGTTTCATGCACATACAATCAGATCAAAATGAAAAAGACAATGAAATACATGTAAATTACAGTGTTTCATTCAAATACAATAGACTAGATATGAGTAGAAATAATCTTGATTTACATCATTAAATATTCAAAATTCAGTGATATTATATTTGAAATCTACACATAAAATTACATCTAAAAATGTGGTTTTAGACATTGTTTATCAACTCTGAAAATTTAATTTTCTTTGAAAATGTGACTTTTAGGTCAGATAGATTCCCCATAGACCCCATCTTATAAAATCACAAAAAGTGAAAAAGTACCAACAAAAAGTTCCAAAAAGCAAGCCCAGTGTCCTGTTTAAGAGTCCCTATCCTTACTTTTAAAAATGGATTGTACATGTACCAATACTATCCCACATGAATCTACTTGAGACTCGATCAACTTGAGTTTTTCTGAGAAAATTAGGATTTTAGCAAGGGTGCTCAATATGGGGACATATACCATTGACCTTGACTTAGCGTGGGGAAACCAGCAGGTATGCCACCATCTAAAGTCAATGCATCCTTGCTGAAATCTTTATTTTGTCAGAAGAACTCAAGTGGATCAAATCTCAACAAGTAGTTCCTGTTGGATAGTATTGCTAGAATCGAATTTTGAAAGAACAGGGGTTCTTAAACAGGACATTAAAGCTTAACTAAGGCCTTTTTGAAATTTTTGTTAACATATATATAAATATATGTTCCAAGACTTGATTTAGTTCTAAAATATCTTTTCTTTAATTGGACAGATATTTTATCTTACTCATTTCATTTGTATAACTATCAGATACATAGGGATAAAATAAAAATTGAACCACTAAAATTGATGAATATTCAAGTTTAAGAACTTTCTAGTATACCTGCAGTGTTATCTGACCCGAATTAGCCACCTCATGGTGAAACTGGTAACTACCTACTCGCATCTTAATTATTCAAAATTCCATATTTAAACAGTTTTACATGAATTAATCATCACTATTATAACTACATACGTAAATGTAAGTACGGTATAACCTTATACTACAGTATAATTCTATTTTTCCTGTGCAATTGCCAAAATTAAAAATTAACATGATGTGAATTGATAGTAAAACACATTAATTAGTGCATTATCAGACAGTTCAGGAATTCACAGCACTCCACAATACCGCTTGTAGAAGCAACATATATTAAATAAACAAGGCATTAGCATGCAAAATGTCACCAATCGAGAACACCAACAGTCTAACCGCCTAATGCCAAACACCAACAGTCCAAGTCCAACCACCTAATGACAAACACCAACAGTCCAACCACCTAATGCCAAACACCAACCGCCACCAAAAAGTTGGAGACTTCAACAACATGTCTCCACTTGTGGTGGTGACATAAAAATACAAGTTGTATAATATCATTCTCCGAAAAATAATCTCAAGCTGACCCCTTCCATTATGATAGGCTACGTTATCCATATTCCAAGGTTTTGAATTCTTTGCCAAAAAACATGACTGCTATTACGGTATATTATACAATAAATAATTTCTTACTTGAGTTATACATCGATATGATTTCTTGTACATCCTTGATTCAAAATAATTTGGGTTTTCATCTTGGTTGCAAAATAAATATACCATGAAACACTTAATTATGTAATTCAGAAAACGCTTAACCTTGTTGGATCCTTAAATTGAGCTATTAACATGAAAAGTGAATCACCAAAAATAGCACTGAATCTTGCGTGCCAGTTGCAATTTATAACAGACTTTATATTATCAAGCTGGTAAAGAAGAGGTATATTGGCAGAAATCTTTGTGCTGAAGCAGTTCAGAAGCTAGAAAATCAATTTGAATATCAGTTGCATAGCCATGTTGTAATGTATTCAATTTGTTTCCCGGGAATCTGTTAATTACTAGTCATAGTTCGCTCAGTGTAATGTTGGTTGCACGCTTCCCGTGATGCATCAGTCTGTACTTCCGCCCTAGTAAAAATGTAATAAAAGTTTGTAACTCTGATTTAAATGTCCGTTTATGTTTAAATACAGAACATTTTGGCGACGAGGATATTAAAGCCTAACGCAAGCATGAAACCAGGGGATTTTTCCGAATATAAAATAAACACTGACTGGAGCGAGTATGTTGAACAACTCGAGCAACATTTTGTTGTCACCAAAGTTCGGGAAGAGGATGAGGATCTTAGAAGGGCGATATTACTGTCATGCGTAGGGGCAGAAACTTATTCTCTTATTCGCTCGTTGGTTCAACCTGCCAAGCCAACAGAGAAGACATTTGCTCAAATTACAGAATTGGTGAGGCAATATAAAGATCCAAGACCATGTGTGGTTGTTTTGCGTTGGAAGTTTCACTCCAGGAGTCGTAAAGAGACTGAAAAGGTATCGGAATATGTGGCTGAACTTCGTAAATTGGCTGAACATTGTGAATTTCCAGTGATAGACGATAGTCTCAGAGATGCGTTTGTATTTGGGATAAACGATGAGAAAATGTTGAATGATTTGCTAACAGAGGCGCAAGAGAAAAACAGTTTACCATTAGCCAGAGCTGTTGATATGGCGACTGCGATTGAGATGTCCCGTGCTCAAGTGAAGGATATGAGTAAGGGAGCTGCCGAACCAGTATACAGTATGCCAGTATACCAGCATACTGACTCAGTACCGAATAAACTGAAATGTATACGTTGTGGCGATGCACACCAAATCATGGACTGTAAGTTCAACAAACAAGTGCGTTGTTTTAATTGTAATTTGTGTGGCCATATTAGTAAGATATGCAGAAAACCGCGTAAATCCCAAACCCATAATCTGGACTGTGAATCCTCTGAGGCTGTGGACTCAGAAACTTACAGATTATTCAACATCTGTTCATCTGTTTTGGATAAACCGATGAATATCGACTTACAGTGCAATGACATATTGTGTAACATGGAGATCGATACTGGGGCTCGTAAATCGGTAATGTCTCAAGATACATTTAATCAAACTTGGAGGGATAACCCCCCGTCCTTGAGGAAATCTAACATAGTACTTAAAACGTATACACAACAGGAAGTGCCAGTGGTCGGTGAATGTGACATTAAGGTGAATTACCAGAACCGCCACGTCACATTACCATTACTGATAGTAAAAGGTACCGGTCCTAGTTTGATGGGACTTAATTGGATCCGACAATTGCCTATCGATTGGAATAGCATCCACAAGTTACACATAGATGAGACTAATACTGCCGTTGATAGTTTGAAAGAGCAGTACGCAGATGTATTCAAAGATGAACTTGGAACTATATCAGGAATTCAGGCTCATATATATGTGGATCCTGAGGCTAAGCCTAGATTCTTCAAACCAAGACCCGTGCCGATTCCTGTTCGTGAAGCTGTTGAAGTGGAGATCGAACGTTTGCAAAACGAAGGTGTCATCGAACCAGTCGAACACAGCGAGTGGGCGTGTCCTGTGGTACCAGTGCGTAAAACTGATGGAACAATACGACTTTGTGGAGACTACAAGATGACCGTTAATCAAGTTTCACAAGCCGATTCTTATCCATTACCCAATGTAAAAGATCTATATGCGCAATTGAGTGGGGGTTTGTCGTATTCTAAGTTGGACATGAGTCATGCCTATTCCCAGGTTTTATTAGATGAGCAATCCCGTACTTTTGCTACCATCAATACTCATAGGGGGCTTTTCAGAGTGAATCGATTAGCTTTTGGAATTTCATCCAGTCCAGGGATTTTTCAGAGAATCATGGAAAATTTACTCAGAGACATTCCCAATGTTCTAGTATTTTTAGATGATATTCTAGTAACAGGTCCCACTGACACCCAGCATATCGCGAATTTAGAAGAAGTTCTCCGTCGCTTTCAGAAACTTGGCGTTCGTCTCAAACTTAAGAAATGTGAGTTCATGAAAAAAGAGGTTGTGTATCTTGGTCACAAGATTAATAGTGACGGAATTCACCCATCGCCCGAGAAACTGCGCGCGATTTCCGAGGCACCGCGACCGTATGATGTCAAAACATTGCAATCTTATCTAGGTCTGATCAACTATTACCGATCATTCACGCCAAAGTTTGCACAAGTTCTCGCACCGCTTAACAAACTGTTAGGTAAGTCACAGCGCTGGTTCTGGGGTAAAGCTCAGGAAAATGCGTTTCGCGAATCTAAACAGCTGATTTTGGATTACGCAGCTCAAACACCCTATGATCCATCGTGCGACATGATTGTTCAGTGCGATGCAGGACCAGAGGGTATTGGCGCAATTTTGACCCAGCGCGATTCTTCGGGAAAAGAAAGTATGGTCACATGTGCGTCACGTCGTTTATTACCAGCTGAAAAAAACTATTCACAATTAGAAAAAGAAGGTTTGGCATGTGTATATGGCGTCACAAAATTCAGGCAATATGTGTATGGTAGAAAATTCCGTATTCAAACAGATCATAAACCGTTGTTAGGTCTTTTTGGAGAGAATCGCCAGATTCCAGTTGTGGCCTCAGCCCGTATTCAACGTTGGGCACTTACTTTGAGTGCATATGATTATACCTTAGAATACAAGCCAGGTCCCGAACATGGAAACTGCGATGCTCTCAGTCGTTTGCCGTTGCCCGATTTGCCGTCTAAGGATACTGTCACGATGCCAGCCGAGGTTGTACTTCTGATGACACACTTGGAAAATGGTCCAGTCACAGCTAAGCAAATCAAGTTGTGGACGGAACGTGATCCCGTTTTGTCCAAAGTTCTCAGTTTTGTCACAAATGGTTGGCCAGAACATGTTTCAGATGCGCGTTTGAAGCCGTATTTTAACCGCAGATCTGAGTTAAGTGCGGAAAATGGATGCATCTTATGGGGTTGCCGCGTTGTCGTTCCGTCTCAAGGTCAACAGGGCATTCTTGAAGAGCTTCATGAAGCTCATCCTGGTATAGTTCGGATGAAAGCGTTTTCACGGGCATATGTTTGGTGGCCCGGATTAGATTCGGACATTGAGGAATATGTCAGAAATTGTGTAGATTGCCAGAAAGTTCGTAATGTCCCGGCTGAAGCACCGTTGCATCCGTGGTCGTTTCCTGAGAAACCGTGGCAACGTATCCATGTAGACTATGCGGGACCATTTCTCAATAAAATGTTCCTCATTATTTGTGACGCATACTCTAAATGGATCGAAGTACACATTACAAATAGTAGTACATCTATCGTCACGATTGAAAAACTCAGTGTCACATTTTCACAGTTCGGTATTCCCGAGAAGTTGGTGTCTGATAATGGCACATGTTTCACCAGCGACGAATTTTGTAAATTCTGTGAAGAAAACGGCATTAAACACATTTTCAGTGCGCCATTTCACGCGGCTTCAAATGGATGCGCTGAAAAATCGGTCGGAATAGTCAAAGATGGACTGAAAAAACTTTCGGCAGAGAAGGGAAGTTTACAAATGCAAGTTTCGAGATTATTGTTCAAGTACCGTCTAACACCTCACTCAACCACAGGTGTCACGCCATCGGAATTACTCATGGGTCGTAAACTTAGGTGTCAGTTTGATTTGGTCAAACCATTAAGTTTACAGGAACATGTAGCAAAAAAGCAGGAAAGTCAAAAGTTCTACCATGATCAATCTGCTAAATCCAGGGAATTCAAGGTGGGAGATCCTGTTTTTGCATTGAACTTTGCTAAAGGCTCCAGATGGTTAGAAGGTAGCATTTGTTGTAAAACAGGTCCAGTGTCTGTGCGTATTTCACTCACAGATGGTCGAGAAATTCGTAGGCATATTGACCATGTCCGATTTAGGTACTCTGCCCTAAGTGAAAGTGAAAGTGAGGTTACTATGGAAACCAATATGCCTCACAATGTAAATATAAGTGAAAGTGTAATGATTCCAAAGAGGAATTACAATGTTGAAAAATCTACTTCAGCATCTGAACATACACCAGAATCTGGTACATCAGGTTCTAACTCACTGGATAATGCTATATATGATAGTGAACACCACACCAGTACAAGGGATAATGGAATTCCAGTTATAATCAATCCTACTCCTAGCAAAATTGTAGATTCTCCAAGTAAAGTGACACCAAGAAGATCTACACGCAATAAGAAACCTCCTGAGAGACTTATCATGGAGTGTTAACTGTTTCCATAATCTGTAAAACTTAAATGAGCTTTATTTTAGTCGAGTTTATTCAGTTTCTATACAGTGAACAGAAACATGTATCACAACTGCTGAACTATAAGTGGTAATCAATTTTAAGTTTTGTTAACTTGAGAACTTTTTTCAATTTGTGCTAACTACAGTTTATTTACTACTGTTTGTGCAAGCAATTTTCATCTAAGGAAGGAGGAATGTAATGTATTCAATTTGTTTCCCGGGAATCTGTTAATTACTAGTCATAGTTCGCTCAGTGTAATGTTGGTTGCACGCTTCCCGTGATGCATCAGTCTGTACTTCCGCCCTAGTAAAAATGTAATAAAAGTTTGTAACTCTGATTTAAATGTCCGTTTATGTTTAAATACAGAACACATGTGCAGATCACATTAATGATATTATTTTGTATGTTTAGGATCTAGGAGCCTTACAGTATACATGTATAAGCAGATTCATTTATTTTAGATGAGCATTTGTTCTGGCATATATCAAAGAATACATAAATTATTTGTTTCTATTTGAATTATTTTTTTGTTTTGTGAATTATATCCTAACTTGATCCAAAAGAAAATTTCATTTCATTTCAACAATTTCATTTCACACAATACCCATCTACTGAGTATTGACCTTCCTCTGGACCTTAACCTTGTACTTAAGGAATGCATGGTGCTTCACAACCATCCAGTATTCCTGTATGTGCATCGTATTATGGTCCACTCTCCATACTATGAAAATGTTGCCTTTATAGTTTTTGCTTGACAGAGGGAAAAGTAATTTACTATTTATTTACTTTTTCATCTATCAGGCAGTAAAAATGTTTCTAAAAAATGTAGATATTTCATGGGATACTTATAATCTTTGCATGTCCACAATGTGACATTGAACAGTGAGCTTTGAAATTAAACACACCTAAAAGCAGTACAGTTTAGTGACTTCTGGGTGACATTGGGTTACAAAATTTTCTTATTCAAAGAATTCAATGCGACCTTGCACTGTGTTATGTAAATATCTTATTTTCTGTGATTTTTGAAAAATCTAATAAAATTGCTGATGACACCAAATTGTACAGAGAAATTAGGAACAAAAATGACATGGATGAATTACTCCAAAATGACCTCAATACAATACAAACATGGGTTCCTAAATGGAAACTACAATTTCACCCAAATAAATATACTGTTCTGAGAGTGGGAAATATGAAACCATCATATAGTACCTGTACATGTACCTATAATAATACTGATACACAAAGTGGGAAAAACTGATACTAAAAAAACAATAGCGTGGAAAGAGGTTTACATGTCAACATTGACTCAAATTTGAAATTCTCTGAGTATGTTACAATAACAGCAAATAAAGCGGAGTAATAAAGCGAAGCTACAAGTCACACCGGAATAGCCTGACAACGGTAAAGTCAGATACCATTGTCACAAATAGCGTACATAACCGTCACTTCAATTAGATTTTCATGAACTGTATGTTTAATAGAGCACCTAGACTAAATTTCTTTGGAACAACAATCAATCAAAGTGTCTTAATACTCATCGTACAGTTAACAATGTTCTACCATCGAAATAAAGTCTTTAATTTAACCAATCAAAATGAGATACGGGACAACGGACACTATAATTACCATATGCCTTTGTCTTTCTAAATTACTCAAATTCAGATTCCGTTGTCATTGACGATATCGAAGACGCCATATTGTGGCCATTCACGACCCGATTTGATCAAAATTGGGATTTCATATGAAACAACATCATAAGAGCTATTAATACATGCACAGAATTAGCAATGATAAAATCCCATGAACCAGGTGATTAAACAGTTGAAGCGACGGTATATGTCCGCCATATGTGACAACGGTATCTGACTATACTGGCTATTCCGGTGTGCAAGTATCTTGATGATGATTCGCTCAAGCTACCCTTTAATGACCTTGTCCGTTCAATCTAGGAGTATGGAAACTCAGTTTGGAGCCTACAGTATAAGAAAGACATTGAACCCATTGAAAACATACAGAAGAGAGCAACTAGACTCCTACCTAACCTGAGGCAACTAACATATCCCGAAAGATTAGCCTCACTGGACATGACATTGACAACATTGACAGGGTTACGAGGGATATGATTTTGTAACTTCATGTAACTTCTTATTGGTGATTTTTGGAGTTTATAAATGTGATTTTACTGGAGATCGGTCTAGAACTAGAGTTAGGTTGAGCTGAAGATCTAATCAAATCATATGATTCTCAATTTTGAAGTGAATTGAAGAATGTTGAATGATAAAAAAAAATCATGATGAAATTTTCTCATGAGAATTTTTATCTGATTGAATAAGAACTAGTTTTCATTCAAAGGTTTTATATATACTTACTATTAATGTTGCAATATACAACAAACATTATGTACTGATTAACTTGTCTTCATCGTCCCCCTATTCTCTCAAATCACTTGATAAAGTGAATTTTCCTCTCGGATATCTATCTGTCAGATTAACTTCCGGTAGATCTATTTCCAAACGTAATCTGGCAGAATATTGGGGGAATATTCAAAACTGTTTTTTTATCCAAATAAATGATCAATATCACAGAGTCTGTGTTACATCTAGTCTAGAACATGATGTTATTAAGGATATGAATATCCCGTGATCAGCTTGGACGGGGAAATATGGATTTGCTTGAGAGTCTGAGGAAATATAGTGAGGCAAACGGTGAGTGAATATTTCCATTTTGCCATTTTTTGGAAAATAAACCTGACTCACTGCATATGGTATATTATTGATGTTTGACCAATCACAAAACATGTCTCTGACAAGGGCTGAACCAAATGCTGAAATCTGATTGGTCAAACATCAATAATATACCATATGCCGTATATGATTTACTCTCGTCCCTGACTCCTGAGAGTGAGACCAAAGGCCCAGAAACGTGTATACTTATACAAAATCGAAGTTTATCATCAGAAAAGTCAACAAAATTCAAAAATGAACCTATCTTCATTTAAAGATGCAGCCTCATAAGTTCTCGGGGTACACCCAATTTCCTGGCCTGACTTCGTCAGTAGAAATTGAAATATAAGAGTTACCTGAAGATTAGGAGTCTTACTGACCCTCTAGAGGTTAGAACACATATTTCAATGAAACCCTATCACCTTTGTTGCATCAACCATAGAGCATTTAGCACAATATCCAAGAGGTAAAATATGGACCTTGAAAATGAATGATTTCCTTGTAAGTTCCGAAAGTTTCAGTACAATAAATTACCAAACATTTGTGAAAATTGAATGTTTATCTGTTGATTTTATAATTTACACATGAGTGTATTCTTCTATACTTTGGTCTAAATAATAAAGCATCACGAACAGGTCCTACTGTATCAATAGACTAATACAGCAGACGACCCATTCATACTTTCTGCGCAGAATTTATTCAGACCAATAGTTCAACTGTAGATCATGCAGTTTCTTCTATCTTAGAACAGGCCAACCTCCTTTGGCCTGTCCTGAACTCATCTGCAAACGACCGCAAAACATTCTTTCCTAATATTCTAATTATTTTTACATCAGACATGGTTGGATGATGGTTCAAGGTCAGTACATTATTTCGTGATAGGGGCAACGCCTTCCCAGAAGTAAACACGAATTTCAATCAAGTACTGTGCTTATGCTTCATCATGAACAAAACAAAGCTGATATGGTTTCATTGAAATGTGTGTTCTAACCTCTAGTGGATAAGTATAAGACTCCCTAATCTTCTGGTAAATCTTATTTTTCAAGTTCTACCGACGAAGTCAGGCCAGGAAATCAGGTTTAGTTATCAGAAAGGATAAGTAACGATATGGTGAACTGGATTCAACAATGTTTTTCTCTTTAACCAATTATTGAAAAAATTCTGTAATGAAACATTGTCCTTTATGTAATGTTGACTGAATGACAACAATTTAATGCGAAAATTATTTATATATATTTTAAATAACTGTTTTTTATAACATTTTTTGTTTTTCAGTGCAATTGTTTTTTGTTACTTTCTACCAATTCTTGAATATGAAATAAAATGTCTTTCCGAACCTTGTTGGAACAAAATAGCATATACAACATTTTCTTAGACCTCTCAATATTATAGTTATACAAAGGAAATTTTAGCTGATTTAACAAAAGGTATGCAAAAAGTTAAAACAAAACCCCCCAAAATAAATAAAAATTAAGATAAACCTTTTATTTCATTTAACAAGATGCTTTTTAAAATCAACCAAACTTTCCTTTGTACAATTACAATATTGAGAGACCTAAACACGTTGTGTTTATTTCGTTTTGTTCCAATGAGGTTCAGATAGATGTTTCATTTCATTCCGAACATATGATACCAAGAAGAAAAGAAGTGTCTGATGTGTTTTCTAAAACAATATAGAGAAAAGTATATATACAACCTCTTTATCTTGTATATATATATATTTCAAATTATAATGTTACCATCCAAAAAATGACCATTAAATTGACGATGTGTAACATTTTCAGAATTTTTTGATGCCTGGTTTAAGAGAAAACCTATGTTCAAAAAGTTCACCATATTGATACCACTCCTTTACACCAAACAGGAAATGAAAAAACATGTGGATTTTAGAATTTTTTGAACTAAGATAACAGAGTTCTGCTTTAGAGAGGCTCTATACCATAGGATAGCACAATCAATACCCCTCTGGAACCTTTTGCATATTGAGTTTCACCACATATTCATCTATCTACTTACCAACGAAAAAGTCCCAAATCCACTGCTTTCAGTGTTTATTTTGCGATTGTAATGACTGATATAATTATTTTCGTGGAAAGTAATTCAATCTGAAGTTTGAATATACCTGGAGAATCCCCCTGTTATCTGATTGGTCGTTGAATTTGTTTATCATGAACCCGATTGGCTGCCTGGTGCAAGGTATGTATGGGCGCTTGTGTGACTCAATGGGGATTCCCAGGCATTTCAGGCATTAAAAGAAATCATCCCAACTATCATAATTTAAGCTTTTTGACAACAATTGAAAAATGCACATGAATTTATTTCTAGCAAGTAAAAAGAAAGATGAAGCGACGGCCAAGGAGGAAGAAATGGCCTTGTTCACCAAGTACTACACTGAGTGGAAAGGACCAGATAAGAAGAAGGGAGAGTCATACAAAGCTATACCAAAGTTCTATTTTAAGGTTAATTTCAGGTTTCATTTTAACTGAAGTTACAAATATCCTAGTGTAGAATAATAGATGCATGTAAAATAGTTGTCAGTACTGAACAGTTTAACCTTTTAAAATACAAAGAAGTAATAACATGTAATTAAAGCTACAATTTTATGTGAATGGCAGAAATTTTTTAACTTCAAAATTTGTCAAGAGAAATTCAATGCCTCTCCAGTAAAATTTTAAAAACCCATGAATTAAAAATCCAAAAATGTACTAAAAATCATCCACATCAAAATACCCATGTATGTATCAGCTCATGTTGAGTTTGTCTGAGCCTATTCTCACATATTTATAGAACTTTTAATATTTTACTAAGTAAAGTAAGAGACAATAAATTAAGATCTAAACAAAGTTTGTTTATATTTCAGCTTCCATCTGAGGAAGAAACATTAGCTCAGAAACTACGTGAAGAGTCCAGGTAAAGAAAAATGAATCATGTGATCAGCTGCGCTTCATTAGAATTTAGATAAAAGGCAAACCAAATGAAAACAACTCAATTATTTTAACATGGACATCCTGCAAATTATCTCAGGATAACCAATTTTGGTGAAAAATAACTGAAGAAAAATAAACCCAGATAGTGTATCACTATTTGAATTCAAGATAAAAAGGTCTGGATTATTGATAAATAATCAATTGTAACTCAATGATCTTTTAATGTGTGATATTCATAGCATTTGCATATGGTTTTTAGGGCAGTGTTCCTTCAGAGACGAAGTAGAGAACTGCTTGACAATGATGAATTACAGGTACGTAAAACTATTATTTCTTAATATGATCACAGTTTTACAATTCAATTGACTAAATTGTGATGTAACAAATTCCACCCAATCTGCATTCTTAAAATTACAAGAAGCCCTTGCAAAAAGTAAAAGTTTGGAAACAAGACATTCATCATAAATCATCTTCTTATAATTCATTGAGTCCTTGGCTTACATACCTTAATATACTATTTTCAGGGTCTGTGGTTCCTATTGGATAAGCATCACACACCTCCATTAGTTGGAGAAGAACAGATGATTAATTATGAGGACTTCCTAAAGGTGGCGCAACAAGCTGGCAGCAAGTGCAAGTATGGAATATTTAATTTGATGAATTTGAAAAAATATGCATCTTTCTTGAGTGTTTGTTTCAATAAGAATGCTCGACAAAGAAGTAAATCACTTTGTCTGTAATGGAAAGTTGTTTTATTTCACTATTTTAGACCCACATGATATTTGCCATTTTTGAAAATGTTGAAAATATATCTGAACTGTTTTTCTTTTTCCAAAATTGAATATATTCCCACCGCATATGTACTCTGAAGGTCATTATGATTTGGAAAATGTTAAAAAATATTGAAAATGTTCCTTTTTCATATGCGAAATATAATTTTTCAGACCATTCTTCACGGCATCTGTATTTGCCAAGCTACTCCAAACCGATCCTTACGGCAGAATCTCCATTATGCAATTTTTTAATTATGTTATGAGAAAAGTGTGGCTCCACCAGACTAGGATTGGTCTCTCACTTTATGACGTTGCTGGTCAAGGTTTCCTTAAAGAATCTGTAAGTAAAACTTTCTTTTTTCATATCTTATTTCAGAAAAATCCAAGAAACAATCATGTATTCATGTACAGTAAAATAATGTTTAAATACAATTCTACACCATACTTTTCACCTTGTTACAAAATAACATAACATCATCTTAAAGAATAAGCAAATGGCTTGCAGTCCCTTTATTCATTTTTTACAAAAGATGGTCACAAGTACACAATATAATATGTTTATGTTCTAATTCGTTACTCTAAACCAAACATAAATGATTATTATCTACAAAAGCTAAAGAAGGCCTCATTGCCCCAGGACTGATAAAATGACTACACTTGAGTCCTAGGCTTATAATCCTTTCATCTAGAAATAGGAAAGTTTTTGCTTTGATTAAAAGATGTCACCCTTTTAAATGCAATTTCCTTTCAGTTGATTCGCACTTGAAGTGGTTCATTTAGTTGCCACATAAGTTTTTTTCAACAACATCCCATGACAGATATTCCATCTCTTACAACATAAAGCAATACTTAAGGAATAAAGACCGAGATTTTATGATTTATAGCGCAATAAAGTTACTCTGTTCATTGCTTAAAGACTGAAATTGCATCGCGTTTTTGGTGATGGTCAGAATAAAATTTGAGGTCATATATTTGCCATAAATCATAAAATCGAGGTCTTTGTTGCAATTCTAATATGATAAACAGATACGAAAAACAAATATTTACATTTATAAGAATTTTGGCAGTCATACATACTCCAATATAGACCAGTAAATAAATTGTTCTAGCATACATTGTATTTCCTAATTTTCCATCAGTATAGCCATTAATATAGTTATATGGCCATTAACATAGTTTCTATATTGAGCTTACTTACTACTTTTCCCTTTGCTTGGCCTATGAGTATGGCAAAGTAAGAATGTTAATGCTTATAGGCAGTTCTTGTGATATGTGATATATGTGCAGTAGTTTTGTATTTCCTAATTAGCTAAGTGCGATATGATATGTTTCCAATTAGTGAAAAGACATTGACATTTGTGACATCTCATAACACATAATATGCATTGATCCTCCTAGCATTGAAGCAAGTGGGAGCAGCACCCACCTGAGATTTTAATAACAGGCTTGCACCCACCTGAAAATTCATTTTCACCCACTTGAAAATGAGAAAAATCATGAAAATGAGCATATACATGTACTTACAAATTTTGGTCTGAATTGTGAAAATGAGAATTTTGCACCCACTTGAGAAAAATCCTGTGGAGAACACTGTAATATAATAAAGTCCAGTAGCCAATCAGGCTGAGCATCTGTGATGTTTTAAATTCACAATCCTAAATGATGTGACTACTTATACCTCAATATAAAAAATCATAACACCCTCAAAAGCACTAATCAACAGACTTTGCTACAAACCTTCTTTTCTGTAAATATTTAAGCTAAAAAAGATTCCTTGCTTACAGTAGTTTGATTTAGCAATATGACAAATGAACTTTGTAAGGCAATTTATTCACTCACTAGATAAGCAGTTTTTCAAACTGTGAAATTTACAGAAAAAAAGATTTGTATATTGTATTGAACTTTCTTGATGGTGCAATGTGTAGGTTATTTTTAGTAACATAGTTAGGAGCCGAATCCCTTTACCAATTTACATCACATAAAATATAAATATTCTTACAAATGATATCATATGATGTATTGGCATTTCCCTTATTGGTATCATAATATAATCATATTAATATTTAGCGAATCAGTATAACATGATATTTATGAATATTCACCCAATTCAAATCATACGAGGGGTGATTCAAAAGTAATGGACAAAATTTTATAGGCATACTAAATTTCACCCAATCAGTCTAATTTTTTCACAGTGAATAGATCAATCAATTCTCTACTTTGTGTCGAATTCTCATTTAAATGCATTTGAAATTGTTTCAGCTATGCGTAACCATGGTAACAAGGGTAAGCATGGGTGGAATTGGTTTTTTAATGATAATTGAATGTTTTTGTCATTTTTGCTTGATTTCGTTTTAATGACTCAATTACCACACATGATATGTCTAACAAGCATGGTAATGCAATTGTCAAGCAAGACTCACATGCCCATGTGTTTGCTGTTGAGTTCTAAATTCAGCAACCAATTGTGTATGACATCACAATGATATTTCTAAGAATGATGAGACACAGTGAGTCAGAAAGTAGATCAGACTCTTAGACTCACACACATCCAAGAAATGTCTACTTTACAACAAATCAAAGTTAAGCAAAGGATTGTTATTGAATATTTGGTAGCTACTGGAGAGACAAGGCAGGTAGTTGTCAAGAAAATAAAAGAGACACGTGGAGAAAAGGCCTTGTCAAGGCAAGCCATTGAGCGATGGTACAAACACTCTAGTGAAGGGGATACGAGAGTCTTAGATCTAAAGCGATCTTGAAGGCCCAATATCAATTTATTTCGATTACTTTTTGTATAACGCATGAAAAGTAACTTTAAAAATTGAGCAATGTCATTAGTGTTGTGATAATAACGTCCCTTATACCTATTTATTACAGGTCATGTAGACCATGGGCATGTGAGTCTTGCTTGACAATTGCATTACCATGCTTGTTAGACATATCATGTGTGGTAATTGAGTCATTAAAACGAAATCAAGCAAAAATGACAAAAACATTCAATTATCATTAAAAAACCAATTCCACCCATGCTTACCCTTGTTACCATGGTTACGCATAGCTGAAACAATTTCAAATGCATTTAAATGAGAATTCGACACAAAGTAGAGAATTGATTGATCTATTCACTGTGAAAAAATTAGACTGATTGGGTGAAATTTAGTATGCCTATAAAATTTTGTCCATTACTTTTGAATCACCCCTCGTATATCATGTTTATCCAGTTTGCAAAATATTCACCTGATCTACATCAAGAAAATGCTTCAATATATTTATCCAGTTGGAACTGCACCCTTTTTACATGTGAGGATATGCTTAAAAGCTTTCCTATAGTCCTTACTCTTGATGAGGTATACAAAAACATTGGTGATGGAGTTTAAGACAAGAATATTACTTGTGATATAATTAACCTGTCCACTTATGTACCTCCCAGGGTGTAGGGAGTAGAGGAACAAACACACAAAGAATGGTGTATAGCATGCAATGAATGATAAAAGAACAAGGCTAATGAGTTTAGCGAATCTTGACATACGTTTTGTCCACTGAAGGTAACTATAGTATGTGTTTGGGTGTAGCTCTATCTCTATTGCACTCTCTGCCAAAGAATCAATGCCCTGTTCGATGCTTTCCGCATATTTGTCTGATTTCGATTTCATGTATCTCAAATGCTTTTCTCCCCGTTGATCGAAGTTGTTCCGCACAGTTAGAAACCGGGAATCCTGTTGTTGCTGACGGTCCATATAGCCAAATTGGTTTGAACATCCGGGTCTCGGATCCAAAGGGTTCTCAGTTGGGCAATGCTGTATGATCTTCAGTGTCTTGTTCGAAGGCGATACTTTGTTTTGTTTGATTCGTATATGAAACACCTTAGGTTCACTTGGAATTAGGCCTTGTCTTGTGAGATGTCTAATATGCTGTGATAGCATGAAGAAAGTTGAACATTGTAGTGTGATTAGTATAATAAGATGTAAGAACACTACAATGCTGAGACCCATCAGGTGGTATCTGTTGATGAATCCATTACTGACCAAACACCCTACTTGAACCTCATCGGGATCATCATTGAGAAAGAAAAGAAAACTACACACGTAAAGAATCCATATAATCCAAGTCAGTATAATGAGTAGAAATGCAGTTCTCTTACTAAAAGGCTCTTTAACCAGCGCACGTTTGGTCATCAAAAAGCTGTCGATCCACAAGAGGAAAACACCAGTCATTGTGACGCCACCTGAGATAACCACCATCACAAGAACAACAAGGCACGGAGTTTTCTGATCTAGCAATTCAAAAACTTCCAAGAAAGCTCGTAGAACTAACAAACCTCCAAACACAATGTCGCTTACCGCCAGGTGTCCACAGAAAATATGTGAAATGGATTGTAATTTTTTGTAGCGTACAATAGATATTACAACTAACGAGTTTAATGCAACTATTGTAAATCCAATTGCAATTTGAATTAGAATGAATCCAATTTTTCTATCACTAACTTGAGTTTCTGTATCATTATATCTTGAGAAGTTGTTATTTGAATCCATTTTCAATCTTTTCTAATGAGTCTGTGATATGGTATGGTTATTATTCCCGCAAGTGTTTCTCTTCCAGGACCTCCTTTTTTACTCTAATTGGTCACTAATATGTCCACCAATCCTTTATATTTCATCCAAAGTGAACTGTTTACAGTATGTATTCTGTTACACTCTATTTTGGTTTTAATTATTCATGCGCATCTTCCTTCATTATAACTCATATTTCACTTGATATTGTAAATACATATATATTTGTACGTCTCTTCTTCTTAAATCATGAGAAATTTTTCGAATTATGTATTAATTATCTCCTCTTTATCTGCTGTATCAGAAACATGTTGTAGCTGACTAAAATGTTTAGATATTATATTATATTATTCTAGCTGTCCTCAAAGTTGACAATGCAGCTCTTATATTAATTAAAGGGATATTCCTGGTCAGACCATTTCTCTCCTGATATGATAGTTAAATAGGCCAAATCCAGTTTGTAAAATATTTGAGGCCTGTTATTATCCACACTTAATAACACAACTTTGGTAGATATCAAAAATATATGTGTTTGGTCAAAAATTTTGCTTTATATAAATACAGGGTGTGCCAAAAAATTGTGCAATTTTTTTAAAAGGCTAGAAAAGGGTCATAACATTAAGGTATTGACATAAAAATTGATATACAGAAATTTTAGGATAGGCATATTTTACCATTCAAATATTTAAGCTAATCCTGACTTCAAATTTTTTCAAGAGATCTTTGAATATCAGTGGTAAATTGTTTATGTGTCCAAGATTTACCATTTTTCCAAGAAAATGTGAACTTCTATGATTTTATGTGATTAACAATAACACATTCATTATGTTCACTGAATCTGCTACAATCTTTAATAATGGTTTAACCAATGGCTAGTACAGTTTTATAATAAATATCTAACTATGGTATTATTAAATGCTGACCTATACCGGCGATTACTAGTGTTGTCGCGATGTGCCATAATCGTACATCGATGCATCGGCAATTTTCAGTAGTAAATATCGATGCACATCGCGATGTACATCGAGAAAAAGTCCGAGAAAAGTGCACTGAAATACCGAACGCTAATGCACTAAAATACCGAACATCCGGTACATCCGGGAACTTCTAGAAAGGTGAAATGAAAGTAAAGTTATTTTTTTACGGATTAATGGTTCATTTCGAATAGCTAAAACAGTTTTAAAGCGAAAGAATATCAGAAAACATTGGAAAATGAAATAAGACATGAGAAAGGTAAGCGATTTGCGTCAAAATAAGATAAGAAAGGGTGATTTTTAGCAAATTAATTTTTTTCAAAAACATCGATGTTTTGTTTCAGACATCGATGCATCGCCAGAATCAGCTTTGGCGATGTATATCGCGATGTATCGATTAATCGCGACAACACTAGCGATTACTAGAGTGCTGCTAACTCGATAAAAGGCTGGCGCTGGCTAGAATTGTCTATCGTTCTAGCCAGGATAAAGATACCAGTTCTTCAACTCGACAATGGGAAGAACTGCTCTACCTTAGTGACTAATATGTCATGATATGACATCTAAAGAGTCAATAAAAGATATATAAATTCTTTATTTAAAAAATGTTCCATGCATCCGCCTTTTACCTTCACTATCACACAGACACAAGGGCGTAACTGCAATGGCGCCATCCAGCATTTCTTGTGGTACTTCTTTCCACTTCTCCTGCAGAACTTCTTTTAGTTAGTCAAAAGTTTGTGTGGGGATTACCATTAACTGCAAAATACTGCCTCCATGTGTGATAGTCACAGGGGTTGGCATCTGATGTATTGGGCAGCCATTCATAAGGACTAATAAATCTAGAGGTATCATCCTCCAGGTATTCCAAAGTGACCCTTGCCCGATGACTGGGAGCGATAGTGAAGGTGAAAGGTGGATGTAAGAACATGTGATTAATAAATAATTAATAGATACAGTATATACATAATACCATTGTGAGTAGATACCGATATAAAACTGTCCTAGATATTGAATAAACAGTTATCAGAGATTGTAGCTGATTTAGTGAACATAATGGATGTGTTATTGTTGATCACATAAAATCACATTTTCTTGGAAAAACAGTAAATCTCGGACACATGAACAATTAACCATTGATATTCAAAGATCTGTCAAAAAAATTACAAGTCAGTATTAGCTTAAATATTTGAATGGTAAAATATGCCTATCCTAAACTTTCTGTAAATCGATTTTTATGTCAATACCTTCGTATTATGATACTTTTCTAGCCTTTTCAAAAAGTTACAAATTTTTTTGGCCCGCCCTGTAGACTGTGCAAATCAAGAGTTTTATTGTCATAACTGACTCCAATATTATGGAAAGTATTTTCATGGTACTATGGTTATTGCAACCATAAAATAGGAGAGAAAAGGTCTGGCAAGGAATGTCTCTTTAATTAATATAAGAGCTGCTTAACTGTTGTCTGTTGACTCTGTTGCCTAATTCTTACGTGTGTTAAATTACATGTACATACTAATGAACACTTTTCTTTCTATTCTTATTCTAATTTTCATTAATGGATCTATTTGTAATTTTTGAAAAAAAAACTTCCTTGGCAGAAGATGGGTACTTACTATTATCTATTTCAATTGGTTGGTTCAGTTCAGGCATTCTTGAATTGTTTCCAATAAAGTTCCTATCAAAAAAGAAATAGGGTTAGTAACTGACAATAGCAATTTTAGAAATCTTGAAGATGTTATCAAAATCTCAGGGCATTTAAAGCACTCGAATGCATAATAAATATGCAATATTTGGATTTATGAAAATATAATATAACAGTTTGTCAAGGGGAGTTGATTAATTGCACAATTGCCTTTAGGGAGTATAGTGGATTCATATACGGCAGTTACATTGAATTAATCAAGGGAGCATCAACAGGTTTGAATATATTCTTTTACTGTCACCCACCTCTGTGCATTATGACTCAGTCAATACATAGGTTTTATCAAATGGTTTCCTCTGGGTAACTTGACCTGAGCCTTAATTTTATTTGTAGATTATGGCCAGTTGTTTTAGCCTTTCGAAAATTAATTGATTCTTTCCTACACTGAGCCATCATGAGAAATCATGGCCTTCTATTAGCTTCTTTCTAGTTGAAGACAGAAAGATGTAATGAGTACAGGGATGGATCTGGAAACCAACAAGGGGGCCATATTTGAAAACAAGCGCGGAAAAATTGGGCCCTTAAAACTTAATTGGCCCAAATATTTAACAAAGGCCCATTTTCTTGATAATTTGGCCTTAAATTAAAAAGTAAGGCCCGGTAATGCCTAAAAGCCAGACTTATTGGGGCCCACCCTTTGGGGGGCTAGTCCCCCTCCCCATATCTACCAGTGGAGTTTCAAAATGACATTAAGCACATTCAGGACAAGCTTTTCATGCTTGAGGACCAGCAGCACTGATAATCAGAAAATGTGTTTTTTACGCAAACATCATAAAATTAACCAAAAATTCCAACATAGTACTCAGTAAACATAAATCAAATCATTCCTGTAAACACCTACATTACTCAGAGACTTCAACATTCACGTTATTAATCAAGTTAGTTACAAGCGACAAGCAAGTGTCAACAACACATCACGTCATCACAGTTGCCCATATCAGGTTATATGCTAGCTTTAGGTCTCTAATAGAGTTTGATTATTAGACCTCGATATGATGTTGCATTTATTTTTAATTAAACAAGAGTAGAGAATGCTGTTAAGTTGGGTTCAGCAAAATGCCAATTTAGACAATGTCAGCATGTACAAGTATAATAACTACTATTACGAAATTTACTCTGTTCGGTGACATTTGTTTCATAATGAGAATCGTGTTGTACACCAGGTTATACTTTCCTTTCAACAATCTATGGGTTTTTTTAACTTAGAGAATTGTTAAATTACATGTACCAATTTTTATCACACTTTGAAAAAGTGCTGTTTTGTCATCGTATGTTAAAGATAAGAGGGGAGCATGTTTTCCCCGGGAAAATAACAGGGAATAAAATTGATGTTCAAAAAATCCCGTATTGGATCCCGTATCAGCAAAATCCCGTATCAGATCCCGTATCAGAACTATTCCCGGTAATTTCTAATTTCTGAAAATGTTATATGATAAATTGTATTATTTTATGTCACAATCATTGGGTGATGATGACACACAAAAATAAAGAATAAAAGTTTTAGAAAATTATTATAGAATAAATAGGTTATTGGTGGTCGTGATAGATGATATGAATTTTTTCCTTGAGAAAATATGATATTGGCCAAGGAAAATATCATATTGACCAAGGGCTATTCCTCGGTCAATATGATAATTTCCTTGGCTAATATCATCCCTTGATCAATATCATATTTACCTTGGCCAATATCATATTTTCCTTCAGAATAAAATTCATATTCCATCCCTCCCATTAAATAACCTCTACATATTACTTCACTGCTAGATATATTTTCTAGCAAATGCGCACTTAAGATTATTTCTCCTTGTATCTTAGGTCCATTGAGACAAACAATATTAGCATGGTTATCACATAGTCATTGCCCTTATGGCCATACATTACATAATAGGTATTATATTCTATCCTCATTAGCATTAGATATTAACAAAGGAACAATCTCCACAATGTCATAATCTCCACAAGAGTCCCATACTAATTTCCCAGTTTGATTTTCAATCATGAAAACACCATACCTTGGAAATCCAAGATGCAAGAGTCCTCTACATAGATGAAACATAAGCTGAGATTAAATATCTCAAATACCTCAAAGTATGTG